TTAGGACTAGGACTTAGTTATTATTTTGCTCTTAAAAGCACTAAAGGTCTTTATAGTAGTTAGCTTCTAGGCAGAGAATAAGCTAGCACTAGCTTAGACTTACTATAACTTTCTCTATATTATTAAATTAAGAAGTAGATATAATAATAGCTACTAATAATAATTAGTAATTTTCTCGAGTTAGGCTTAATATAGAGTAGATATAAAGTATATATATATAGATAATAAGTTCTAACTATATTTAAAGGCAATAGCAGTAGTAGTAGAAGCAATAAGAATAGTTCTAGTAAGAAGTTAGCTAGAATCTATATAGAGACTAGCTTAAGCTTAGCTAGACAGTAAGTAAGGCTAGTATATTAGTAAGATTTAGTATATATTAAGAGCAAGAAGTTAAAAGAGGAAGAAAAAAGAGAAGAAAGTTAGAGAGAGTCTAGCTAGCTTTATATTTAATAAGAGCTTAAATTTAGCGTAGCAGCTACTATACTAGCTATAACTAGCTGTAAGGCTAAGAGGTAATTTATATATAAAATAAATATAAAGTAAATCTAAATATATAAGCTATTATAGCTAAATACTAAATATTTACACTAGTAGCTATATAATAGCATAGAACTAAGCTAGCCTACTCCTAAGAGAGCAATAGATATTATACTACACTAAGATAGTCTATATCTCTAAGAAGCAGGGATAATTAGAGACTAATAGACAGAAAAGAGAATTAAGCAGGCATAGAATAGCTCTAGCGTAGAGCTAGAGTTAAGCTATAGCTAGCTGTAAAGCTAAGAGGTAATTTATATATAAAATAAAAGTAAGGTAAATCTAACTATATAAGCTATTATAACTAAATACTAAATATTTACACTAGTAGTTATATAACAGCTTAGAGCTAGACTAGCCTACTCTTAAGATAGCAATAGACAATATACTATATAGAGATAAATTATATCTCTAGAGAGAGAGAACAATTAGAGGCTAGAGAATACAGTAGGAGAATAGACAGAAGCAGTATAGCTCTAGCATAAAGCTAGAGGCAGGCTTAGTTTTTAGGGGTTATTAGCCCCTCTAGAATACAGCTAGCAAAGCTAGCAATATTTATATACACACAGAAGATAGGCAGATTCTAGCCGGCATAGAGCTAGAGCTGCTCTAAAGAGCAAAAACAGAAGTAGGCAGAGTTTTTCTTCCTACTAAAGAGTTTTCTAGGCTTAATATAAGAAGAAGATATACTAGTTATATAGCTTTATAGCTATCTAGAGTATTTAATATATATATAATATAACTCTTCTACTATTAATTAATAATTATTTTAAAATAGTTTGCAAATAATAATTATTTTAAAATAGTTTATAAGAGGTTTTTTAAGTAAATTAATTTTAAATTATATATACCTAACTATTAAATAATTAATATTAGTATTATAAAGAACATAAAGTAATATATACTTTACTATACTTTATAGCTTATTTCTTAGTAGTAATACTTAAAATCTACTTTTTTATAGAACTTAGTATATTAAGTAGCTTAAATATAATAACTATATAATAATAATTCTATAAATTTAAAGTAAGATATTAGTATACTTTTCTACTAGTATACTTAAAAGTATATTGAAATACTAAAATACTTCTTAATACTACTAAAGTTATTACTTTAGTAGAAAAGCTTCTTTTAATACTATATTAAATACTTTTCTAAGGCTATTTAATATCTTCTTTTTTTAATACTTTTATTAAAATAATATATTTAATACTATTTATTAAAGTTTATAGTATTTTAGAAATAAAAGCAGTAGAAAAGACTTAATAAACGCTTAATATATTAGTTAGAATTTAAATTTAGTTATTTAATAAGGAATTTACTAATAGTAACAAAAGTACTTCTAGATATTTAATTTATATAAAAAAAGTTAGTATAATAATTAAAATATATTTATTATTTTAACTTACTTTATTAAATAATATATACTTAGAAGCTAGAATATCTTTTAGTGCTTAAATATTTTACAAAAGTATAAAATTATTATCTTTACAATTAAAAATAAATTTATTATAAATAGTAAGTAAATTTAAAAGTTTATAATTATTATTAATATTTTTAATTTTAAGTAAGCTAACTAGAATATTTATTATAATAGTTAATAGAGAAAGAAAAGTATAATAAAGTTAAAGAACTAAATTAAATTAAATTAAAATTAAATTAAGATTTAATTCTAGTTAAATTTATAATATATTTAGAAGGAAATTTTATTAAGTATTAATAGAGGAAAAAACTCTACTCTTTATATATATTTCTTAATTACTAATAGTAGTCTCTATAGGTGTAATTTAACTTCTAGCTAATTAGAAAGTAGTAGGCGCTCTATAGCAATAGTCAGGTCAGGTCAACTACAATAGTCAGGTCAGCTGAGGTAGGCGAGCAATGGTCGGGTCATCTGCACTCTCGGGAGGGATGGATGGATGGACGGACGGATGGATGGACGCCTGCCCTTGATCAAAGGAAGGCTGCAGGTTGCAACCGTACCAGCTACGGTCTACCAGCCCTCGCTCTTGATGGCCTCGCACGGAGTAACTAATACCAACTTGGTGCGTGCATCAACCCACAGAGACGTGTCTGTCTGGGACGATATCGCCGCCGTCGCATGTCGATTTTCTTCTTCTTTTTTTGCCTCGTCTGGCACATGTTCTCGCGGCTCCATCGACCAAGTGACCCTCCAATAACACTTTGCCCCGGGCACCCCCAGCAACCGAGGCAGCTCTGCTGCCGTGTGAGGGAGAATGTCGACCCTCATCAGGCAACATGTGTCGTCTTGTTGCAGGACAGCTGCTGACGTCGGTGCCTCCCTCAAGCCATGGGTTCTGGTCAGTAGCTGTTTTGATTCAGCCCAAAGTTTGTTCAACTGGCACTAGTGCAAGCCAGGCGTGAGGTCATCACGAGCGGAAACTCGATTCGACGCGCACACCAGTCAGCCGACCATACATGTTCGAGATGCCGTGGCGCAGCCAGAGCACAAAGAAAGCCACGCCTTGTGAGCTCAAACCCTCCGACGCTATCCGTTCTTTCCCCTCACACAGCAGTTATGCCAAGCAGATACAATTTCCGTCCGCCGCATATATGCCTATGTACTCCGCACCTAACTAACTAACTACAATATATCGAGACATGGGGGTGGCCTTGGGTCCCAGGCCCGTCCTTCGAGTCTAAAAGCAGTAGTAGCCTTGAGACCCAGAACCCGACTATTTCTAGACTGTGCACGGGCATACATCCAATGTATGGTTACGGTCCCGCCCGCTCCATCTGCCTACACACAGACGATGATGTGGGATGCCTTAGTCTTGGGAGATCCGGCTCCCGGCGACGTGACAACCTGTGCGAGTCCCGGACTTGCAGGCAAAGTACAGAGCCACTTGTAAGTTGTAACGAACGGGTCCAGCGCTGATGACATCGCCATGTGCACATGATTCATATCGTGTCGTACGTCATCCCTGGCATGGCGCCAGGTCGCCTCGCGCCCCCGTGTCAACACGACAAATATTGCTGTCAGGGGCAGGCCCTTTTCTGGAAACTAAGCGCAAAACCCGCACGGGGATGGCCTCGGCCACGATCCCCCGTCTTACCCGAGAACGTCATAAAAGTGAATCAACGTAGTGCTCCGTAGTTTGCTGCACGTCGATACATGTTTCAGCACTCGTCAGCCACAGCGGCAGAGCCTCGAAAGCACATGATCTGCTCGGATCCCCGCTCCCAAACATTGACCGTTAGACTGTCGGACGGGTGATAAATTTCAACCCGGATGCCCGGCCTGACCGCCATGTCCGGCTTGGTAGCTCGCGGGCTGTCGCGGCGCTCGATCGCCGCGAAGCCCAAGTTACATGCTCGAGTCACTGACTCACTGACTGTCATGTCTGGCTCTGCTCAAAGTTCACCAAGCGGCTGCCAGGCCTAGGACCTGGTTAGCCGTGCTACTCGACCTATACAAACTTTCCTTGTCCAACGATTGTGTCTGGTCGCCGGCTCCGGAGCAGGAGGCCGGTCGGCGCTGTGTACTCTGACGGATGGACAACTTGGACGAATCAATGTTGAGGGTTGAAATACAACATGTAATGATGGACGCTTGACGGTCTCACGGTATGGAGCCACTAGAGAAATAGTGTGTGCGGCACAAGACACATGTGTAAAAGTCGCAATACAGAAACCTGGTTCAGTGTCTCGCCATGGTCTCCCCACGTCCTCAGATGCGCGGAACCTGAACTGAGATGTGAAGGGGGGGGGGGGGGGGGGTCGTCGGTCAAATTTCTACAAGAGCTACGGAGTATATCAAGATCAATTGATTCAACAGCCTAAATGTCCTGTGGCCAACGGATTTGCAAAAGGTGGAAGCAGCGAATTGGAATCCGCGACTCCCCTCGGAGACGATCCTGACACGGTGTGTAAATGATGTATTGCCAATACTCTTTATATAGATATAGATATATATATATATATATATATAGAGAGAGAGAGAGAGAGAGAGAGAGACCATCACCCCATCTACGACAACAGTGGTCAATTCAAAATGATGCTCGTGAAAAAAACCAGCCGTACAATTCCCTGGTCGCCGTCAACATGTCGATTCACTTCTCCATCATCTTCTTCACTTTGTCCAACAATATCGTACTCTCCCTACCCAGCTTCTTCTCCCCATTTCTCCCGACCGTCTTCGCCATGGCCTTTTTAAATCGCTCCCTCTCTGCGAGCTTTCTCTGCCTCTCCTCTCTCCTCCGCTGCATCTCCAGGGCCCTCTCCTCGGATTCCTTCCTGCACGCCTCGGCCTTTTTCAGCTGCTTGTCATAGTACCCTGGCCGTCTGGTGCGTCGTCTTACGCCATCACTGGCAGGATCTGCGGACGCACCAGCGCCCGCTTGTGCCCTTTCTTCATCCTTGAGCATGAGTTCTCGTGTTGGATGTATCTTCTCTCCCCCGCCATCCTGCGACTTGGGGGGCTCGACTGGTGGATTTGCGTCATCTTCATCATCATCATCATCATTGCCATGCTCGCGGGCCTTGACCTTGGCGTATTCCTTCTTGACTTTGGCCTTTTGGATGAGATTCTTTTTTATTTTTGTCACTAAGAGACAGTTAGTGCGTCTTCTTGTGGAACGGTGCTGCGATTTCGGCTTGAGAAATCTTTCTTTTGGAGCATTTTTGGGTTCAAGGGTGACGTCTGTGTTTTCAAACCTTTTCTCCGCCATGGCCCGTCAGGCAAATTATCTGGTCCGACTCTAAAGCCGCGTCTGGATTTCTTGGGCTCTGAAGAGGGCGCCCCGGACTCGAGCGGTCTTTTGGGGGCCATTTTGGCATACGAATCACGCTTGGGGGTTTCCTTTCTCACGATGTCGATTTTTCCCTTCACGATTCACAACGGCCGCAAAGGTGTTGAGTTTGGTCACGAGGCAGAGAAGTGGGGGTCTGCACTTGACCAAGCATGCAGGCACTTGGGTACTTGGGAACTTGGGTACTTGACAACCAAGCACGGGCATGCATGCCGCTGGCGCAAGTCCGGGCTGAAGGCGTGCACGAGCCTTTTGCAGCAACGTTCTAGGTAAGCAGGAGAGGAAGAGAAAGAAGACGACACAAACAGGCGCACCTGTAATAAGTTACTTACTACTCCGTACTGTAGTATGGTGTTGGGTCGGGTCCCAACGCAGGAGCGAGTTGGAGCCTGCACATGCATGTGCACAAGCACAGGAGGCCACCAGACTCGACTCGACTCGTGTCTGCCGAGTCGCAACAGGCTACTGGGTACATAGGTACGCGGGCTGGGCAGCCAAAGGACATCGTCATGAAGTAGCCGCTGATGAGCCACCGGCGGGGTGCGCAAAGCACTAGTGGTTCTGCTGATGCGCGATGCGCTGTCTTGGCTGCCATTGTGCACGGCAGCACATGTAAACACATAGTAAGTACCCAGGCATGTAGATGTAGGGCGTCAACCCGTCGTGTGGTGACAGGCAGCGCAGCCCGCCCGAGAGTCCGAGACAGACTTGACTTGCGGAGAACATGGCAACTCACTCGCTACGGCACATGCGGGGCACCTCCTGGAACGTGAACAGACGGGTGGTACCTGCTCAAGTAGTACATAGTTACCTACTTGGTTGTTCCTTACTAGGTACCTATTTAGGTACTTCTTGGTCGACGCAGGTGGGGCGGTTATCTGGAACGGTCGGCCCACGAGTGAGTCCTTTCATCGACCGCATGACAACACGACGTCTCGCCATCCGATGCTTGACAACAGTACCGATTACCTGACTTGCCTATCCGCTATCTGTTCATCAACGTCGGACGGCCATTCATTAACTATTAGCAGCAGGCTTTCCCGCCGTTTTCTGCCCGTCCCACCAGACCGCTCTCGGCCTGGCCATGATTCACCGCTCATCGCCCATCACACATGCTCACATGCTCCAGCGTCCAATACCGTAATATCCATCTTCTCGTCGACGTCGTGTCCGTGACTCAGTGTCAGCCCTCGCAGCAGCAGCTCAGAAGCTCGTCCGTCCGTCCGTCCGGCCGCAGTCATCTTCTGGCTCGTTATTCGATTAGAACTTGCGTCTGTCACCCGTCACCACTCTCTGTGTCCTCGCCCGCTCGGAATCTGCCGGCAACAGAGTCCGTCTTGTCCGGCTCCTGTGCCTGTGCCCACTGGCTGGTCCTGGAGCCTGTCACTCGTGCGGTACATTGTGGCCGGCAACCTGACATGCCATTCTTCCTCGTTTCTCAAAGCTCCTTTGTCCAACCGCCTGTTTTGACGTGGGGATGGTAGGCGCCGTTTTATAGTCCGAGACTCCAAGCCTTCGTCTTGTTCAGTCGTACATTGGAGAACCACAGCCCAGTTCTGAGCTGTGGTTCTTCCGCCTCGAATTCAACATGCCCATTTTTCAGGACGACCTCGAGCCCGACCGCGACCGTCCTTCAACCCAGAGCAGCCCGCTACAGCCAGAACCTACGTCTCCAGTCCCGGGGCGCGTCTCTGGAGACGGCTTACCTACCGAGCTATGTGAAGGGCCGGTCTCTGATGATCCAACAAGGCCAACAACACCCAGGATAGACGACGAGGCCGCTATCTCTTGCCGAGCGGAGCTGATTGAAAGGCTTAAGAGGGGAGAGAGCCCGACTTGGATCCCGAACCGTCATGTGAGTTGTTCCATCTCCGGCACTTCCACAACCGAAATCTGCATCTGACTCGTGTGCCTCTGGTAGCTCGAATCCATTCTCCAACGCCGTGATGGTCCTCCTGTTAAACATACCTCGACCCAGTCCCCGAGACTGTTGCCTGCGGCCCAGGTCACCCCCGATAGAGTCGACAGCGGGACCGAAAATGCTGCAGAAGATAGGCTGCAGGACGGCTTGAACATCGAAAGACCAAGGTCAGCCCTGCACAGCGGAGATTTTACACACGACCAGGCGCAACAAGACAGACGACCGAGTACCCCTGACCGGCAGCGAGTCGAGAGCCGTCTGACCACGGAATCATCCTGGATTGCAACTTCACCACCCCGAGATTTCAGTCCATTCAACTTTGACCCGAGGATCCCGTCCCAGAGCCGTGTTGGCGGGGTCAAGCCCGTCCTTGCATCGTCGCAGTCGGCGTCTCTTTCGTCGAGCTTCGCCTACCACCCGCCCACAAGTCCGCTTGTGCAATCCGAAAGTAATGATGAATTGGACTTCTCCATGGTCCCAAGGAGTCTCGATGTGCCGACCAGGGACTTGAACCGAAGGCTTTCTGCACTCAACTCGACCGGCTCGTCACCGTTTACCTCGCCTTCCCAACGGCCGTCGATGGGTGGTTCAAAGTCATCTTTTGGTCGACGGGATGGTTCGCGGCCTTGGCAGGCTCATCAACCCCGAAGATCTCTAACTTCCACTCCCACTTTCGCTTTTCGTGGAACGCCCCCCCAGTCGACGGCAACTTTCCGTGCTAGACGACCATCAGTTGGATCAGATTCGTCACCCATTCAGCATGCATCCATGGTTGGCTCGTACGAAGAAAGCATTCTGCGAGGTCGAATGTCCACAACGCCGTCGAAGCCGTTTGACTTCACTGCCCAGATTGGAGTTCTCGGCAAGGGCAAGTGCAAATCCTGCCTCCGATGCCCACCACACGTTTTGCTGCCTTTTTCTGCGGTATACTACAGCTACAGCAATGCAGCTTATGGCAGATCTCGCTCTGACATTGATGGGCCAAGCCCGTACGTTGGTCAGATTGATCTGGAAAATGGACTACCAAACCCAGAAGAGGAGTCGAGGTCTAAGAGAAAAGCGCACGGTCGGTATATGGACCGACTGCCCGTCAACAACTCCGTCGACATCCCGATGCCTGATTTTGACCCCGATCATGACCGACCAGTGGCGTCTCGGTCAAGGCGCCGTACGAGCTCTACAAAGGCGCCGCCAGGTGGCAGCTACCGCATTCCGGAAAAGGGGCAGATTCAAATCATCATCAAGAACCAAAACAAAACGGCTGTCAAATTGTTTTTGGTCCCGTATGACCTGAGTGGGATGGAACCCGGTACCAAGACATTTATCCGACAGCGTAGTTACTCTGCCGGACCTATCATAGACCACGTCCCCAATCTCAGTGAAACAGATACGCTGAGTCGTCCCATGCTCAGGTATCTTGTTCATTTGCATATTTGTTGCCCTTCCAAAGGTCGATTTTACCTGTACAAAAGTATTCGTGTTGTGTTTGCCAACAGGGTGCCCGAAGGGAAAGAGAAGCTCCGGAATGAAACTACATGGCCGGAGCCAAGGTTCACACCATATAAACCCATCAGGGTAATGCATCCACCACTCACCATGTCTTCTGGGCCAGGCGCCATGCTGGCAGCAGACAAGGCCTTCCGACGCCGAAGTCTGGGAACTACTTTTGGTGGAGCCTCATCTGAAGCGTTTGACATGGTCGACGGCCTCGACTCTGCTGGTGGCGGAAACACCCTGCTCATCGAGCCCATCCCCTTCCGGCTTACTCCTCAAGATCGGGAAGACAGCGACATGAGCAACTCGACCAGCAACCCAGTTGCTGGACTTCGCTCACCGGAGCCTTTTCAAGCCAGCCGCCCACCGGCCAATGACGCAGCGGGGTTGGGCATCTGGGGTGGCGGCGGCGGCGACGACAATACCTCCTCACCATACGAGAAGCTTAGTAGAGAAGATTTTGGCTACGGAAGCTCCTCCTTCCGCGGCTTCTCCGGCAGCGGGTTCCCTGGCAGATCAGAAAGCTTACTATCGCAGCGACTTCGTTCGCTGGGCGTGAATAGGCCGCAGCCGCCAGAATCGGCCGAGGACCTAGCTTGACACCTGGGATGTGGTCAAGCTTGTATATAACCATAACAGTTCCGTGAAATAAGTTTGGACATGCTTTTTCTTTTCTTTTCTTTTCTTTCTTTTTTGGAAACCCTGGGAAACAAAAGAAAAGAAAAAACCCATTACATACGTATATCCACCATAGCCACCTTTGGCGAGTCTTGCTGGGCTTTGGACCTGTCCGACACGACAGCCTTCTGAATAGTTTGACCGCAGCACGCTCCATGACGCATTAGGATAGATATCAATCAATAGTACATACGTACCTGAACATGCGAACGTGAATGATGCAAAGTCTACAAACGCTGGGACGTTGCGCGTTGACGCCAGCGCAATACCTGTCTTGTACGAATTCACCAGTGGTGGTAGCTGGCATGACAAGAGTTTTTCTGTAGTCGTCAAGATGCTGCTCTATATGTGATTTCCCCAGTCCAGTCGCTCGTGGTGCGACTACTGCTAATGTACATCTTACACGTCTTTATATGCCGGGCAATTTACAAAGACGCCCTCTGCAGCACACATACGGTTGAGCGCGAGTAAGCGAAGATGCAGATGTATCCCCTCAGGTGGCCGCGAGCCCCTTGTTCAACACGGCATCCAAATTCTTCCAACCGCCGGTCTTGAAGGCTCTTGGCAAACCCTCGCCATGCGTCCTTGACTGTCCTGGAACAACACGAAACGGCGGACGCACCGCCTTTCGCGTCTTTCTTTGCCTTTCCAGCCGCAGCTGCTTTTCGAGAGCCTTCCTCATTGCTTTCAGTTCATCATGGGTCAGCGGCCTCAGCATCTTCTTCATCGCCTTTGTCATGCTCTCCTTCCTGGGATGGACCCACGCGGCGGGAAGATGCTCGTAGTCTGTGGTGATAAAGGCGTGGTAGAGCATGGGGTGACGGTACTCGATGTCTTTGAGCTTGGAAGATATGTCGCCGGACCAGGCGGCGAGTTTGCGAAGTTTGAGCCATTCCTTTTGGAGGCTGAAGACGGTGGCTCTGGAGGCCGCGAGGACTCGAGTGTTTTTCATTTCGCGCCGTTCTTCGAGGGACGTGGCGGCGGGCGTCCATCCTCGCCAGCGGCTCATGAGCCAATCCTCACACCAGTCCATTGCGCGTTCCCAGTGGCCCAATTCGGCGAGATAGCGGATGCACATGTTCCAGTTTGCTCTTGTAAGTTTGAAGCCGACATTGGTGAGTTGTTCAACTGTGTTGAGAAGCCCTGGACCGTCGTTGGCTTCTCGGTACGCCTTGGCAACGACATTGAGCGGCCGTGCAAGATCGTACTGACTGGCAGGGTAGATGGTGCCCCCGGAAGTCATGCCGCTGGCGAGCACGGCATCCAGGGTATGCCGCCACATATCATGAACTTTGTCATGTTTTCCCTCCTTAAGATAGCCCAGCATCAAAGCAGAGGCAATTTCGGGCGGAAAATACTTGGCCGCCTTGTATTCGGGAAATACGTCGAGGTATGCCGTCACCAGCTGCTCAATGGCCAAGAATTCCCTTATTTCCACGAGTAGCGCGATTGCTCGCCCAATTTCATTGGTTTGCTTCTTCAACTCAACAAGCCCCGGTGAAGTATCCCCTGACAGTACGTCTGGGCCTCCCTCTGGTACCGGGAATCTCGTGCGTTGGAGCATGTTGTTCAGGTGCCCTACGAGACCTTGAGCCAATACTCTCGTGTTGTGTGATGACGGATTTTGACGGATTGCGGCTTCGACAAGAGACACGTGCGCATTGAAAGGCACAAAAAAGCCGGCAGACCGCATGTGCGTTGTAACTGCCTCTGCAAGATCCAGTTGACCTGTGCGGACGGCACCAGTCATGACTGCCGCGAAATGCTCTGAGCCGACGGGTAGGAGGCCGTTGCCGCGAGCATTTTGAAGGAGTCGATATGCCTGCTGGACTTGATTGGCGTGGCCTAGAGCCCGTAGAAGATACTCGTGAGTTTGGTGATCCCACTGTACACCATACTTTGTCATCGACTGCAAAATACTGTAGCACTCGTTTAGTTTGCCTTGCAAGCCATTGAAGTATATCAGTTGGTTCCAGACGGCTGTGCTGGTCACGTTGCGCTCGGCAAACTCGGTGCAAATTTTCTCCGCGTCCACCAAGCGCTCGTTGTGACAGTAAACCATTACCAAGGCCATGGCCATCTCCTTCGAAATCCTGACACCGGCCTTTTGGGACTGGTTATAGAAATCTAGTGTAGTTGCAAGATCTCCTTTCTTGGCCGCCGTTGTCATGACTTGTGCATAGGTGGATGAATCGGGCTGGTCCAACCTCTTGATCTCCTCAAAGCATTGAAAGACACGGGCGTGATCGTCCGTTTTTGAATAGCATTTGAGAAGCGTGTTCCAGGTACTGATATCAGGCCTCACCCCGTGCCTCTCCGTCATGACTCGAAGCTCGCGCTCGGCTCCCTCAACATCGCCAATCTCTGCGTAAACGTTCATCACAGCTCGAAAAGCTTGGGGTGTCTTCGCAGCTTCCGGTAGGAGTTTCCTGTATCTTGCCCATAGATCTTTGACGGCTGGGACGTGTCCCGTGGTGGAATAAAATTGCATAAACCTCTCATAGCCCCACTGGTCAAGATCACCCCAGGCTTTGTGCCAGTCGGCATATATTTGCGCCAAGCCGGCCGCATCCGAAGGATGATAAAATTTGAACATTTGCCGCAGTAACGAATGCGGCGGTTTTGCGTGGTCCATGGCGCGGTACTGCTGATAAATTTCAGGGAGTGCTGCGAGGCTAGCTCGGGTTTCAAGCCCATCGTTCCACCGCCTTAGCATTCGCAAGAGATATTTCTTATACAGCCTTTCGTCGTTCCATATCTGAAGAATTGTCTTTGCCTGTTGAGGCGAACATGGCTGCCGCAAAGCTTGCTGTGCTAACCAACGACGGAGCGCCCGAAGTCCATGACGTGTGTTCTCATATAGATTGATAGCTTTGACGGGTCCAGATGCTTCGACTTCCAAATAATGTTCGAAGGAAAGGTAGAGTTTAGCTAAGTCAGGGACAAATTTCAGCACCGGTACGTCAGCGCACATAGGTGAGGTCCCCGCATTACTTCTCGTGAGATGTGAAGTGTAGTCCAGCCACACCTTCAGCGCTGTCGGCCACTCCTTGTTGATAATAGCATATTCCAGGATAGATTTGAATCCTGCTCCGCAGGACCTTGTCGCAAGTCCTGTATTGAATGCGTCGATCGCGGCGGTCCCATCGCCGGAACGCAGACGTAATACCACAACAGCAGCTTGCAGCTTCTTATCCCATTTATCCATGGGTATCTGTCGAAGGATCGAGATGGCTCGGCTCGTGTCTACAGAGCCATTGGAGGCAGACAAATATATGACAACCCGAGCACAGAATTCTGGCTTCTGGCTTCGATCCAATCTGCAATATATATCCCATACGTCATGGAAATTCTTCTCTTCCGGTCTACTGAGAAAATCTGCAAGAATCGCGGGGTTTCCTTTGTGGTTCGCTTTGACAGAGTCTTGTGGAGAGTCGGGGGCAGTAGACGGCATTTTTGCAGGGGCATCTAGGGTCTGGGGATAGACTACACCAAAGCCAGGCCGTAGGGCATATTCCTCAGTTCGGTCAGTCATCTGACTGGGGCTCTCGCTGCAACGAAACAATCCAGCACTTGCGTCTACGTCTGTAGAAAGGACGGATGAAAACGTTTTTCTTGTTGATGCTCCAGTAGGCCAGTTTTCGTTCCGAGGTCGTGGGAGCGATGGATACAGACGCCTGAGATAGGCATATGTTGCACTTGGATATAGAAAATCGAGAAGAAATGTCGATGCCCAGAGACCGGCCTGTAAAGGTTGAGTGGACGGAAACTCGATGTCATGTTCTTCCAGGGCGCCTCTGATTGGGGCAGGCCAAACACTGAACAACTCAATTGCAGAGGCGCCATGCTGCCAAAATGCCGTATGGAGCTGCCTAGACCGTCTCGATGCTCGGGCCGGCTTGGAAAAAACGCGCTGGAGATTGCATGATTCCAGGCTGGCGGCTGTTCTTTCTAGCATCGGGGCTCGCGTGGGCAGCTCATTACACGAGTTGCCAAAACCTACGCCGAAGCTTGTGACAGTACGGTTTGCATGCGTGCGGTGAGAGAAACCATCGAGGTTAACAGGCTGTTGAAGTTCCCGGTCGTTGGATTGAAAATATATCGTCAAACGAAGACGTCAGTCGTTGGGCCAGATTCATCGACGGCCGTGAATGTTCAGCCATCTAAAGCGGAATGTGTGCAAGCCGAATCCCGCACAGACTTATCGTGCCCTGCATAGGCGATGGTGGTAAGATGGGTGCAGCAAGACGAGCAGATTCGATATACAGAGTGTTTGGCGAATAATTGCAAGATTGAAAAAGTTGTCGACTTGGAAATAATCACATCAAAGCCTCTGTCGGGGCTCCACCAGTACGTACCGCGTTGACTCGGCACGTGCAAGACACGGCGGAGGCCAACAGAACAGCGACATCGAACGACTGGCTCCACCCTGCCTACCACCCTGTCAAGACTACCTAGGTACTTAAGTACTTTAAGTACGTACTAGTAGTTACTAGTACTAGTACTCAAGCACACCGTCGCCCGTCCCGTCCTCGTTCTAGGTTACCTAAGTACTTAAGTTAAGTACCTAGGTAGTTGGGGTGAGTGGGACGGTTGCGTGGCAAATGCTTCAAGGACATTAGCAAAACACAAGGACGTGTAGTCAGATGGACGGCGCATATTCCGATTGGATTTTTCTTCGCATTGTAACTACTAATCGTGCCCGCCCCACTTTATGTGGTTCGGCTAGCAAAAGCCCTCACCACCAAAGGTGGTGCTCGACAGCAAGGCGGGCCGGACACCAAGGCGGGCCAATTTTCAACCTAATAACGCTATTAACCTCTTCGCCTATAATGTACACCCTTCTCGTCCCAAATTTCTAGTAGATCTAGTACAGAATCCAGACGCCATTTACGTGCCTTTTTAGCTGCTTCAAAAAACGTCCTCTTGGCGTGGTTGTGGCGCCTTTTGTCGGCATGCTCTTTATGCTTGCTGTTCGCCTGATGAACTCGAGAAAGGTCTTTGCAAAGGCGTGATTGGAAGGAGAAACGGCGAATGGTTGACGCGACAGGTATGCATTTGTTGGCGGTGACGGGAGGGGAGCCATATGAAGAGGTGCATTATCTGTTGACTGTTTTTCTAGACCGGGAAATAAAAATAGGACATGTATAGAAAACCAGATATTACAGCCCTTTTTAAAAAAAAAATCAAAAAAATCAAAGGTCGTCACTCATTCATTGGAAGCTTCAACGAAAAAAAAAACCCCGGATGTAATTACGCAGCTCATTAAAGATCCACCTGATCAATCGCCGGCCACCATTGAGACCAGGCCCCCTGCTCGTCGAGGTTATTGCTGACTTCCGCGAAAAGCTGGTTCAACAAGGTATTAGTGTCGAGCTCGTGCTCGTGCTCGTGCTCGTGCTCGTGCCCTTGAACCGGCCAAGTCGCCTGCGCCGAGGGCCGCTCCGCGCCCCGAATCTCCCGAGTATGCGCGTCGGATCTATCCACGACACGGAACTCGTGGACAGACTGGTGTAGAGTATCAAAGTCTGCTCGTGTGCGCCCCTGGTATCGTGTCCGGTCCTCGGTTGCTCGCTCGTAGAGCACGGATGCATGGTGTATCGTTTTGATCTTGCGCGTGCCGCCCTCTCAATGTTAGCGCAACGGTGGCCACGCAGATATCTTCAGGAGGGTCCTATTTTTATTTCCCGGTCTAGAAAAACAGTCAACAGATAATGCACCTCTTCATATGGCTCCCCTCCCGTCACCGCCAACAAATGCATACCTGTCGCGTCAACCATTCGCCGTTTCTCCTTCCAATCACGCCTTTGCAAAGACCTTTCTCGAGTTCATCAGGCGAACAGCAAGCATAAAGAGCATGCCGACAAAAGGCGCCACAACCACGCCAAGAGGACGTTTTTTGAAGCAGCTAAAAAGGCACGTAAATGGCGTCTGGATTCTGTACTAGATCTACTAGAAATTTGGGACGAGAAGGGTGTACATTATAGGCGAAGAGGTTAATAGCGTTATTAGGTTGAAAATTGGCCCGCCTTGGTGTCCGGCCCGCCTTGCTGTCGAGCACCACCTTTGGTGGTGAGGGCTTTTGCTAGCCGAACCACATAAAGTGGGGCGGGCACGATTACACATGGTAGCCGCACTTTGTACGAAAAAAAGAAAACAAAGGGAAAAACCTGGCCACTGTCAAAGCCAGAAGCAATCCCATTCATCTCTGTTGAGCGTTTCACTGACAATACCGTTTGGTTTCCCGATTGCAACCCCATTGCGTGTATGCCAAAGTACAGAGGCTCAATAAATCAGCCTATTCATCATGCGCGTGCTTCCTTTTGTCGCGCCCCCCCTCAAAAACCCAATCTCTTTCAGGTCGTCAATGATTCGATGCAACGCATGCTCCAGGTATCATACAAGAGGATACAGTCTTGCCAAGTCAGAAACAGTAGTGTCAATCCATTTTGATGCAGGTCATGCAAAGGTCAAGGCTGGGTATTGTCATCTGTGAGGTCGGCATGATAGTACAAGACTTCGTTCCTCAAGCCAGAGAGCATGTCAGGCGACCGAACGGGTTCGTGATCCCGTCGAGACCCTCGACTTCGGCTTCTTGTCCTCCGACGTCGTCTGAAGCTTCGGTCACTAGGAGAGGCGGTGCGGGACGGGCAGTGCTCCCGGCGAGCGCGTCTGAGCTGGTTGTACAACAAGATCTGGCTTGTAGGCGACCTCAGGATGGAGGGAGAAGTGTTGCGAGAAGGCAGCGGATATGGAGACGTAGCACGGCGTGGTGATCGTCCTCGAAGCGTGCTAGACTCGTCGGGTCTAAGAGACTTGGAGGTTCCTGCTCTAGACGAGCTTCGGGACCTCTTGCGGCCTCTAGATACCTCTTGGTCTGTAGCGAGCTGGGCCGCGTCTCGGAAAGCATCGCCAAGATCAGTTAGCGGCGACATCTTGTCCGTGTCCCGTCGTGGAAAAGATGCAGAGGGAGGATGAAAAGGCGGTATGGAAGGTTGAGATTAAAAGGGTCGCAGTCGTGTGTTGCCTTATTGATGTCTGTTGGCTGCGGAAGGAATGGGTGGGAATCACGGACACGGCGTACGTCCCCGACTGCGTGCGTGCCCCGAGGGAGAATTGAAATGGGGTAGATGTGGAAATAATAAAGGGCAGGGAATGGAAGACGGGGATGATGAGCAAGGGTGACGCAGTTGAAATACAGACAAGAAACGAAGCGAGAAAAAGAGAAAAAGACGAGTCACGACAGAGAATAACTTAAAACCTGGGAGGGGTGAGCCGTCAGGTCTGGTGTGTCTGTCTGGTAATGACGACTTGTGTTGGACAGCTAATAACAGCCGAATTATTACTGCGTACGGAGCAGGTATTGGCGTCTGTGTCGGTCGTACCTGCCCTGCCCTTGCCCACCTACCCAAGAAGGTGCTTCACCTCGTTATGCTTCGTCATGCCATTGGCAACTCTTGCACTCGCCCACTCCTCCACCAAGCCTCTCGACAAGACTATCAGTCGTCTTGACTATCACTTCGCACGAAACCCAATCCACGATTGACGCTAGACACAATTGCACCAGCCGGACGCCAGCCGGACCCAACTCCATGCACACGGACCAACGCCCAACCTGGACAAGGTCACATGAGACCTCAAGATCACGATGAAGCCACCGAACCTAGAGGTCGGCACCCGATCCTGAGAACTGCCACGGTGCCACCACAAAACGGACGGACGTGCCATCTGAATGGCGCTAGGATGGTGGCAGTCAAGCATGGCTTTCGTTCGTCCTTGGCCTTGGCTTGGGCCCGCGTTCCTTGGGTTGAGAGCCAGCCGTCTCGTTGGCATCCTCTTGTTGCCATCGCGTCCTGTGGCCACCCAGGCACTGGGCAGTCAGTTGAGTCTCGCCCAATGTCAATGTACAGGCAAGGGTCGCCGTCTCCGGTGCTCCGTCGCTGTCATGCTACGGAGCAGTGCTAGTAGCTGGTACCAGAGCAGAGCCAATCCGCCAATCCACCGCCGAAGCCACCGCACCAAGGGTAGTTACCATGATGCCATGGATCCCTGCTAGGCCGTGCATCAGAAATGCAACCCCCAACTCTTGCTTCCTTTCTCCTTTCCTCCCTTCCAGGCCAGTCAGGCCCATGCGCCCCCCTACAATACCAACAAATGCGGACGCAAACAACGCCAGTCAGTCATCTTGTTCGAGTTTGAGTGGCCAGGAGGCCTTGATTACCACCTGCCAGAACCAAGCAGAACCGCGGGAATGACAGAAGGTGTACTCCGTAGAGCCCATCAAGATGCTGCCAGCTAATCAAACACCATCTACGGAGTACCCTTTAGCCTCTCTCGTGTGTGGCAGAGACACTGGGGATTCCTATGGAAAGCCACGGAATCATCGTCTTATTCAACTGTGCTCACCCTGTGTCGAACGCTCCGGCGGCTTCGCGTGCCGAGACAAGCAATTGCTTGCTTGTTCCTGTCTTGTCTTTGAGGGATCGTGGCGAGACGTTGGATTGGGCCTCAACAGTGGGTGGCAACGGTGTTGGTAGAAAACGCTGGACACCCTGCCTGCCCTAGCTACTGGGTGTGGATGTACGTGAGTGAGTTGTTCGTTTTGTTGTACGACGGTCTACTACGACCACATGAACAACGACGCATTACGCATGAACCCGCGTACGAAGTAGGGATGCGGGAAAAAGCCAGTTTCAGGTACTTCCTGCGTACAAAAATTGCCACGGCCAGAACAGGCAGTTTGGCTGCGGACCTGACAGGAATAAACGCCACGCTTTGTCGGGAATCCGGTTACACAACCATGTGTCACCGGTGTCATGGCCTCAGGTCCAATGATCCAATGTCGAGGTTTTTTGGGGGCCAAACTTGCCGGGAGCCTAAACACTTTGACACGTCATTAGATGTCGTGCCTGTCCCGATGAGCGATATATTCCCTATCACGGTGAATAGATGAGTGAATACGGCGGAACTGGGTGACATTTGTGAGACCCTATTCGGAAACATCACCGCGAGAAATCTCGGCTGCACCTTCGCATATGTACTTGAGATGGAAAAGCGGTGATGGAGGAGCGAAAAAGTCACCTTTCGTCCTCCGTCATGCGGCCCACTCGCACCCAAATCCGCGGAACGCGATACATCACTTACTCGCCCGCACGAGGCTGGCGAGTTGGCCATCAATGTCGCGTTGCTACAACAGATACAATTGGCGGTTCTTCCTTCTCTCGGTTACGTCACGCCTTTGTCTCACCGGGTTCCAAAGCTGGTTTGCAACGCAGCTCAAGAAACGAGTGTAGCAGTGATCAGCATCAGTCATTCGCACCAAACAGACAATTGCATCCTTTTGCATTATTTGGCCACTGCCTAATCTCAACTACGTCAGTTGTTAGCCTCGCCGGCAATCATTCGCCAACCGCAATTCAGCTCAACATACGGAGTAGATCAGGAGACCCCTAGTTCGTGCCGACCGTGACGCCGAGATTTCTTCACATGTGTGCCGCTTGTGCTCCTCGAAGTGAGGAGGCGTTTGCGGTTTCACTGCTGTGAGTTCGGGGGGTACAGCGTCTGGGAAGCCCGCTTCGGCCAGTCAAACCAATGTCTAGAATCCGCGTAGTAGAGACCCGGGAGGATAGATGGGTATCACTAGTTAATTCATCCTGGACATCAGGCTTCCCGTGACCTAGGACAGGCGGCATGTCCCAGAACGCCATGCCGTGGTGAAGCTATAACCGACAGAAGAGAGGCGCTGATTCGAGCCTCTCCAGGGCTCTCATCCTCGGGCGCTTCTCCTCCTCGTCCCTTTGCCTCGTCTTCCTTCACGTCGGAAGCCGCCAAAAGTCATGAGGAGATCCCCCTCAACCGCTCCCACTCGTGCTCCGTCATGCCAAAGTCCAGCTCATCATGCCACGCGCGGTTAAAATAGCAGACCTCCCTCCGGCGTCCCTCCAACCTGAAGCCGATATCCCGATACAAATGGATGCCCCTCTGGTTGTAGCTAGCGGCAATCATGCAAACGGTGTGCAAACCAGCATGCTTGAACGCCCAGTCAACCATCCAGTTGATCGCCTCCCTGCCGTACCCTTTGTTCTGATATGGCTTGCCGAGCACGATGCCCATGTGGGCTGATCGGTGATGGGCATTTCGGGAGTTGATCCCCCCCCAGCCAAGACACATAGTTCCGATGATGGTGGGCTTCTTTTCCTTCTTCTTGTCCTTGTCCTTGTCCCTGTCCTTGTCCCCCTCCTCTGTCGACTCTTTCTCGTCTTCCTGCTCCGTGGGGCGGAGACAAATTGCCACTCCGAGGAGAGCCTTGCTCAGGGCGTCTAGGCTGTCATCGAGATCGGATTGACCCATGGGCGCGAGGGCTCGAGCTGATGAGAGAGACAGCACGACGGGATCCTGCTCGGTTTGCGGAAGGAAGTCTCTGACGCCTTGGTCGTTTCTGTCGATTTTGATGAATTCCAGGCGCGAGGTGCGCCACGCGTTGACCACGTCAGCGGTCGAGTAGCCCACGTCGTAGGCAGAGCCTGAGTCGATCGCGACAGACATGGTCTGGTGGCTGCAAATTGCAAAGTCTTGGGGCGGGCAGAAACGGTGGCTGTTGATCTGATTGACAAGGGCGTCGTGGCCGGGCGTTTTGTACCCGGGGTAAGTTAGGTAGCCTTGGATCGTTGGCGGGACCGAGGGCATCGCGGGCGGAATTGGTCCCAGACTTTCCAGACTCGGGTGTTTGTCGCCGACGCCGCCGGCTCACCAACCACATGCTTCAGCTCATCCACGCCGGCTGACTCACTCGGGATGCCGCGCGGCTGCACGTGGCTGGCTTGGCGTCGCGGGCTGCTGACGCCATTCCCAGATGGACGAGACGGCGAGTCTTTGGCTTCCCCTGAGAGAGACCGGGGAGGCGCATCCGCTGTGGATGCTCACCTGGTTCCCAACTGTCCGGGATATACGACTACACATTACCGCCTCTTGCGCCAAGGCATTCTTCTAATGGAAATAGCCAAAAAAGCCCCAAGTCAGCAGCCCCAGGCTGGGCTCACCACTGCCAGTAGCCCGTGACATGCGCTTTCCAAGATGGACGAGCAAACAAGCAGACCTGACAGTATTTGACCTGCAGCGGATGAGTCTTTCGGTAGCCACGCCCATGGTCTAACACGTATCTAAATGACAAGCCGTCATCTACTATTGCCTCGCCATCTCGGTTGTCCTCCTACACAGCCCGGCATCGTCCCAATTCTCGCTGCCAACCCCCTTGCGCGCAATGAACAAATTATCCGGATCCACAGCCTGCTTCACGTCGTACAACTTGGCGTAGTTCGTCCCCCAGAAAGACTTTTGAAAGTCCTTCTCATTAGGGTCTGCTTCGTTGAGGTACGCACCCATCTGCGGCTCCAAAGCTCGCAACTTTTCCACCTTGACATTAGTCAGCTCCTCCTGGATAGCCTTGATTTCCTTCGCAGAAGTGGTGCTGTTCCAGTCCACGGCAAAGGCAACATGGGTAAGTGTGTTCCGCCAGGCCGGATTGAGGGCTGAGTCGATGGTAGCATCGGCAGCAGCTCCACCGGCGACGACGTGCCCCGTAAATCCCGTGGGTGACAGTTTTGTGATATCTCGAAGGGCATCCGTGAGACGCGCAGGACCACTGTCAGAGAGGAGAAAATCCCGCGACACCATACGTGAGCCGACTATCGCAATACCGCCTGTTCCATCCGCTAGGCCGGGGAGTGAGCCGAGGATAAAATCGGATACTCGGGGGTACATGGAGATGTTGTATCCGGATCCAGGCCCGGCATACCGGTCAAGTTCTGCCATCATGGGGGTCACAGCCGTTTGGATAACTTGTTCGCGTGTCACGTCAAGGAACCCGAACAGGCCTGTCAATTCGAGTACCTTGGTTCCGTTAATGTCGCGTGGCACAGAGCTGATCCCGTAGTAGCCTGCTCCTCCGGCCGCCGATATGGATGGCAGATGGACATGGAAGGCTCTCACCATGTCCCAGTATGCCGACGAGTTGGCAGCAAGTGTACCGAAGCCAAAGCTCGCGAAGCCAGAGGGCACGTCGGGAAAGGTGCGAATGGTGACGCTGACGACGACGCCGAATGTGCCGCCCCCGCCGCCCCGAAGAGCCCAGAAGAGGTCTTTGTTCTTGTAGTTGTTTGCTGTGACTAGCTCGCCCTTTTGAAGCGTGACGAAAGACGTTTCAGCACATTATAAACTTTCTGTAGTCTTTGGGGGCTAGACATCTTACCTTGGCATTGACAACCTTGAACTCCAATGCATTGTCAGATGCCATCCCCTTCCAATTGCCCAACGGCGAATGGCCTCCGCCCTGAATGTAACCGCCAGCAGCACCGACGGTATGTGACAGGCCAGCAACGACGGTAACATTGTGCTTCGCAGCAGCCACATACAATTCCTTTAGCTGGACTCCCGCTCCAAACGTCACAGCAGGGCCATGTGACGCCGAGGGATTATCGGCCGCACCGTCTGGAACAAAGCTGTTTGTAAAACTCATGCTCTTCATCTTATAAGTTGATATCTGGAGCGACTCTGGTGCGGTGGAGCGGCCCAGGAAGCAGTGGCCCGAGTTCTTGATAGCTAATCGGATGTTATACTTGGCCGCAAAGCGAACAGCAGCTTGTATGTGTTCTGCCGTCTCCACGAGGGCCGAGTATAACGACACGCGACCTTGCCCGCAGGGGATATCTTTGGGTTGGTCGAAGTAGCAGGTCTGCTTCTTCTCCGGCCGTGCTTCCCAGTTTGTCCATTGCACAGCACCCGGTTGAGCGGACCGCCAGACAGAGTTGTTGGCGTTTTGTTCCGCCACGGCACATGACGCAGCGACGGGAGATGGTTTGAAGCAGGGCGCCGCGACGGGACGAACGGCTTGCAGGTTGCCTTGGATGGTGGAATTGAGGGCATTCCACGCATCGTTTGAAGGCCAGCAGTTTTCGTGGGCACGACAGCGACATGATGAATAGTTGTTGTTGTAGTTGTTGTAGCTGCCGTCAGTCTCAACGGCTTGAGATGCTTGCGTGGAAGAGGTAAGGAGGATTGATACTGCTATCTTCCCCAACAACACCATTGTTGCGAGTGCATGCGCAGGATTTCGTATGCCAATGTGTAGTGCGAGTGTGCCTTGGACACCTGATTGAATTACTGCGTCAAACATTGAAGTTCCATGGCCCCTTTTATATTCATTTGATAGCGTCCTCAATGCCGCTGACAATGCCGCCGCCCGGGTCAAATGGCGCAATCGAATATGTCACGCAGCCCGTCACATCTTGGGCTCTTGGGTGAGAATCATAATCGCAGTGACGCAATATGATCACTCAGCAGTGGCCAAGCTGTGCGGAGGATGCGAATGCGAAATACGACGCAGCGTCGCGGGTGCCTCCGCCACACAATTCACGAAAATGGGCCACTTTTGGTCATGATGGACCTCGAGCCGCCTTGTAGTGCACGTCGTCGGATGTAATGCTCCATCGGGTCCGTCGAGGCTCCGAGATGGCGATGCTGTACGGAGTACAGAGAGTCTGTCTGGTACATAGAAGAGAGGAGGAGAGGAGGAGAGGAAGAGACCAAGAGAGGAGAGGGAGTTGCCGCAGCCTCAGGGTAGCCTAAGCCTCTTCGGGCATGATGACCCGCGAGTCAGCGCCGTCACAAGCCGGGCGCGACGTGGCCCGCTCATTATTCATGATTAAACGAGCATTCGACGAGCCAACGTCCAACGTCCATCATCACTGCATCACCCATTCGTTACCATCCATTCCGCTTCAAAGGGCAGCGTGTGTCGTCGAGAGCCTGTGTATCTAGTCGGCCGAGCCCACCGGCCGATCAGGGCAAATTTTCGACATTTGTCTCCATCCAGCTATCCACACGTCATCTCCTCCTTCCTCGGCCTCTCCTATTCCTGCAACGCAGCGCAACAGCTCAAGTTTGCTCCAGCTCTTCACCGTATCACCGCCACGACGGCGAACTTACGTTTCTGGCCGGCCTTCGAACTCGCACAAAATATCTCACCTCCGAAGCGCACCCCTTTTGCCCACGAAACACTCGTGGTGCGCCCACCCACCCCTTTCTCCCTTTCGTGATGGCTCCCTGCCCAACTTCAACGTCCAGCTAAGCCATGCCGCGGGATCGCCCACCCACCACCGGCTACGAGCGCCTGGCCCAAGCCGACCAGTTCAGTGACGACTCGGACGATGATCCCCTCGCCGCCTCCTCTGCCTCCCTGCAGCCGGCCTCTGCGCCGCGCTTCGCACCCATCACACAGCCTCGCCATCGCTCCGGCGTCATGACCCCCAAGGCCCACCAGCGGCCCAAGTTTCGAAGACGAGTGGGTTCTCATGGCGGCGTCGATCTCAAGGCCATCAATGCAAGATTGGAACGGTGGGCGGACGAAATTGCTTCTCGGTTCAAGCGCAGCAAAGGCAAGGGTATCTCCGGCCAAGAGGAACGACTCGAGATTCACCACTCCGTCTTCCAGCCTCCAGAAGGAGTGCGTCCCGTTACGGCAGAGCGACTGGCTGAAGAACAACCTGGCGTCATGACCAAGGCCGAGTTTGAAGCCATTGTGGAAAGCGTGCGGCTTGCCATTCGACAGGAGGTTCACCCGAGTATGATTTCGCAAGGCAGCTCTGGTAGTTATTTTGCAAGGAACCCAGATGGCAAGATTGTCGGCGTGTTTAAGCCAAAGGACGAGGAGCCGTATGCCGCGGGCAATCCGAAATGGAACAAGTGGATTCACAGAAACCTCTTTCCTTGCTGCTTTGGGCGAGCTTGGTACGTCTTGAATCTGAACCTGCTGCTGAGTCCCAAGTACAAAATCTTGGTTGCAATTACTCACCCGCCCCCCGCAGTCTTATTCCCAATCTGTCCTATGTCAGCGAGGCAGCAGCCTACGTACTCGACTGCCAACTCCGCACCCACCTCGTCCCCTACACAGACGTCGTCTGGCTATCGTCAAAGTCATTCCACTACCCATTCTGGGACCGTCGCAGCTTCCATCGAAAGAAGAAGCCATTGCCTGCGAAGCCAGGTAGCTTCCAAGTCTTCCTCAAGGGTTACAAGGACGCAAACGTCTTTCTGCGGGAGCACCCCTGGCCCGATCAATATTGGTCCGGATTCCGAGCAAACGATACGCATAGGAGCCGCAAGAAGAGATGGACGGAAAGCTGCCGCCCATCTACATCTGGGTCACCGGAGGATGCTGATTCCAGCGGTGACGAATCGCAAGAGACTGTTGACGGGTCTTCCGGTCCGCCGCGGTTCACGTGGACGGAGCAAACTAAGCAGTCCTTCAGGGAGGAGCTCGAGAAGCTTGTCATCTTGGACTACATCATGAGAAACACAGATCGTGGGCTTGACAACTGGATGGTCAAGGTGGACTGGGAGACGGGCACGGTGTCTGTGGCTTCCGATCCCGTACATCTGAATATGGAAACACCATCACAGGGCGATGAGGAGAGCGCTCCGCGACCCATTGATCTGGAGCAGACGCCGCAGACTGCTACCAGTGCATCGTACCCATATAGGAGGCAGAGGCCCATGAATGCTTCGAGCAACAAGCTGGCATCAAAGGATCCAGCCGTGTATGTCGGCGCCATTGACAATTCGCTTTCTTGGCCTTGGAAACATCCTGATGCATGGCGAAGGTAAGACTACACCTGATAGATCATTTTTCACACAAGTCCCATGACACAACAGTCGCTAACAAGTCGTCTGGTAGCTTCCCATTCGGCTGGCTGTTCCTTCCTGTAGACCTCATTGGTCGGCCATTCTCGCAAAGGACGAGAGATCACTTCCTTCCCCTCCTCACCTCGACAGCTTGGTGGGCGCAAACCCAGATGGCGCTCAAGAGAGTCTTCCAAGTCGACGAAGATTTCCAGGAGCGCATGTTTGCCAAGCAAATCGCCGTCATGAAGGGCCAGGCTTGGAATGTTGTGGAGGCACTCACAACCCCAGACCACGGTCCCCTCGAGCTCACTCGGCGAACCAAAGTATGCGTTTGGGACGATTTGGTCGACGTGCCGGTTGCAGTGCCCATGCGGGTGACATCTTCCGAGCTGCGGCGTAACTCCAATGCCCGTCCGTCTATGGACGAGGCCGACATCGCCAGCTCTGTACCGGTTGCCCAAGACTCGTCAGCCGACCTGCTCGGACTGCAGGCCGCCCCGGTGGACATGCCACGCTCTGGCCGATTCGACGAAATTTCAAGCCCCAACGATGACGGTGCCCGATCGCCCGACGAGCTGAGACGATCCACGACCGGGCCTGACGGGAACCCGTTCGCGAAGCAGGCAGGGTCACGCTCGCTAAACGTCTACGAGCCAACTCGCCACGGGCCCTACCAACAGCGGAGATACTCGTTTGCTTCACCGGCAGCTGCAAGACGGAATGGTAACAGCATAGCCCAGCAGCTGTACGGTGACTCGCATGATCCGTACGACGGTGACGACCTCGAAGGGGACTTGGGCTATGCAGCAGCAGAAGGCCAAATGGGAAATCGGCGCAAGGTTATCGTGGAGCGACTCGAAGCCGTCAAGAGCAGAAACCCCGTCTTCACCTGGTGCTAATCAGGGCCGACGCCATACAGTTCAACCAAGGGAAAAACTCGCACTTCTTTGGCAGCTTGCATGTTGCCATTGAGTTCGGATGGTCTGGTCTAGTCAGCTACTGCCACTTACCAGCGCAAAGGTGCCGGTGCCCGTCGCGTTTGGCAGTGCAACACCCACAACTGCTACTGCAGGGACGAGTCTACCACACTTATCCGTCCGTGGGCAAGAGTCGTCCAACTCGAGTCGGTGTTTGAACAGGGTTTCCCGTACTTGGGCCGTCTGTTATCAGTTCACGACAGAGATGTGACCCAAAAGCCAGCCAACCGCTCCCGTTGGTACCTGATGCCGTCACGCCAGCCCAATTTGTGACTGGTCATTTTATACAATGATGTAATCATAAACAAGGCAGTTTTGTCTCCCCCCCTTTTTCCCCCCTCACCTTATTCTCCGGTCCGCTCGTTACTCCGCTGCAGCGCTTTCATTTTCATTAGTACAGACAGACCTTGCCAAGGGTTGCACAGTAACTGTGCATGCTTAATTAGGCTTTCCTGGTGGAACGCACAGGTTTCAATAGCAGAGTGAGTGGTCAACACTCATGTTCCACAGCACGGATACGATAGACTTGATCATCGTACTCTGTACCGAGTTAGTAGACTATAGCAAAATGTGGCGAAAAATTATGGTTGCTTCTACTTTTTTTTCTTCTTTCCACACACCCTTGTGCTTGGCCATGGCGGCAGCCCGCCTTTGAGATTTCCACTCGGTCGCACCGTGAGCATTCGGCAAAAATTTGCCCCAAGACGCTCCGTACATGAAGCTTCCACCAGCATTTCTCCATGGCCCAGAACCAGGACTACGGCAACATGTCTCAGCTCAAAGAGTCAGAACCCGATACAATGACGCAAACGAGACTTGCCCAAAACCCGAGGATCTGGTCCCCCACGCGACGCGCCAACCCGACGGCCCCCCCCCAATGCGAGGCATGGCCCGCGCCGGTCCATACTCGAGATCGCCGTGTTCATGGCAAAATTCAAAGCTAGCAAGGCGCGGTGACGGGGACTTGGTCCTCGAGCCAACATTGTCGCGTAGTGAATCCTGGCGTTTCTCAGTCTCGATTCGACGACACTTGTACGGAGTAGTCGGTACCCGAAGTCGCCGTCTGACGGGGTTTCGCTTGTAGTCATTCGCGGCAAATCCATACCGTTGAATAACAATAAGTGAGACGCCTGGCAAATTTGCCCCTTCTGCACAGCCCTATTGTAGGAGGGAGGTGCATCAACCACGGTCCACGACACCTCTCGCATCCGACGCCGGCTGAGATGCTGATGCTGAATTGCTGTGCATTCTGTGCCGCCACTCTTGGTCCCCTGGTGCGCAAGGGTATTCATTCGATCCAGTGTCTGGCTTTGTGAACTATTGTCCCGGTTCTCGAGGCGCAATTTTGGAGATGGCCAGGGATTTTTGCATGTCCACACTTCCCACGCTCCCCTCGTCCTTGTACCCTTGCAAATGCCTGTTGTCTCCGCGGTGGTCTTTATCGGTGTATCCAGGGTCTCTGCATAGTTCTTAATCTGCCGCGTACACGCGATAGGACGGATCATGAGTTTGGGTGATCTGACTTGGGACTTTGCCGAGTCCACCCCGTATATCTATCTGCCTTGTCATTTCGCGAGAAATTGATCTGCCCGGTTCGCTAGATGGAACATCATTTGCCGCGTGCATATGGTGGTTCTGTTTTCTTCCACTTGTCTGGGGTCGTGCTTTTTAGATCGTACTTCAGTCCGCGGTACTCCGTACTTCAGGGATCAGTTCTCACAGCGAGAAGCATGTTTCGTGGCCCTTCTGGTTTGGCTTGTAGCTGGGCAAGATCTCTTGCTACTTTGGTATTTCGGTTCCAATGACCAAGAAATGACACTCGAGGTCCACTAGGGTGGGTGCCATGAAGCCTGGTCACGCACGTTCAAGGCCTCTGATTGGAGAATGCAGCTCTGATTGACCTGCTCGTACATTCCTTCGGTCACTCCTCCTTCGCTAGGTCCCTACCTGATGCTCGTGGCTGTAGGTTTCGAGAGTCAGGACTGCCAAAGATGCGGACAGGCCTGCAACAAGATGGATATGCCTCTTGTAGGGTTGGATGCCGTCTACATCCCGGTTGCCGTCCCAAAATCATCTAGGGGCTTCTAGGACAATGTCAAGAGATCAGGGCCACCAGGCTTTTCCCGTTCAGAGCCCCTTGCCGCTCTGCTGCAAGGATGGACAGTGGCTTTAGACTTGGGGCATAGTAGCATCCATATCCACAAGGGACAAAAGCGCTGCGAGGCCGGAGCAACGTCGGTCCTACCAATCTTGATAATCCTCGCGGTACCGCTCCGCACTACTATTATGATTAACGAACAATCCGCCATGAGTATGCGGAGTACCGTAATGGATTTTTGGGAGAGCATGACATATTTTCTGAAGCGTTCTTAACTCCGTTATATCTCTGACCGCTCGCCAAACGCGGGTGTTTGGTACTTCTGTTCAGGCTCGGCACAATGAAGTCGTTGCGTGCTGTAAAGTCTCGTTTTTGGCCTGTCTACGTGGGTGAATGTCGAAAGCATCGAGTCGGCCTGTGAGGAAAATAGCGAAGTAAGATGTTCCACCTCACGTTGCGGCACGCCCATGCCATGGAGTACAACAGCGTCATTGTTCGCAATGCACATGAGCACAAGCCCCCCTTGGGTCATTTCAAAGTCAGACAGCATCATTGGTTGCGAGCAGTTTTGCCCTCCAGTCAGGTTTCCGAAACGGCGTGATTGACTTTTAAGATCTTATTCTTAGCTCTTCGTTGAAGCCGGACCCTGCGGATCCATGGTGCGTCTTCACAGACACAAGTCGGGCTTCCGTCTCTGCCCTCCATCTGAACCCACCCCTGGACGTTGGTGGGCTTCTGGTTGATTGGGTGGAACAAACAATAGCTGGCTGCGTCGAGGTTTGTAAACGGAAGGACTGAGCCACGTAGTTGGTGAAGCCAGTCTTCTGGACGTCTCAGCGCTCCGTTAGGTTTTCCGTTGTCAAACACAAACCAGGACCAAATAGTGTCAGGCATTCCTTCCTTCACAAACAATATTTTCCGCCGTTGACTTACAGCTTCTGCGGCTAGTCATATGACGCTGTAGGCTTGCTTTGTGGTTGGAAGGTCTGGCAAACGGACTGGAATCGTTCTTTCGCATTCCGTATGTCTGTTTCTTTCACGTGAAAACAGTAATAACACTTGCATGCCCCTGTCCTGCTGAGTCTGCAACCCCTTGACCAGAAGCAGTACTTAACCATCCATCAATTCAGGACATGGACACCGAGTAAGGATCATCATGAGCTCCGAAGTCAGGCGTGGCACTAACGGCCCAAAAAAGGGATGGGACTGTTCCTCTGGACGAATCGTTTGAGGAAACTTTGCAGCATCACGGTCGAACTTATCAAAAGCACGCTGTGACCAACGGGGTGTATTTTTGCCCAGTTGACGAGGTAAATCCTGTCTGTTCACCGACGACCGAAAGACTGGTAACCACGACGCGCTGACATTGGGGAATAGGAAGAGGTCGCACGTCTCGAGATGATGCACTCTGTTCTCCGTCGGGTTTTTGATGGCAGACTTATATTTCCACCGGTGGACGAACCGAAGCGAATCCTCGATTGCGGCTTTGGGGCCGGTGACTGGGCTATCGATGTTGCGAGGAGCTTTCCAGACTGTGAGGTACGATAACACGACGAACCCCGTGGCGGAACATGGCATTTGGCAAAAGGAAATACGTGAAACATGTTTGTTCCACAGTTTCAAGGTGTACAAAGAGGTGCTTCAGCAGCCATACTGTTTTGCTGACCGTGTGTTTCTAGGTGGTTGGCGTTGATGTCTGTCCCAAAATGATACCTGAAGACCAGCCAGATAACGTAGATTTCCAAATCGACGACTTGAACGCGAGGTCAGCAAAGCTCTTGTCAGAAATGGACTACCTGTGACTAACTTTGGTAATCTCGCCAGTTTTACCTTCCCCCGGAACCATTTCGATGTAGTTCACAGCCAAATGATGTCTGGTGGCATTAACGCAAGTCGGTGGCCAAGCTATATGCAAGATATCTTCCGTGTGCTTCGTCCTGGAGGTTGGTGTCAGATGGTCGAAATATACTTCAATGCGCAATCAGACAACGGCACTTTGCACAGAGGCGAGTAATACCGCATGTCCGCTTTTTGAGGCAGGGTTTAACACAGTTGGAGAAGCAGCTCACGCCCTGTCCATATGGTCCTGCATGTATCTTGATGCAATGCATCCTATCAAAGACACCCGAGCAGCTCTCCAGCTCGACCGTTGGATGGTGGATGCGGGTTTCACGAATGTTGAGTCACGGCTGATAGTCTTGCCAATGAGTCCTTGGTCAAAAGGTATGTGGTTTGCAGATTCGTTGAAACATGGTTGAAGACTGAAGTACCCCGTCATCAGATGCAAGAGACCGCAACATAGGATCTGCAAATAAAGAGAACGTGTCCCAATTGCTGCATTCATTGGCCTTGTATCCATTGACGAAGTTGAGACAGTAAGCAGGCCCACGGTGGCGTGAAATCCGGAGTTAGTTGACAGTTGCCAGTGTGATGATCGAACCCTACCAGAATTTGATTCATGATGCGAGAGAAGAGGCGGCTAATCCCTTGTACAAGGTATGAAGTCGACAGATGCCAAACGTCGTTTTGCAAAGTCTAAAAGACTAACTAATTTGAACCGGGAACAGGCCTATTTTCCATTGTAAGCATCGTCGAGAGTGGAAATGCTTCATGTCCAGGCGCCAACTAAGGTCAAGGACGAGTTCAGCCGGCTAACATTGTGTGTCAGATATGTTTGTATTGGGCGTAAACCTGAAGCATAATGCCATGGCCAAAGGTTCTCCATGAACATTCGAGGCCTGGACCATTTGGGTCAATGCCAACCTACATTGTTAGTGAGACCCATGTCGAGCCCGGCGGCATCTTGTACATGGTGCTGGGATGTGCGGCGTTTGATGGCCTCCAACTTGTTCGGCCCTTGAGCGGCGGGACTACTGGTGAAGAAGAGGTTGAAATGTTTCAAAAAGACGGTATTGCAAAGCAGATGTCACGGTGGAGCGCTGGATGGAGTCGGCGGTTGTCGTTGGCGGTCGCGCTTTCCGAGTTGGCAGGGCATTCAGGAATCGGCACGCAGGCAGGCGAGACGGGGCGCCCAAGCGAGTTCAATGCCAACGTTGTTGGCGCGTCTTGATTTTCGAGAGTCGGACTTCGGGTGGCCGAGAGTCCGAACGCATGAGGAGGGCAACATCAAGCAAGTTCACTCCAAGCGTGGGAATGCCACGCTTGCCATCTTGTCACAGAACTGGGCTCAAGACGGTTCAGAGAAAATAGCTACACCAACAATACAGCGGATGTGCCAGCACTTATTTTGGCTAGTTGACGCGTTCCTACGGGTGGGCACACCGATGCCGACAACGGGAACCCGACGACTGCAACGTGACGGCGAGTTGAGTCGAATCCATCTACAACCCAAGCCATGGATGGCTCAGCACCGAGACGTGAAAGATGTTGGGCCGCTGCGCCTATTCCAGCCAGTCAGGTCAGGTTGTCAGCTCCGCGCTGGGCAGTCGTCAGCCGTGAGCAAGATAATCGTTGAAATGTAATGTAATGTCGTAGACGACGGGGCAGATAGACTCGATTCTTGGGCAGAAGTTTGCACAGCATGGCACGTACGGCGCTTTGTAAATGACTATTCGTTATTGGACAGCGCGCGCTAGGACCAAGTCGCAAACGTGTGGCCAGGCATCGTCGACGTCCCACAGCTGGTTTCTGTTTCTCCACAGCCGGGCTCCAGGTCGCAAATACTCCGTACACCTCGCGCATTGCCCTTGGCTTCATCAACAGCCCAGCCGACCCCCTCCCACCCCATCAATTGGGCTCAGCAAAATGGCATGCAATCGAGCAGTGTCTCTTCTCTCAGCCGTGCGCCGGGCACAGCCAGCCCGCCTGCCCCGTCTGAAAGCCGTCCCGTCCCCCTCGACGCAGCGATGGCACCCAGCATACTCGACGACCACCGAGGATACTCCCCCGCCCTTCCTGCAGAGGCTCAAGGGAGACCTCAAGACCGCCATGCGAGCCAGGGACGCACCGCGACTGTCCGTGCTACGATCCATCATATCTGCCAACCTCAACGCCTCCAAGACCGCCAACCCGGTTCGGACCGACGTGCAGCTTGTCGCCCTGATGCGCCGTATTCAAAAGAATGCCCTAGATGCCGCGGCTGATGCCAAGGCCGCGGGGCGCCAAGATATCGTCGAGAAGGAAAACGTACAGATCCGTATTCTGGACGAGTACCTGGCCGGCAGCGGTATCCAAACCCTGGGAGAAGTCGAGCTAAAGGCATTGATACAGGAAGCAGTTGATGCTTCCAAGGGTGCTGGAACGGCAACAAGGTCCCTTATAGGTGACGTGATGAAGCGCTTGTCCAGCGCCTTGGAGGGCAAGGATGTGGACAAGAAGGCCGTTGCCGACATGGTCAAAGAGTTGGCTGGCCGATAAAGGACGGGGGCGCCGACATGCAACCCCATGTATTATATCATTGTACCATGCCGGCTTTTAGCGACAATTGATACCACAACTCTCACTCCTTGCTGGTCCAACGAGTAGACCATTCTGGCATATACGGAACTCCCGAATGTACAAGTCGAATGATGCATGACGGCCATCAAGACTTGACATGGGGGCAGCGATAAACAACGGAGACTGAGGTCGACTGACACCCCATGTGAGACAACCGTCCGGCGTTCGTGCTTCTATTACTGCTCCGTGAAGTATTCATCAGTTCCGTTCTTTGAGAGAAATGCCGCCTTCGACTTCCATCACCGGCCACCAATCGACGAGCACAGCGGCAATATCTGCAGCCGCCCCACCCAAGCTCAACGGCCGATGAGCGGAAAACAGGAACAGACTCCTGAGAATGACTCATCCAATCGAGTTGTTGGACTTGCTCCCCCTTCCCTTGTCGCCAGGGCAACACTTTACTGCTCCAAGCGCATTTATAACTACCAGTTACTCCTTGCCACGTCAGTCGCCTTGACCCAGGTTGTCTTCACCCCGCGTGGCTACCCTGCACCTTGAACCGATAACATCAGAAGCCTCCAACCATGTCCCGCACGAATATCAGCTCTGGCTCAGAATTCGAAGTCGAGATTGGATATTCTCGTGCTGTCGTCGTAGATGGTTGGGTCATGGTATCCGGCACCAAGGGGTAGGTCCGCAGACGGGGTCCACGAACAGTTTAACAAGCTTCGATTTATCGCAACTGATTTCTGCCGTCAAGGTACAAGTACGGAACCGGTGAAATATCGGACAATGTGGCAGAGCAGGCGGAGCAAGCCCTGCGCAACGTCGACCGAGCGTTGACGCAGGCTGGTTCTTGCATGGCGGACGTAGTTCGCGTCCAGTACATCTTGCCGGATCGTGACGACTTCCCCGCGACTGGCCGGTGCTGAAGAAGTGGTTTGGACATGTGGAGCCTGCTGCCACGATGACTCAGTCTGCGTTGATGAAGGAGGAGATGAAGGTTGAGATTGAGGTGACCGCAAAGAAGGTATGTGGAACCAAGAAATAGGTACCCTGATTTTCCCGGACGTTGAGAACCGGAGAAGACGGACAGCGTGCAGTGCTGCTGCACAACTAGGTAGCTATTGAGCGGGATATACGAGGAGTCGACGACATCAATGAACCAACGGCGCAACCACACTCCCGGCAGCAAACGTACACATGATGGTGATGACACTCGACGTAGAGAGCAGCGAAATGCCGCTGATGCCGTGCCCAGAGGTGCAGCCCCCTGCCATTCTCGACCCGACAGCCATCAACACGCCGCCCGACACGGCCAACAAGGGCGATATCTCGCGCACGGGACCAGACGGCAACCCCGGGACAAGCTTCACAAGACCCCATGCACCCGCCGCGACTCCGGAGGCAAACAGGATGTTCTGGTACGAGGCAGGCTTGGCATTGACATCGGCTCCCCCGACGAGCCACCAGAAGAAATTGCCCACCTCTTCGTACGAGCCCGAGACGCCCAGCATGGTTTTGCGCGTGACGATGGAGACGAGCTGCGCGCTGCCGATGAGGAGACCGGCCAGCGCGCCGGCTATCTTGGCCGTGGGGCTGGCGGGCGTGCAAAGCAGTGTCGTGGCGGCGACGACGGCGACGCAGACGGCCTCGAGCAACACGAGGGTGGCGCCGTTGGAGAGACGCAGCTGCTCGCTGACGACGCCCGGCTCGGGCTTCACGCCCGTCCTCTCCCGCCGTCTCCTGACCAGCTTGCTCACCAGTCCGGACCACAGCACACCGCCAATGATGGCGCCGTCCAAGGCGTGGAAGCCTGACCGAACGCCGGCCGCCAGTTGTGCATACAGCGTGCCGGGACACGAGCCCGACAGAGCCATGCCCGCGCCCAGGAGGCCGCCGCCCAGGACGTTGCCGTCATACTTGGAGAAGAGGCCCAGGGGAGACGAGTCCCGCGGCGAGATGCTCACGTATCCCAGCCGTTCGGCAAGGGCATATATCGCTCTGTCGGACCAGTGTCAGTGCCGGACATGGAGGTGTGACGTGCGCCCAACTTACGCGCTGGAGGCAGTGGCTGCCAAAAAGGTCTGGAACATGTGCCAGTCTTCAAACTTGAACTGCGAAGTCACGACAGAAGGCTGATGGAAGCCGGCGGCCATCATGGCAGCGCCGAACGCGGCGCCCGATAACGCAGTAGCGGCCATGGTAAGGAGATGCGAAGCTTTGCTTGCCCGGGTAGCGGATGTCCCGGAGAACGAGGCAGATGGGCCTTTTTACGTCGTGTGCTATCACTACACATGACACGGTTCTTGTCCCCTGTCCCCTTAAAAAAAAAAAAAAAAAAAAAAAAAAAGACGCGCCACCAGTTGCTAAGAGATAGTAGGCAGGAGGGAGAAAGAGAGCCAACGCTTTTAGGTTCGGCGATCTAGCATGCAGGCAGAGGCGCCCTCCGCCCTCTTGGGCCGGCTCCAGGGACGGTCTGTATGCATGCCGCCTCGTTGCAGGACCCCTTATGATCCGAATACCTGGTAAGCGCTGTGTAGTCGGCGAATGGGTGTGTGTGGGATGGACACTGGCTGGCCGATGGCTAGTGTCGAATTGGTCATGGCGTGGCTTTTGGCAATCGTCGGGGACCACGGCGTGCTGTGCTGTGCTGTGCTGTGCTGTGCTGTGAGGTTGAAGGGTTTGTTGGATCGTGCCGTCGTGTTTTTGCCCGGCATCATTTTGGTCTTTTCTCTGCGTGTGGCTCCAAGCCGGGTATGCAATGTGGAAAGTTTGTAGCCGTGTGGCAAGGCGGACGTGAAGTGAGGTCGCTGTGGTCAGCCGCCGGTTCGCCGACCTGGCGAGCATCCCAACAAGTCTCGAGGTGAAACCCCGAGTCGACGCTTTGTCGGGCCCTTCTGCGACCCGGACAGGTTGGCGTCAGGTGACTCAGTTCGGGCACCTTCGGGGGCGGCACGGATCAGTTCGGCATCTGAACTTCACGGAGGGACGTACGTAGGTATATACCGAGTACTGGACACCGCGTAGGTACGTACCCAGGTACGTACAAAGTACATGCCGCGTAAGAAGGCGGCTCCCGCGCTCCATCGCTTCAGCGCCTGCGCTGCCGTCCCCGTCTACTCAAGTACCTAGAGTGGGAATGGGCGAGTGCGTCCCGGCAGCAGTCGCCGGATTGTTCTCATTCTCATTCGAAGCCTGATGCGTGCAAGGGTAGCCGGCAGCTTGTCGTCCACAACGCCAGATGACCCATGGGTACCTGCGTCCGCGCACCCAGCTTGCCAGTCCCTGGTCACTCAAAGCCGAGGCCCCAGTTGACCCACACACGGAAGCCAGTCGGCTTGTGAGATCCCCCGCCGCATGCCATTCGTCGTCTGCCATCGTCCACGGGCTGGTCATATATCAATCTGCTTGGGCTCTGCATCACGTCATGCATTGGCTCGACCGGTGGTGCGCTTCCCGGATCAAGATAATATTTTCCTTTGGAGTTGGCTGTGGACCTCTCGGCTTGGATTGACGACCAGAAAAAGGCCCCGTCATCTTCACCATGCCGCGGGTTCTTCACGTACAAAAGATTGGCGGCAAGCCCGGCCAGGTCTACTACCCGTAGGTTCTCACTCACCGTCATGACTCCAAAACCGCCAAGCGGCATCTGATCATGTCCCTCCTCTCAACCGCAGAATCAAACTCAGCCAGGTGCCCTTGCCCGAGGTCGGCCCCGGCCAGCTCCTCGTTCGTATGGACGCCGCGGCCCTCAACCACAAGGACCTCTTCATCCGCAGACATCTCTACCCAGCCATCTCCTTTGAGAACCCGCTGCTGGCCGATGGATACGGCACCGTCGTCGAGGTCGGGCCAGCCGTCAAGCAAAGGGACCTTTTAAACAAGCCTGTTCTCATCAACCCCATGCTGGGGTGGGAATCCGACCCCGTCGGGCCGGAAAGGGGCCTCGTCGTAATCATCGGCGCGTCGTCAATGACCAAGACTGGTTGCGCTCAGGACTACGCGCTGGTCGATGAAGACGATGTCGTGCCCGCGCCGGCGCATCTCACACCCGCTCAGGGCGCAGCCCTACCGCTCGCTGGCCTGACCGGCTGGCGGGCATTGGTCACCAAGAGTGGCAACGCGGAAGCGGGCAGGAACGTGCTCATCACTGGAATTGGAGGCGGCGTGGCACTCCAAGTGCTTCAGTTCGCCGTGGCCATGGGGATCAACGTGTACGTCACGTCTGGCGACCAGGCCAAGATCGACAAGGCGAAGAGGATGGGAGCCAAGGGTGGCGTCGTCTACAAGAAGGACGGGTGGGAGCGCGAGCTTAAGAGCTTGCTGCCCGACAGCAGACCGTATATCGATGCCGTTATCGACGGTGCCGGAGGCAACATCATCTCCAAGGCGGCCAAGTTCCTCAAGCCTGGCGGAGTCATTTCCCAATATGGAATGACGGTTGCGCCCAAGATGGAGTGGAGTGTGCAGGCCGTGTTGATGAACATCGACCTAAGAGGCTCGACCATGGGCTCCAAAAAGGAGTTCAGGGACATGGTCGCCTTTGTGAGTGAGAAGAAGATCCGACCGATTGTAAGCAAGACGGTGAAAGGGCTGGCGAATCTAGATGGCATCGAGGGTTTATTTAAGGATATGGATGCTGGGACGCAGTTTGGTAAACTAGTTATTGAGATCAATGACCACCCGTCGCCAAGTAAGCTGTAAGATGAGAAGGAAAGAAGAAAACGGATGACGGTGGCGACGGCTGGATAGAGGTCAGGTCGGAATCAGTGCGGAAATGCAGTTAAAATGGTCAATTTTCCAGAAAGTCAAAACGCCTTGAATGCCGCAAGTACATGTCTTCCCTTGTGTGAACTACACAACTCCCAAACCAGCCTCCAGTCCCCTCTCTCAATCAGACGACTTCTTCCGCTTCTTCTTCGGTCTGTCCTCCTCCGGTGGCACGTATTCGGCCTCTCGCTCCTTTGTCTTCTCCTCCTTTCGTAGCTTCTGCTTCTCCTTGCGTTCCTCCTTGATTGCTCTACTCTTGGCCTCCTTTCCCAGAAAGTATTCGCCAGTCTCGATTTGCTTGTCGACCTTGCTCTTCTCGGGGGCAGGCGGGAATGGCGTGTACACCTTCTTGGTCTTGTCCGTGACCTTGAGGGGAACACGGCGGCGGCTGAGCGTCTTCTTCTTGAAGTTGGGAAGGAAACGGTCCCAGCTCTCGTTTGCGAGCTCGGGATCCTTGGCCAGTTCGCGCTTGATCATGAGCTCCTTGATGTGATAGATGGGGTGAATGTTGGCCATGCAGTCCTCGACGATTCTTCGGATCTCTTTGAGGCCCTTGTATCCACCCATGGCGCAAACCGTGTTTCCGTGGACGAGAATGTACGTCTCGGTAAGGAGCTCGAGGGCCTTGAGGGTCGAGCCGTTGGGCCCCAGTATTCTTTGCCGTCTCTTGACAAATCTGTCTTTGCTACCGACCAGGTTGCGGATTTTAATAACATCGCAGGCCATTCCGTCGTCGAGGATCTTGACTGCCTGCGGGGCCGGAACACTTCGAGCCAAGAGCTTGATGAGATCACGCGCGTTCAGAATCGCCGCTGGGTCATACGTTTTTCGGGTCGTCTTGACGGTCATTGACCCTTCCACCAAATCCAATGTGCAGGCAATACCATGCTTTTCGAGAGACTTGGTAACCAGCGGCCAGGCTTCTTTCAAATACACTTCGCGATACTTGGGGAACAGAGTCACAAATGATGACTCCTCGGCAAACGTGCCGCCGATATTGTCCTTGGAGGTGAAGGCATCGACCTTCCACTTATCGACACTGTCCGTGTCCCACGGCTTTTCCTGGTTGTATGTGGAAGGCATCCTTGCTCAAGTTTGTCCAAGCGTCGTCGGCGGCCTAAGATTAGGAAAAGGGAGATGCAAAGGGATAGCTTTGCTGCTAGAAATCGGACGGGTGCACAACGAAATGCAGTCGCCGTCGAGGGTTTCAGTTGTTCAACGTTCCGAAATTTTTGGGCCAGACAGCGAAGTCGTGGGGCTGGTGCAGGAAAATCCTGAGTACGCGCACCCCCACCGTATGCCGGGCGCGAGCTTGGACCACAGAGCACCAGCGCGCGAGCTTGATGAAATCTTTCCGGCGACAACTCCATGTTCGAACGACGACGTCGGGCCGTTGAAATCACCACGGCGCCACGGGCCACGACCGCACCAAATGTCCAAAGCAAAGGGCGCAGCTGGCGCCGTCGATCAGGTAGTCAAATTGATTGTTGGGGCAGGCCAGGCGAGTCCGAGTCCACCCGTTGGTCCTGCACTGGGAAGCAAGGGCGTCAAGTCCATGGATTTCTGCAAGGTATGGAGGATGCCCATAGAATGTGGTGCCGCACACGACTGCCGCCCAGCCGGCGTCTTTGAGGTTCTTTCTAACTGGGAGTCTCTTTCGAATCCACAGGAGTTCAATGCGAGAACCGCACACATCAACCCCGGCACACCGATGCCCTGCCGAGTCACTGTTCGACCGGACAGATCTTTTCACTTCGATGTGCGGACGCCGCAAACTTCGTGGCTTCTTCTGAATGCTGTTGAGGCGGCGCGGAATAAGAAAGGGAACAGGAAGGGCGCCAGCAAACCGGGCCACGAGACCATCGGGACCATCAGCCTGAAGCACGTGTACGAGATCGCCAAGATTAAGCAGTCAGAATTACGCCTCTCTGGTCTTTCCTTAGAGGGCTTGTGCAGATCTATCATTCATCAAGCAAGGTCGATTGGTATCAAAGTCGAAGCATAAGGACAGTGAAGAGCCCGAGACCTGCACTGTGCTGCAAGTTGCCATTATTCAAGGGGGGCGGCCTAGGTTGAGTGTATGCTACAACTACAGAAGAAGCAGGCTTGAAGCCAAATGTACAATACAAATTCTGCGTTTCCACGCTGGAGAATCCAGAGTCATAAGATCTCCATTAGAGCGTGGGTCCTGAGCCTGTGGGAGGTGTCAAAGACGTCGGGGTTTCATCATGAGTCCTCGGACAGTGCGTAGTACTTTGTACAGCTCGTAATGGCAGTGATGGTCACCTGATAAGGGTGCGGGAATGGGAAGAAAGTCATGGCGTGTTCAGGAGTATCACTGTCCACCGATCACAATGTGCTCTTTGATAGAATGTAGAAGTGCTCGGTAAAGAATTGGCAAATTTGGGTGAGGCCCAAACATCAGCACAGGGCAAAGCAGCCAAGTCGTGCGCAACATGGCCGCGTAACCGCGCGCACCTCCAGGCCGCTGGCGTGGCTGCTGACTTGCTTCTGATTTGATATCATCTGCTGCTGCCGATGATTCCATATGGATCCTGCGTGCTACTCAAACAACGACGATTCTAGAAATATTCGACAGCCCACATGGCGGCTTTGACCCTCTCGTCCCTGGTCCAGGAGAGCAGGCATGTGGCGCCCATTCACGCGACAAGAGCGGATGGGAAATTCCAAGCCAGAAGCTGCAAAAGCTTTCCCGGGATCTGCAGACTGCGGATTTGGCAGGCCATGGAGCCCAATCGGCGGCAAGGCACACGCACTTGTTCGTATAATGACAGCTCTCGTGCTCCCAAGACCCGGCAAGCCGTGGAGTCGTGGACAGAAGAATCCACTGTGGATCCAGTTTGCTGGCATCGCCGGCTGGGCTGGGCTGGGCTGTTCGATCTGTCTCGACTCGCAACGAGGGTTTCCTGTCTCCTGGATGGAATTGAGCGGCCTACGTGGGGTGTGACTGCTTCGACAATCCGATAACGGAATGACGGATGGAAAATCAGCTGCGCCGCAGCCCACCAAGTACGGAGTACGGAGTAGTACGGAGTACAGTAAACCATGTCTATAACGATCCTGTATCTTAGCGATATTCGGGTTTTTACGATAATTCACGGTCATCTAAGGTTTTTCCCTAGTAAATCGTTAATAGTCGCGTTACTGACGATATCGTTGACTTTTTGCTTAGTCACTATGCATTTTATCGTTATAAGGCCCCACTTTTTAGGCTGAATTTTCTTATAGTGGGGTTAGGTGGGGCTAGGTTTCCTAATAATAGGGCAAATTTCGCTAATAATCCCTTAATATGTACTCTTACTAGTAATTTCTAAGGGGAGGTACAACCCCACAATAGTCGCATCTTAGCGATAGTCGCTATATTACGATGAAAAAAGGCTCACGAAGGTTATCGTTATAGAGGTGGTTTACTGTACGTGCAAACACAATGACTACTCCGTACTACTCCGTAGTTACGTACTCCGTACTCCGTACTACCATTCATTTGACGTTGACGTGACGGGACGTGGTACAAATGCGGCACTCCATGTCGGTGGCTTCAGCCAGAGGATCCAAATCCAAGTGACAAACTTTGCCGCCAAACATGTTCATGACAGGACCAAGGTCCTGGCGAAACATTCCACTCGCTATTAACTTACTACAACGTGGCAGTGAGCAAGGACCGCACATCGAGCCAAGTGTTCAATGAATGCCGTCGCTCGCAAGTACCCAGCAAGGTACTAACTAGTGTTTGTAATTTCGTGACCAAACCCAAGTTTAGCTTTCAATGCAGGTGGACAGGAAATTTCAAGAAGAAGCAATAAGCAACGGTAATATCAAGGGCGGAAAAAAAAAGAAAGCGAAGAAAAAAAATAAAAAAAAAATAAAAAAAATTTCAGGTGGTGCCCATCGGAAGGGCGCCCGTCAGGTGGGTTTCGTGGCGCGGCAGAGGCATTGACCAACGTTGACATGCATTGACGCTGTTTCCAAGTACCCGGCCAGGTACTCGGTACGCGCAAACTATATCAAAGGCACAACCGGTAACAGATACTCGGTAGGTCGCACGCAAGTGGTCCAGATACTGAACACATGCAGGGAATTCCACGCGACCCAGTCATCTGGTACGTGAATGCCATTGCAGCTGCAGAAAAAGGATCCTAAAGACTCTTCCCATCAGACATGTACTCCGTACTTAAGTGCACACATAACGTGACTAGGTACATGCTGCTTGCACCTGGCGGCTCAAACCTGTCTGCTGCTTCCATTTCTCCCTAAGTACCTTGTCCTTGCCCTGGTGCCCTGGTGCCCTGTATCGTTCCTTCCTGCAACCACCTGCGACCAAACTGTCCGGTCCGGTCGGGTCTGGTGTCAGGCCTCGTATTACTCACTACTTACTTAAGTACCTTGTAGTGACTCCGTACGGACTGCTCGTCAACTGCAACCCAGAACGGGGCGCTTCCAACATTCTGCCCCACCGCCAGCTTCTTTCCCACTCGCGCTAGCTCAAGTATCACCGTGCGGTCCCCAAAGAACGGCAAACATCACATTGTTCGCTCTCCTCCTTCCTATTCTCTTCAACTTCTCAAGTCCTGTAGCGAGCCAGGCACGCCTCCGATCTTCCTCACTTTCCCACCAGGCGCCCTCGTCACGATTCCATGGCTATCCAATCTCCCGACCAGGGGCATCATCAGCATCAAGACGCCGTCGGTACGTCCATCGTTTTGCCCGACTCTTCCGGATTTAGTGCCCCTCCATGCAAGTGTACAGCCAGTGTGCAGCAAATGTGCAACAAGTGTGCAATAAAAAAGGCGTCCGAGTGTTCTCAATGAGGCTGGCGATGCAGACTGATTTCTACAGCACCATGTCTTGCCCTCTGCGTCGCTTTGTCGCCTCTCACCTTTGCAGTTCAGCCCATTGCGCCGGTTGCTCTGCAAAACAGTCGACGGATCTTGCGTCATGCTAACAACACACCCAGGGCCATCGCAGGTGACTGCGCATGCTTTAGGTGATGACTCGAAACCAAAAGATGACGCTCCCGCGGTTCGCTTTGCCTCTTTAATAGAGGAAATCTCGCCATCCGCTGCACCTCCCGCCGCGAGTCAAGTCGCAGACTACAGCTTCGCCGAGGTTGCCGCGGACGAGCTGAAGTCATTTACCAAGTCTCTGCAGGGCCGCCATCTTCAAGAGAGGCGTATGAATACTTTCCAGTTCGAAGCCTTCTCTCTACCACCATCTAGAGTAAGTGCATCACTCCGCGCCGTCGTCGGCTGAACTTCTGTGTCCCACATGACTGACAAGACCAATAAGGTTCCGTCACGGGAAGACGAGTCAACGGATTCAACGAGACTCCCAACACCCAATTCTTCCAATTTCCATTCACCCCATGGAAGCCCAAGGCTATCTGCTTTGGCGTCCCCGCCCCTTACACCCGCTGGTACGGACCCGTCTGCAGTGCCCGAGAAAAGAATATCCAGAGGACCAGACGACAAGGGTCCTGGTTCGGGCGACCCCCAGACAATTACGCCACAGGCCTCGTCTTCGCACGACAAATCTCCTGCGTTTGAGGAGCGCAAGCAACTAGCGCACCGGCCTGCTTCTTCAGACCATGTTATGCAACGGTCGTCTTCCGTTGAAGACGGCAAATCACACAGAAGGGGCATGTTCGGTGCCGGACCTGGCTCCGTTCCCGTCTCTCGAGAGTCTAGCCCTTCACGGAGCTCCGCATCCAACTTCTATTCAAAGCCCATCACCCCCGGTGGTGACGCAAATGATCCCTATGCCAAAGGAAAGCGACCTCCGCAGCAAGCGCACCCTTCGCGCCACACAATCGATCCTCGCTTTGTCTTTTCCAGGAAGAAAAAGCACGGATCGCCAAGCAGCTCGAAGACGAGCCTAACTGACAAGCGCGCTTCCGGCATGTTTGGTAAAAGTGACGAGCACCTCACTGTTGAAGGTGCAGGAAGTGGCCTCGGTCACGCCCCACAAGGGTCGATGGCAGATTTGAAGCGGTTTTTCAGAATGTCTGGCCATAATCAACAGCGTCATCACCACCACAAAAAGAGGGATCAATCACCCGCATCAGGTGCCAGAACGCCCCCTACGTCTCGATCCGCGAACCAGCAACTCCCGTTCAGTGACGACCATGGTCTATCATCAAGATACGGCAAGCTTGGCAAGGTCCTTGGTGCTGGTGCCGGCGGATCAGTCAGGTTAATGCGGCGCAAGGAGGACAACACTGTTTTCGCAGTCAAAGAGTTCAGGGCCAGACATAGCTACGAGACAGAGAAGGAGTATAACAAAAAGGTCACCGCCGAATTTTGCGTTGGTTCAACGCTCCATCACGGAAACATCATTGAGACGCTGGACATTCTCCAGGAGAAGGGCCGATGGTTCGAAGTCATGGAATATGCGCCCTTTGATCTATTTGCCATTGTCATGACAGGCAGAATGAGTCGAGAGGAAATTCGATGTTGCTTCTTACAGATTTTAAACGGTGTTACCTACCTGCACAGCGTAGGGCTGGCACATCGGGATCTCAAGTTGGACAATGTTGTCGTTAGTGATAAGGGAATCATGAAGATCATTGATTTCGGTAGTGCCCATGTCTTCAAATATCCCTTTGAGAACGACACTGTTCCCGCAAAAGGTACGATTGCATTCTTGGCCGAATTCTCTGTCCTGACCCGTGTACTAAACCTGTATCCTAGGCATTGTTGGCTCCGACCCGTATCTGGCCCCAGAAGTCTATGACGTGAAAGAGTATGACGCAGCGGCTGTCGACATTTGGTCCTTGGCCATCATTTTCTGTTGCATGACGTTGCGACGTTTCCCTTGGAAGATTCCAAGAATGACAGATAACTCTTTCAAACTTTTCGCGGCTGACCCAACTCCTGGACATGACCCGACAAAGCTCATTACGCATTCAAAGTCAACCGGAAACCTGTCCAGTACGGTGGCTAGGGAGTTCTTGGCAGATGAAGACGTGAAAGAAAAACACCACCGCAACCACTCGCAGCATTCTCATCACGAGGGTGGTGGCCACCATCACGGAACGGAGGGCTCAGAAACTTCTTCTACGGCAGAACACAGCCAGCAGTCGCAGAACCACAGTGCCACAGGAGAGCGCAAGGAGGTCATTCGCGGTCCCTGGAGAATACTCAGATTGTTGCCGCGAGAAAGTCGTCACATCATTCATCGCATGCTCGACCTCGACCCCAAGACCCGCGCCAAGATGGACGAAATTTTGAGCGAGTCGTGGGTCGCAGATACTGTGATATGTCAACAGCTGGAGAATGGCGAAGTCATCCCCGCCGAGGACCATACTCACGTGCTCGAGCCACCAGCCTCTCAGCACCAGCAGTCCAAGGCATAACGTTTTAAATTTATGACGAGGTCCATCAAATTTTGAAAAGTAGGTATATTTGGATAATACTTTATAAGGCGTTTTTTTGGTGTTTTTTCTTTGGGAGACGGAGACCGGATCTCTGACAAGGACGGGGGGCAACATTGATTTTGCATACTACAAGAATACACCATACGGAGCATTACACGATGAGTAGAAAATATTCAGGGGCATGACCTATTTACAGGGGTTGCCTCAAGGCATGGTTTGTCATTCAAGAGCGATAAATAGCAATAGATATGCAGTCGAATAATTATTACAAGTACTTGGGCAGTCACAAGTTCCTCGAGCGCAAGTAGGCTCTATGTGCAAATTTCAGAGCGCTTGCTAATTAGCAAGAGCCTAAGTAGGTACTTGAGTACCCAGGTACTTAAGTACCTAGGTAGGTTGCTGGGTTGACTCGAAGTCGCGGGGGCGGCCGGGACCGGGAAAATCAGGAGCCGCTTCGAAAAAAAAATTGCTGACTTTCTCGAAGCTGTTGGAAGAAAGAGCTCCACTTGACCTCAACCGCGATCCTCAACTTCGAAAACCCTCTTCATCGTCAACAATTGCTTCTCCCACGGAACCCGGCGGACTTTGCGGCAACTCGAATTAATCTCCATTACAATGGTATGTGTTGCGCCCCACGGCCGAACTGGCACCCGCGTAGGGCCTCAAATCACCCATGTTGCTTTACTGTTTGATGCACGCATGGCGAGGGAGCTTCAATCCGTTTCGACAACGGCCAGGACAAGGCTCTCTCTCTCTCTCGCGACGGGTTCACGCACCTCGTAGCAGGGCTTGGTAACTGACGCGTGTCATGCCATTACATGTAGGCTACTTCAATCCGTTCCATCCGAGCCCTCGCTCCTCTCCTGGACCGTGTCCTCGTCCAGCGCGTCAAGGCCGACACCAAGACGGCCGGCGGGATCTTTCTCCCCGAGTCGAGCGTCGAGAAGTTGAACGAGGCCAAGGTCCTGGCTGTCGGGCCTGGCGCCATGGACAAGCAGGGAAACCGCTTGCCCATGGGCGTCGCTGTCGGCGACCGGGTCTTGATTCCCTCGGTAGGTAGCACCAGGCGGACGGACATTTTGCCCATGAGCGACGCCGGGACCGACTGACTGACTGCTGTTATCTAGTTTGGCGGCTCGCCCGTCAAGGCGGGCGAGGAGGAATACCAGCTGTTCCGCGATAGCGAGTAAGTTGAACCTGCATGCTTGTCGGCGTCGCAGCGTGTGCTTCCTCAAGGCAAGGCGACGACTAATGTATCTCGTGTGTGCCATAGGATTCTGGCCAAGATCAACGAGTAGATCATTCGCACTTGAGCAGCCAACGAACATCACGAGTGTACCATATACTGTACCATACGGCATAAATGACGGTCGCAAAGCGGGACAGATAGAGTGGCAACCTCTTTGCATGATTGACTGGGAGACGAGCAAGTCTGGGGTCGGGGTGGACGTGTACGTGTACGCGTTCCAGGTAGAGAATCTCTGGGCGCGTACAGAGGACGAGAAAAGGGGGCTGGTCTTGGAAGGATTTACATTCAATCTCCACTCATGGCCTTGTAGTTACTACTTGCACATTTGAACTTGAACATGTGAAACAGGCATCGTCTTTTTTTATTCAAGCCAATCTGCGTCGAGCATGAATTAGACCGGTTGTCTGTCAAGGGGCATGGACTGTGGAGCGGCGGCGGCGTCTGGTCTCGTCTGGTCAAACCCACGTCGTCGCTGCCCTCGCATCGCATGCTGTGATGTGATGCAGCCCAGACAAAGTGCGGAGCAACGTCGGCTGCATGACGCAGTGGGTCAAAGATCACCACTGGCGTAAGCCGTCAGCTGCTTCGCATTCCATGACATGACGATCCGCCCGCCCACACGACTCGACTCAAAGTATAAAGCCTCCCACTGTCCCGCGACGCAGTGCATGCAACGCAGTGCCTCAGGGCAAGAAAATCCACTCCCGACCACCGAATCACGGCGCAACCATGACGAGTCTTGCAAAGACCATCGTCGCTACAGGCCTCTCCTCGGGCATCGTAGGTTTCGGAACGGACACTCACCGATGCACATGCACCCACAGCGTCTGGCCAGCCTAACCCGGAACTAGGGCCTGGAAGTGCTCAAGCAACTCCTGGAGCAAGCTGTGCCGTACAGCGTCATCCTCGGGGCGCGAGACGTCGAGGCCGCCCGCGATGCCGTCTCACGCCTGCAGTACGACAGGGCGGCGAACGCAGTGACGGCCCTGCCCGTTGAACTGGCCGACTTGAGGACGGTCAAAACGTTTGCCCAGCAAGCCCTGGACAGGGTCGGAAGCGGCAAGATTGACTACTTGCTCCTGAACGCCGGCATGCTGAAGCCCGCCGAGAAGGGCTCCCACGGGAAGTGGTGCGAGGCTGCTGTCGTCAATCATTTTTGTGAGTCCGTCTCCTTCGTCTCCACGTGGTCCGTCGAGTCGGGCTACGTCTGGCCGGTGACGTGGCTGAGTGTCTGCATCTTCATCAGCTCAGCATTATTTGATACACCTGCTGCGGGACAAGTTGGTTGCGTCCAGGTCGCGAATCGTGGTAGTTTCCTCGGGTGCTATTCGCAACGTGCAAGATGCTGGTACGTACGGTTTGCCCTGCCCGTGGGGACGGACCCCGGGGCGCAGCGCTCGGGAAGAGCTGGCTGGCTGACGGACGGGATAGCTGCCCTCGAGGCGAGGCTCGCCAACGGCTCCGGAGCCGACGGCTACTCCGTCTACGCGGGCAGCAAGTTCGCGCAGCTGCTCGCGGCGCACTGGTGGCGGCGCCAGCTCAAGGGCCAGTGTGACGTCGTGGCCGTTTCGCCGGGCCTGGTTCCCGCCACTGGTCTTGGGCGCGGCCAGGGATTCGCGATTTCTCCAGATTTGCCCGACGCCAAGTCCGTGCCCGAGGGCGCGCAGAGCGTCATTGCCGCCTTGTCTCGTGGTGACTTTCCCGAGGACCCGGACCGCATCTTCTTGACGAGCTGGGGCGAGTGGTGGGACCGAGACGTCATCGGCAAGACGTTGGACAAGGAGCTGCAGGACAGTTGGTGTCCTGGCAGGGAAGAACTGGAGAGGGATGCCGGCGTTGTGTCATGATGCGTCATGCATTGGCGCGGGGGAGGGAGGCAATGCGTTGCTCAGAGGGCCGTGGCCGTCTTTGCGGAGCGGTAGGCCACTGGAGGGTGGTCCCGTGGGCATTGGGAGGTTTTGATTCTGGTGGTTTCTCGTCAGTTTCGTGTTGATTGGATGCGCCGAGTAGCTGGTGATGACACCAACTAGCCGATGTATAGCTACATGAGTCTACTCAAGCAGCTCAAATATATAAGCAATAAAAATACTGCAATCTTGTGCTATTTTATTACCTCTCATTACACCTCGTTACATCTCATTAGATCTCATTACATCGCATACTATTTTGTATGTAACAGGAGTTTGGCGTACACTCATAAAAATGCCAACAAGACAGGAACACATGTACAAGAATAGGAACTACAGCCCACAAGACACTGAAACAAGGGCTGGGTGGTAACAACAAGTGGGACCTGCAACGCGAAAGCTACGCATCTCTAGACCTGGTGAAAGGCGTGTCCCGTCCGTCGAAGAACGATGTTGACCAAAGAGTCGCCTGGGAAGTCTATAATGACCACACCAAGCCTGCTGGCGCCCTTTTCGTAGAACTGCTGACGAATATACTGGTTCGTCCTGTCGTTCAGGCCCTCTATCGAACGATTTTGGGTTCCCGCAGCCGCTTCAATGGGCAGGACGCCGACAGATGCAGAAAGGTGCGACAGGTACAGGTGTTGGTTGTCCAGGGGAGCGGAATTTGCCTTTTCGAAATGGTTTACAATAGCGTCCATCTTCTCCTCTATGTGGTTCATGTCCTGGAGGACCCATTCGTCTTGCAGAACCATCTGGGGCCCGTCCCAACGGAGGCCGTACTGGAATTCAGGGGACGGGAAACCCTGCAAGATGAAGATTTTGTTGCGGATTTGACCAACCGTGGGGAGCGGCATGCTGTCGTTGTGGACGTACCAGTGCGCGTGCCAGCGGTCTTTGATGCGAGGGTCGGTGAAGCGGACATTGCTAAAGGCCCCGTGGAAGGGCATGGTGTTGCGGCCAAGGGGCTCGCCTTCTTCCTTGAGGCGCATCACGATGAACTCGCCGGGGTGGTCTTGGAGATAGTCGAAAACGGTGACGAGGACGTCGACGTACGAGTGGCCGGTTGGGGTGTCGGCGTGATAAATGTGCAGTCTGTCGTCTCTCAGACGCGCGCGGATGTCAAGGTAACGGATGCCGGCCTGTAGCTGGGTCCTCAAGTCCCAGTTTTGGCATCTCAGCCGCCGACTCCGAATCGTGTACGACATGGTGTCGTGGGTGCCGGGGACGCTGAGGCTCGAGACGTTGAAGTCATCCGGGACCGTCTGCGTCCACGTCGGCCAATGCGACTTGTCAATGTCAAAGCAGCTGTGGCAAGTGTAGCCCCAGTACGTGCTTGCGTTGGCGAGATACGGCGCGAGGCCCAACATGAAATACAAGAGCAGCAGCATGGTGAAGGTGGCGCACAGTATGATGGCGATGAGGCGGAGGAGGACGAGGAGGGTGGGCAGACGACGTCTCAAGGCGAGGAGACGGGGTTTCCACAGGGAAGAAGGAGAGGAGAGGGCCGGGGCCGTGTTTGGTAGGATACTCATGGCACAAGGGAGGGATGAAGGACAAGCGGACGCCGTCTTGTAGACTGACGCTGACTGTATTTCTGCATCTGCCGCAGAGAGGCAACGAGGGATTTGGATGAGAGCAGGTAAGTACCAAGCAGGTTCCAGGCTACCGCGTGATATACTATGATATACTGCGGTATACTCAATGTCCCGTATACGCTTGACAGCGCAGGCAGATGGATGCAATTGGAGGCAGGTTCACACGTGTGCAGCCGTCGAGTGCATAATTGGAGCGCCTGAGGTTTCAACCACGACGGCGGGGGCGATCTGGGATGGATCTGGCCGTCGCCGGGGCGCCCCGGGGCCGAGTTTGTGCTGCTTTGGTTTACCCATGATTGATCCGGGGGCCAAGCAAGGTAAATTATGATGTAGTAACCAGATTCGTCCCACCAGAGTCCAGACCACCAGACCAGACAGACACTCGAATTCAGAACTCCGTCGTCCATCCCCATGGCCCTCTGGTCCGTTACACCTCATTCTCCTCCTCACCACGTCCCGCAGCAGTTGACAAGTCTCTGCACATGTAGCCCGCACCACCGTCGGCTCCTTGCCGCGCCGACGGCAAAACCATGCCTCGTCCCAGAGTCCTCCCCAGCCAACGGCGTCGAGCCGCCGAAGCCTGCAGCTTTTGTCGAGATGCCAAGAAGAAATGCAGCGGCACGGCTCCTTGCTCTCACTGTCTCCGTCGCGGCATTGCATCTCAGTGTACCATTACCTTGCAGCCACGAGGCTCGCGAAACAGGCCAGCACCTGACGGCCCCAGACTTCAAAACGAAACGCAGTCTGGTGCGGTCAGGCTGGGATCCCAAAGTGAGCTGTCGAATCTTGGCACGCGCGCCACTGCGTGTACGCCGTCGGCTCAAACGCTAGCCATGGATGCCAACGGCAAGGGAAGAAGGAAGGGCCCGGGTGCGTCGTCTGTTCGACCTTTGTCACCATCCGATTCACGTTCACGACCCAGTCCCGAGAGTCCAGAGAATCGGCCGCACCGGGCCTCGGATGCCTCGTCGGTATCTGGAAATCCCCATTCCAGAATGCTGCTGAATTCACACGGAGAGCGAGGTAGGTTTTCCCCTCCTCGCCCCTGGAATGAATGGGCTGACACAGCTCAAACCACTGTGTGTGCTAGTATACGTCGGTGGTGCTGCTTCACTGTCCTTTCTGCAGCTTGTTCGATCTATTGTAGCCGACCAAATTGGGCCCTCGCAATTCTCGCACAATGACCAGAGTGACACCATGCTTGAAAAGGAGCCACCAAGCTCCCTTCGGGATTTCCCACCCTCTCTCCTTCCAGAGTTGGATCTTGAGACCAAACTTTTGTACGCTCAGTGTTACCGCGCCGTGGTAGGTCAAGTCTGGAACTTCCGCTGCGTCGGTAGCGCCAAGCTGACCATGTTCAGACCGAGGGATTCATTGACATATTTGCTCCCGATGAAATTGAGCAGCATCTCACACTCATCGACAACTCGCTATGCAGCCCGCAAAAGCGAGCGGTGTTTGGCATGGTTATTTCCATTGGCGCCCAGTGCAAATCCTCAGCCAGTGCCCGGGACTTTGGGCAAGGTTATTTCCGACAGGCTCAGTTTCACGCGTTCAATGGCATGCTGGAGGACCCGGATATTGACGTCGTGCGGTCGTTCTTGCTCATGGCCTTTTACCTCTTGGGCGAATGCCGCCGGAATTCTGCCTTTATGTATCTGGGAATTGCCGCCCGAGCTGCGGTGGCTCTGGGTTTGCATAGCCGGGAATCATACCAAGACTTGAATGACCCAAAGGATAACACACGGTACGTTTCTACCCGTGAAAGAACTGTAGTGCAGATCCACTGACGAATAGGAAGAATTCGGATCTGGATCAGCTTACGCATCGTTGACATGCTCGTCAACTCGATTTTGGGCCGGCCTGCGACAACTGGCGGCCCAAGTTCTGAAATGGCAACCATTCTTGAAGATTTATCTCACACGGAGCAGACGAATGAAATGGCTTGCCTAGTTGCCTCGCACCGAATCGTGTCAATCATCAACGGTATAGTCGACGTGTTGTACGAACGCAAGGAGATATCTACGTCTGTGGTCGAGGACCTGCTCAGTGAGATTGAATCCTGGTCACAAAGCCTACCTAGCTGTCTCCGATCCGCCGCAAAGACCCGGGCATTATCCTGCTCAGGCATTACCAAAGGCGCCATCGGGAGTGTCCATGTGTCGTGTCTCTACTACTTTGCCGTCACTCTCGTTACCCGACCAATCCTCATATCGACCCTGACGGCGCCACCAGCAAGCGGAGGGCTAGTCCAGTCGCAATTAGCGTCAGCATGCTTGGATGCGGCCGTTTACCTGGTTCAAACTTGCGTGGATGCCAGGAAAGTGGGCATTCTGTACGGGAATATGTGCATCATGAAGTAAGCTTTTGGCCTTTGCGTACGGGCACCGATTGTCTAACCAGTGTCTAGAGCCTTGGTCTTCGCAGCGGGGTTAGTCTTGGGATTCGAAATTTTCGCAAAGCGCTCTGTCGAGTTTGATATCGAGGCTGCATTTGCCGGTGCGAGAGACATACTCAACTTTTTGGCTGTACAAAGCCCACAAGCGGGGCATTACTACGAGATATTGACTTTGCTGTCCAACGCCATCGCCAAACAACGACAGAATGTCGCTTCTACGGGACGAAGCAGATATGTGTCGAGAATATTCACCCTCCATCAAGAAACAAAGGAGCCTGTTTCGAACAACGCGCGAGATGACCAAGGACGACTTACGCCACTAGTCGATGGTGTTGCTCCTCCATTGGCCGAGAATACGGGTAACTGGCTGAGTGGCAACAGAACGCGCGTTGATCAAGGTCAAGAAGTGTTTCTGGGTTGGGATAGTCTCGACATATCACAGTGGGATAGCTTCCCGTTTGTTCCTTGATCTTGGCAGGGTATCAGTGCGACTCTCTCCACACATTGAGCGAACTGTGGCTTTGGATGTCGCGCAAGATGCCATGTGTCCCAAACAGCAGTGCTGGCGAGGACTTGGACACGCGCGACACAATTCGTGCGACGCTTTGCATTCGCCGAGTCCGCTCCGTAGTCCTCCACGGCGTGGCTATTTGCCGTCGAGCCATGGACCACAGCAGAGCCTCGTGGCCCGATAGATGCATGATTGTTCGCGAGCCTGTCATGTCGAGCCCACTGGATGAAGAGTCTGCAAACGCGGCTCGCTCGGGATGTGGACCAGGACCACGATGGGGATCATATGCCTGAACGTCGAGGGAATGGGTTCACAGTTTACTATAAAGCTAACCCTCCCAGGCGAGTAGCTCAACTGGCGGAGTGTTTGATTGCAAAATCATGTCATGCCGTAATCAGAGGTTTTGTCTCGGCTGCTTCTTATACCTGGAATGACCATGCCGCGTATTCGAAACAAGGGAAGAAGAGCGGGAAAAGCCGTTGGTGGTGGACAGAAACAACGCTTACCCTTTGATTCGAGCGCCAATGTACATCGCACTGGCTCCCTCGGTAAGAAGACGCACTTCCATGACCCTGCTCTACACGAAACCAGCAGCTCCAGAGAGGGCACTGGTCTGGCTGCTCACGATACACTCGCTTGATTGAAAGACATTCCTTCTTCATGTGAATGCAGTCATACACCAGTGCCCAAGGCGGCAGGACAACCCAGGATAACCCGACGCCGAAGAACCCCATTTTCCGTGATACGCTAGCTACCCGCGTGACGTGAGCAAGGGATGGCACGAATGTGACAATGCACTAGCCTCGGCCCCCAAACCGTACAAGGTGGATGGATGGCGGCGACGTGGCCCAGACGACCGAATCGTAAGCCGTCATGGTACGCGGCCGACACGACACGGGGACGGAGCGGATAATGCACCAAGACGACACGGCACACCCGACATGGAACATTTTGCGGCACAAAAGGTTAACGCTCGCAATGACGTGTGGGATGGGGATGCCGGCCTATTGGCGGCCGACGATGGCTGGTGTGGCTCTGCCGTGGTCCACGTCCATGTGACGACCGGAGGAATGGTGTCCGTCTTGGACGGGGATTTTTGTGAGGTGAGCCGTCCTCGTTCCGCGAAGACGCGATATAATACACAGACATTCCCGCCGCCTCCCTCTACACAGCATCGTTCAGACCCTGAGCTTCGCGCTACGGTCTCCACACGAGAACATACCTGACCGGCAATGGGATCCAGCAGCACCGGCACCGGCGCCGGCGCCCCCGGGGGCTGGCGAAGGCTCAGCGTGGGCGTCATCGGCGGCGGCATAGGCGGCATGTCGGCCGCCATTGCGCTCCGCCGCGCAGGCCACCGGGTGACGGTGTACGAAAAGTCCGACTACGCCGGGGAGGTCGGGGCGTCGGTGTCGTGCGCGGCCAACGGCACGCGCTGGCTGCACGAGTGGCAGGTGGACGTGGCCAAGGGCGATCCCGTCGTGCTCACGAAGCTGATCAACCGGGACTGGAGGACGGGCGAGCCCGTGAGCGTCTACGACCTGGCCGACTACGAGGAGCGATGGGGCCACGTCTACAACATGTTTCACCGGCAGCACATGCACGCCATGCTCAAGGAGAGCGCGGTGGGGGAGGACGGCGCGGGCACGCCGGCCGAGCTCGTGGTCAATCACAAGGTTGGGCGGCGGCTCCCGTCTGTTTGTTTGTTTTTCCGAAGAAGAAGAGGAGGAGGAGGCCCCCCCGATTGACTGACTTGGCTGACCTGACTGACGGACGGACTTGGTCTCTAGTGTACACACGTGAACGCGGACACGGGCACGATCACGTTTGCGCACGGCCGCACGGCGCGTCACGACGTGGTCGTCGGCGCGGACGGCATCGGCTCGGCGGTCCGCGGCGCCGTGGGCATCCGGCCGGAGAAGCGGCCCTCGGAGCAGAGCTGCCTCCACGCCAACGTCACGACCGCCGAGGCCGTGCGGCTCGGCCTCGTCGACTACTCGCAGCACCGGGCGCTCGAGTACTGGGGCGGCCAGGAGGGCAAGTGGGACAAGATTGTGCTCTCGCCCTGCAACGACGGCAAGCTCCTGTCGTACTACTGCTTCTTCCCGCGCGAGCAGGGAGACTACGCCGCCCACGCCTGGGGGGGCGCCGACCGCCCCGTCGGCGAGCTGCTGACGCCGTACCCGGACCTGGATCGCCAAGTCTTCAGGCACCTCGAGATCGGGAGGGAGATTCGCCCCTGGAGGCTGTGGATCCACGAGCCCTACCCGTACCTTCACAGGCGCAGCGTGTGCCTCTTGGGGGACGCCGGCCATCCCATGATGCCCCACCAGAGCCAGGGCGCCTGCATGGCCATCGAGGACGCCGCCGCCCTGGGCATCTTGTTTGACGAGAACCACTTCGGGGGCAGCGTCGCCGAGGCCCTCGAGGTTTACGATGCCGTGAGGCTGCCGAGGGTGACGAGGGTGCAGGCCGCTGCCGCAAAGGCCGCGTACAACATCAACGAGAGGATCGGTACGTTTGTTTCTCTGCCAAGGGGGAAAAAGGTCTCCTCGGCCTACGCCCCCATCTTGGTCCTGGCTCTGGCGGCGCAACTAATCCCCGGGGGTCCAGGCTTCTCGGTGAACAAGTCTACCGCGACGTACAAGGTGGAGGACCCCAAGAACATCTTGACCATTGAGGAGATGAACGCGTGAGTGCGACCCGACCCGTGTGGCGCGTGTTTGAGGTTTGAGAGGGCACGAGCTGAGCGAACCCCCGCAGTTACGACATGTACAAGGACATTGAGCAGCACCTTGCGCAAAGGAGGGGGCAGGCGTATACGGAAAAGTTCCTCAACGGGCTGCCCCTAGGGCTGGAGCTGCCGAGCGGTGTTGTCGGGGCATGAGGTGAGGAAGCAGCGCGATGTCGTAGCGTGGTATGACGACAACTTTTGCACGGTCGCACAGCAGCAGATTGTTCTCCAAGTCCAACAATGTAACCAACTGCCTCGAGATGTGTCGTACCAGAAACTATTTTCGCCAAATGAAGAAGACGTGATGAACTCGTGTCCTCAAGTTGCCGTCTGTCCCCAAATGCCTGCCACCACCCTTGCCGGCAGACCCCCTACACACACCTCCCCACTCATTGTCTCACGAGGTCTTTGCCAGCGTGATGTTGTACTCCAACTCGAGAGAAGCTTGGGCATCGCCCTTTCGCGGCACAAACTCCACACTCAGCTCTTTCTTAACGGCAAACACCGAGTCGTTGTCAAGGTACTTGCAGTCCTTGTCGAAGATTTGGGTAGTCAGAGACTTGTGGCCGTCGTGTTGGACCTAGACCTCTCCTTGATTAGTCGACGAGATGGAATATTTCCTGCGTTTTTTTCTCTCTTTCTTTCTTTTTTTTAGGACATTAAAAGTGAAATGCGCGGCACGTACCATGAGGTGAATGTGAGCCGGGCGAAAGACTTGGCGATCCATCATGCCGAGCAGCTTTCCCGCAGGTCCGTCCTGGGGAACCGGATAAGGAGTTGGCCGGAGGCAGTAAAAGGAGTAGTTGCCGTCGGCGTCGGTGTGAAAGACGCCGCGGAGGTTGTGCTCCCTCTGATTGGGATCCTGCTGCTCGTAGAGGCCTGGGCACGCCACGCGCGCGGGTCAGCATCGAGCTTTGGGGGCAGGGCAGCGGGGGCAGATGCGAGATGCGAGATGCGAAATGCGTGACGCGGCCGTTGGGGACGGAGACCAATGCTTACCGTTGGTGGATGCCTGCCAAACGTCCACCGACGCATTCTGCAGCGGCTTCCCCGTCGCCACGTCCGTCACCTTGCCGTACATGTAGACGACCTGCCCGTCTGACGGCGTTTCGAAGGAGATGGTGGTGCCGTTTTCCCGGTGCGGCGTGTCCTGGCGCCAGAAGGGCCCGAGGATTGCCGACGCCGTGAGGCCGTTGGTGCCGTTGGCGGTGGCGGCGGCGACGGTGATGTCGTCGACGAGCCTGGGGGGGACGAGGGAGTCAGTTGTCGGTTGTCAGTTGCGACGTGGACGTGGACGTGGACATGTCTTGGGCCTTGCGGCCGTTGGTGCTCACGATTCTAGGCCGATGACGTCGAAGAGCAGCTGGCCCTCGTTTCGCCGGTCGTTGCTCATCCGGCCCGCCTCGTTGATCATCTCGACGCCCGCCAGCCACTCGTCTGTGGTGAGCCGCACCTCTCGCGCAAAGTCGTGGACGTGCTTGATGAGGCCCGTCATGACCTCCCGCAGTCGGGGGTTGGTCTGGGGTCCCATGGCGTCAATGACATTCTGGGTGTATTCTTGGCCCAAGACGGTGCGGTCCTGGGCGCGGGCGTTGGACGACATGGCTCAGTGTTGGAAGTTGAATCGCGATGCAACTTGGCTCGACCCAAGCAAGTGTCGCCGCGCGAGCTTCAAAACGCCGGTTTCTCGTTGGGCCAGTGTACAGCACGCGGGAGTCGCAATTCCAAGCTGCTTGCTGGGCGGCTGATGGTTGGGGATCGTGTGTCGTCGTCGGGAATCGAACTCTGGACTCTGGCCTCTGCACTCTGGCCTGTGGCGTGGTGTGTATTTATACAAGTTGCCAAGTACCAGACAGACTTGGCCGGGGCAAGCTACCGTAGCTTGTTGAGGCTGGTGCTGGGGTGTCGATCCTCGTCCTTCTTCTCACGTCCTCGTTCCGGTGTCCCCCACGACGGATCATCCGGCTCAGCCGAGGTCGTTCATGTCATGCATGCATGTACACGCACCATGCATGCACGCATGGATGAATCATGATGGGAAGGGTGGGCAAAACTCTGCACGCTTGCAGGTGGCGCCATCCCCTTGGGCAGGCCGCTTGACAATGTGCCGATGGCGTCTGGCTCGATCGGATGTAACGGCGGGTAATGCACCCCTGACGCCTGGCCGGCTGTCGACTTGTTCTTTTGGTGAGGGACGGCTTTTGCGTTGCGGTTGACCCTTGGTTGTGCGCCGGGATGACTCGTGTGACTGGACAAACCTTGACATTAAAGACGGTGAATATCCTGATGAGATAGAAAGGACAAATCTCGTTATAAATGGCAACCATGTCATTGGCCAGCCTTGGGGAAGCCCTGACTCAGCACGTGACCGACGTCGCCTCCTCACCTGGACCACTCCCGATGCGGGCGGAATCATCATCATCAACGCCCAGCAAGCTGACGGCGATTCGGCGATCCTTTTCCGCGCCGGCGTCCCAGCTCGCCTCGTCACTTCCGTTCGGCCGACTCGCCCTCCGAAAGCTAATATCCAAGCCCTCAATCTCCATCACCGGCAGCACCGCAGAGACATTCGCCTTGTACCCCTCTGAATACCAGTGATCCAAGTATTTTGCGTCATCCACAAACTCTGGGAACAACTGTCGCATGCGCCTCAGTGCCGTGCCCGAGATTTGGTCCACGCTGTGCGCGTGACGCAGCGCGAGAAAGTCTGCGCCAGCCTGTTTCCGGAGCTCCTCCTGAACCGCCTGCGGAAGCAGACCGACTTTGAACAGCAGCAGGTCGTAGTGCAACAGAGAAGCCATGCCATGCCACGATCCACCCCGTGTCGTGCGCTGATACAAACCCGTCAAGGCCGCGATGGCACCGATGCAGCCCGTGCCGTAGTCGGATATGGGAAACGGCGGCACGACAGGCTCGTCCAAGCCCATGAAGCGCCCTTGCTCCCACGCGACGCCCGTTACCTGCATACGTGCGTGCGTGTTAGCCTTGCAACCAACTTGGACGTCTGCCGTGTGGCGCGACTCACGCAGTCGGCGATTTGCTGCCAGCCTGGCCGGCCTGCCCATTCGCCCTTGTATCCGAAGCAATTCTCGTTGACGTACACGATGCCCTTGCCCCGTTTAACAGCAATGTCCGCCATTGACCTTGGCCCGTAACCGAGTCTCTCCAGAGCCCCCGGCCGGTACCCGTCGACCAGGACATCTACGCTCTGCAGCAGCTCCTCAAACGTCTGTCGTCCCTCGGCCGTCTTCAGATCCAGATCGGCCGTGCGCTTGCCCATGTTGCCATCAACCTGGAAAAACGGCACGTCGCTCAGGGCCGGGCTCGTCACCTTGAGCACCTCTGCGCCGTACTCTCCCAGGATCCGCGTGATTGTTGGGCCCGCGATGATGCGACACAAGTCCAGGACCTTGACACCAGACAGTATCCGCTTGTCGCCAGTCCAAGGCAGCGGGATTTTGGGCGTCTGCGTCTCCAGATTCTCAACCGACCACGGTGGCAGCGGCCAGTTCTCTCTGCCCTGCGAGCCTCATTAGCCAACGACGTGAAGTCAAACCGTCAACCACCACGCAAACGATATACTTGCATGTTGGGTCCGCAGAAACTCATCATGCCGAAACGCCTTGACGCCAGCTTGTCGGTTGCGAGCGTTCATCGTCTCCAACTGCTCAACCGTAAACCTCCTCACCGCCGGCTCAATCGTGTCGACAATGTCTTGATGCGACTCGAGATCCGGCCGGTGCGACTCCAGCCCAATCATGTTCAGCGTCGTCGACGCCTCCAGGGATCCGTGGATGTGGTAATACTCCCCCCTTTCAGCAGTCTCGTACAGGTTCGCAGACATGCGCCGGTACGGGTTCGACTGCGCCTGCAGCAGGTCGGTATCTGAAGCCTCGCTCGCCCAAGCAAGCCCCCCCATCAGCCTGAGCTCGACCATGCACAGCGTCGGCGACTGATGCCCCAGAGACTCTCACCTTTCAGGAGCGTCTGCACGTGTTTGTCCAGTTTCCCCAGCCCCCCGACCCTCGCCAGGTACGCCTGGAACAGGAACGCCGTGGTCTTCTCCTGGTCCACGACGATGCGTCTGCCGCCCTGCTGCTGGCCGAATTTCTCATCTGCCAGGGCTGACGCGACGCATCCTTCGACGGCTTTCAGTGCCGCCGACAGCTCGGTTTCTTTAAACGGGATAGGGAAATACGGCCGGTCCCTGGCGCCCGTAAGCTGGACATGTGCACGTTTACCTATCGCTTCTGCCGGGAGGGAAACACGGTCCGGCAAGGACAGCAGGAAATCCAGGATCCTGCGCGTCTCCGCGATGCAGCTGTACGAGCTGTCTTCGGAGCTCATGGCTGTTTGACCTGCGCTTTTCTCCCGCGACAGTGACGTGACGCGACGCGACGATGGATGATGTCGAGCGATGGATGGGGCCGACAAGATAAATGGCCCGTCGACAAAACCGGCTACTTGCTGTGAATTCCAAACTTCTGCACTTGATCGATAGCCTAGACTGCCTTGCTTTTTTTCTTTTACCTCCTCCTTTCCTGTTGAACCGCCGCAAGTTTTGGACGGCGACGACCGATCGGGTGATGCCCGAGATGCCTAGTTCCGATGGAGTCGGGTTGTGCCTCTTCCGACGGCTCCACCGGCGTGACTTGTCGGATAATAACTCGAAGCATAATCGCGCATAGTGGCTAGTCTAAACTCGATACCGCCGGCACTCGGCTATCGCGGCCCGCGGGTGCCAGCCGCAGTCGCAGTCAGTCATCCCAGGTGTTTGCCGGTGTAAAATAATCCCTGTTTGGGTACCCGCGGGTGCCACTTGTGACCTTTGTAGATGCTTAAGTACCTAGGTACCTAGTTAAAAGACGCAATATCTCATAGTAAAATCCTCCCGATTTGGACCCAAGGATGTAACTACTGGTACCTCAATTTTGGATCCAAGGGTACCCATTTTCACACCTTACCTACCTACCTACTTAACCTACCCTCTTGAGTCTTTACCGACTGTTGTAAAGGTAGCAATGGCGTTGGGAGCCTCCTCTGCAGTTATTGAAAGGCTCGTACCTTCAAGGACAACGTGACAGGCGGGCAGGAATTAAAGAACTCGAAAGACGCTTCATTGCTTAGCGCTACGCGGCATGATAACCTTGTTACAAGAATAAGAAAAATGCAAAAAATTTGAAGCAGCTGTTATAAAGTCCTCTACTGCAAAATACGTATACAATATGCCCATCTGAATTCGTGCCGGCGTGTGTCCAAATCTGTACTAGCGTTTATGCGTCATCCAAACCTTGTTTATTCGTGTTTAGTGGTCCTACTTTCGTTTTGGTGTGCATTTAATTGGAGGCAGACGCCCACGTTGCGTCGGATGCTTTGCTTCGGCTTAAGCGGTCATCGACTCCTCGTGTCCTCGGTTGACCTGGCTGAATCGTGTCGCCGACGCCCATGTAAGCTCCAAAGTCAAGATGCCTACGATTCAAATCGACAACCAAGCGCTGTATTACAGCTGGAACCCGGCGGGCGACGGGCCGATTTTGCTCCTCGTCCACGGGCTGGGGTCGAGCAATTCGTTCTACGCATCCATTATCCCAGGCTTAGTGCAAAAGGGGTATGCGTGCCTGGCATTTGATACCCCAGGTATGCCGCCTCGACAATGTCGCAAAAAAAAACATCCTTGTAGTATTCCGTAAATTGACCATGTCTAGGAAGTGCCTTGTCGACGTATGGAGGCAGAGAAATCGACGGAGAAGCAATATGTGGCGCGGCAGTAGCTCTTATCACAGCCCTTCAGCTGGATGTCAAGCGCGTCATTGTTGTCGGGCATTCCATGGGAGCTATAATAGCTAGCACGATGGCTCTTCATTTGGGAACCTTGGGAGTTGTCCTTATCGGGCCTGTGAATCCCTCGGCGGCATTGGCAGATGTAATGGATGCACGCATTAAGCTCGTCGAGAGTGGTAAGAGCCCGTGACAAGTTGGCAAGTCTCTCCAGAGACGTCTATCTGATTGATTGTCCGCAGAGGGGATGGAAGGCGTAGCAAACGTCGTTCCTTTCGCAGCTACAGGCCCCAGAGCAACGGCAACACAGAAGGCCTTCGTCCGAGCCCTCTTGTTGGGTCAGACTGCAGAAGGGTACAAGTCTCTCTGTCGGATGATTGCAAATGCGGGACGACCACGATACGAGGACATCAAGTGCCCCTTGCTCATTATTGCTGGTTCGCACGACAAAACTGCTCCGCTCCCAGGGTCTCGGGACATTTTGAATAGGTGTGTACACGCTCCACGCTCGCGACTTGTAGGACCATGTTCCTGATTGGGATTCGCAGTTGGGGAGTTGGGCCTGGACTCAAGCGAATTGAGATCTTGGCTGATGTTGGACACTGGCACTGCATTGAGGCAGCGCCTGAAGTGGAGGATCTGGTGGGCGCATTTGCTGAAGGCGTTCGTGCACTTCTGCAGCATCCCAAGCATGAATGAGACGGACGCAGCTGAGCTGGGCGGTTGAATCATCTTTAGACCGTGGATGCTGTTCTACCCTCTGCTCGCTCCAGTGTCCTATTTTTGCCAATGAGCACAAGAGGTATATTACGTTTTGCGTAGATTGTAGCGGACGCCATCGACTTACAAGATAAACCTGGTAAAATTTCATCCTCCACTTCCCATCGGGCGACTTGATAATGTTGGCCCTCGCAGCCCAATCGACATCTGCATTTGCGCCATTGCGCAATCCAAGGGCGACAGACCCGTACAGCATGAATTCATCAGAGTCATTAGAAAAAGGAAACACCTTGCCGATGGTGTGCCTGCGGGACGCTACTGCGGACCACATGGCGATTCTCGCAGTCATAATTTCTGGGTTCGGGTTAGCAGCTAATGCTGATGGAGAAGATTTGGAGGTGATACAAACCGTCTTTTCCTTGTGCTTTTTTGGAGGCGAGAATGAAGATTGCATCTTGGGTGAATTGGCCGACGTATTGCTGGTGTTCTCCCGGGATGTCTGATATGCGGTAAAAGTCCTCGAAGAACTGGATGATGTCTGGTGAGACGGTAATGTCGCTTGGGTAGACGGCTCTGTACGAATGGGCCATGACGTGACTGCTTGTCGATGGATCAGAGACAGGCATTGAAAAGGACGTTCAAGTCTCGATGGGAGCGATTGATTGGTACAATCAGAGCATCGGCGTGCTACTATGACGGCGATGATGCGATATTGAGCTCGTTGGGCTGACCGTGGCAAATATGGGAAGCCCAAATCAAAAGGTATGAATGAACTTCAGGGTAATGTCCCTTGAGACGTGGCTCTTTGGTGAATATCGAGCTTCATTCGCAAACGCGCACAATTCAACCGCAGGCTGCCAGATGGCTGTTTCTAGGCTGGAGGCGTGTGGTGTTGGATTTTGTGCGCCACTCTGCGTCGGGTCAACTGGTGATGTTTTGTCAAATATTGATTCAAGGGGTGGCGGCTTTGGGGTGCGACGGTAACCGGCATTGTGCACTGTGCGCAGTAGCACTGTATTTACCACACGGCTTCCTATTCAGTCTGCCCCGCACTCAGCGGCGGATACTGTGCAACGTCAGTCACACCAGGAGGACACGAGACCCTGAGCATCCATCCGCCTCCAAGATGCATCAAGTGCAGTTACTTGATGCTAAAAACGTCCAATCTAGGCAGGCCATCGGCGTCGTAGCTGGCATAGGCCGACAAAACGAGCAGCCACTTAATACAGAGATTCGCGCCCCTCTGTCTTACCGCACACACACATCCCTTTAGCTCGCATCAACTGTTCTTGCCTCGCTCTCAGACATGTACGGAAAGGTTGCTCTCGAAGAGGCCTTCGCCCTCCCTCGCCTTCACGAGAAGACAAGATGGTGGGCTTCTCTGTTTGCCGTCAATCCAGACCAGCATGCCGCCGAGATGACGGATATCACTGATGTTCGCATCAAGTACATGGACAAACACGGCGTCGGCTACACCATTCTCTCATATACAGCTCCCGGAGTTCAAGATATTTCGGACCCCAACGAGGCTCAGGCTCTGGCCGTAGAGGTTAACGACTATGTTGCCCATGCCATCAAGAACCGCCCTGACCGACTTGGAGCTTTTGCGTAAGTCTCTCCGTCTCTACCCTGCCTGCCCCTGCCCCTGCAGCAGCATAAAAGCCATCAGCCTTGACGGCCAAGTTGCGGAGCAAAGTGAATTGGGAAAATTCAAAGTTGAAAAAAAAAAAACCTTAACTCGACGAGCTAACCATGATCAGTACCCTCTCCATGCATAATCCCCAAGAAGCGGCCGCTGAGCTCAGGCGCTGCGTCACCCAATACGGCTTCAAGGGCGCACTTGTCAACGACACCCAACGCGCCGGCCAAGACGACATGATCTTCTACGACGGCCCAGAATGGGACGTCTTCTGGTCCACCGTCGAGGCGCTCGACGTCCCCTTTTACCTGCACCCGCGCAACCCCACCGGCTCGCTTTACGAAAAGCTCTGGGAGAAGCGCAAGTGGCTCATCGGCCCTCCTCTGAGCTTCGCGCAAGGCGTGTCTCTTCACGTCCTGGGCATGGTGACCAACGGCGTCTTCGACCGCCACCCAAAGCTGCAAGTTGTCCTGGGCCACCTGGGAGAGCACATCCCATTCGACATGTGGCGCATCAACCACTGGTTCGAGGACGTCAAGAAGCCGCTCGGTCTAGACTGCAAAAAGACCATTCGGGAGTACTTCCAGCAGAACATCTGGATCACCACGAGCGGACACTTCTCCACGACGACTCTGCAGTTCTGCATGGCCGAAGTTGGGGCGGATCGCATCTTGTTCTCCATTGACTATCCGTTCGAGTGCTTTGCGGATGCCTGTGATTGGTATGATGGCGTGCCCATCAATTTGGTGGACAAGGCCAAGATTGGAAGGGATAATGCCCGGAGGCTGTTCAAGCTATCTGAGTTCAAGGACTCGGCGAAGCATGTCGGTGCGTAGAATAGAGAGATACATGGACGACTTTGAGTGATTGTGGGACACGACTATTCATCACAGACGCTTACTGTTCAACGTCTGATGTAGGAGCTTGATGGAGCAACGTTCGCCTCGGGGTTTGATGACAGTTCCGACTACTCGATATGGCTTTCAACAGAAAAGGCGCATACTAGCTTCTGTAAGGTCACTAGCCGGGGTTGGGATAGTCATGAAGAGAACCTGGTCGGAGTCGTTTCAAAAAATCCCACGAAAAGGTCAGTCAAACGGCAAGCTGGCTGCTAACCTTGGTCCGTACCCTACCTGACGCATTTCGACGGAAGATGACGAGCATTTATGAGGGTACTGACGCCCCTTTTTTTTTCCCGCGATTCCGTGAGGCATGACGACAACGGCATCAGCACTGCAACCGCAATACGTGCCGGTGAAAGAAACGGTAGCGTCAACGGAACAGGAACAGCGTTGAAAATTGAAATGTCCACTTGTGGAGAGGTATACAATCCTATCCCTACTGTGGCCCGAGTTCCGGATTCTAGGATTTATCGTGGCTGACCGGCCCCCCGACATTGCAACGCTTGGCAAAACGCTAAAAGGACGATATTGTATTATAACCAGCTAGTCGTTAACTTGACGGGCAGTCGTCAACTGATAAAGTCTGTGCCAAGCCTATTATAGGCCGGGAATATATACTCGCCGCTTGTCCCTGGAGTATATTTATAACGAGGGATCTTGGACTCGAGATTGCGGCTGATGTCGCGGCTGCTATCTCTTGCGAGAGTGTAGTTAGATAACCCGACTATTAGTCGCCGACCTGGCTTGACCGACCATTGCAGTTGACCCAACTTGAAATGCCAAAGGCTGAAAGCGAAAAGCTTAATCCCCTCTCTTGCATTTTTATTAATTACCACCACTAGAGTCTTTACAGTAGTGGTCTAATTTCTACCCCATCAAGAAGTAGTGTGCGCTCCGTCAAAGTTGGGTCAGTGGCAACAGTCAGTCGGTCAAGGTCAGGTCGGCGACTTATCGTCGGGTCATCTACATTCTCATCTCTTATAGTTTATACCCCTACAAGCTCTCCTATCTCTGCCAAGGTTGCACTCATACAACTCCGACGAGCCGCCGACATGGCGACTCGTGGAACCGAGCGCAGGCTTGTTGTCCACGGTAGAATCCTATATATGTCACGAGACCCTTTCGTGCTCTGCTCTGCAGCTCCTTACAGCATCTGTGTTGTGACCTCGGACCCTAAGCCCCAGTTGCCCACTGCCTCGCCCAGTCAGTCTTGCGTGCCGGGAGAAGAGGTTGACTGCTTTGTGCAGAGACTGATATATGCCGAGCAGAGCTGCTGCGCTTGCAGAGTCGTCACTCGAGCAGATAGCCCCTCCATCTACTCTCTGGTGTCTGGCCTTTTCCTCCAAGGCTCTCTGCTAGCAATATGAAGCTCGTCACTACTGCTCTTCCCACTACCCTCCTCGGCCTTCACGTCGGGCTATTACTTGCCGACACTGGGAATTCCGATGCAGGCCGCATGACAATCGGCTATAGGTCTGTGGGCAAGGCAGGTCGACTTCCAGTGTGCTATTACTATCAGCTCAGGGCCTGGCTGACGGGAAGCAGGACGAGGAAAGCCTCATCACAGGCGCGGGCACGCTCATCCAGAGCCGCAACACAGCAGCCACTCACCTCGGGCCGGGCGTCTACATAGGCAACAGCCCGATACAGCGCGATGGCGATAGGTCTGTCATGCGCCGTCTGTGCTGCTTGCTGTCTTGCCATTGCTTACGCGGCATCCAGTCTCTTTCTTGTCACCGCCAATGAGGCCGCCTTTATGAGCACGCCCAAGGTCTGGGTGCCCCCGGAGTACTGGACGCTGCCGGTCCGGGAGGACGACGCGGCGGCGCAGCGAGAGGCCAAGATCGCCAGGCAGCAGCTTGACTACTACATCGAGGATCACGGGCTTCGTCCGTCTCGTACCATGAGGCTGGCCATGATAGATTGGGCCGACTCGGACGACATCGAGCAGCTGCTTATCCCAAACGACATGCTGTCTCGGGACCGGAATGGAGCTCCCATTGAAACCCGTAGCAGACTAGATACCCAGGTCGAAGGGCCAGTAGGGCGCTTCTTCTTCAGCGTCGACTACGACGAATGGGAGGGCATCGCGGGCAGCAAGGTCCTTACAAACGACGCACTCCGCGAAAGGAGCGCCCTTCTGGTGCAAAGAGCAGCCAAGGCGGCCAGGGCGGCCGACGAAATCCTGGACTGGGACTCGCGCGCCGAAGCGGCAGAGGCAATGGTGGAAGCCGTCGACATGGCCAAGCGGTGTGCCGAGGGAGTCGGTCATCTCCACCGACGGCGCCCCGAGTTGGTTGAGTTTGACGACTTCAACGCCGCGTATCGGCAATACGCCAACGCCCGCAGGACCGAGGCCAAGTTCCACAAGCTGACGCTGATGAGGGCCGTGGAGACACAGAAGAGCAAGGCGGCCCAGGCGGCGGGGAGGTCAAAAGACGCCACAGACAAGGCTTCCTGGACCGCCGAGGCCGAAGACGCCGCCAGGCAGGGCAGGGGACTGCTCGAAAAGGCCGCCGACCGGACCAAGGCTTTGAAAAGAGCCCACGAGAGGCTGGACTCGATCCGGAAAGCCTTGGACGGCGGGGAGGAAGAGGGGTTAGAGGCGCTCGTAAAGAACCCGCGGGCTGTCTGGGCCATTCTTCAGGAATCCTTCGTTAGCATGGGCGGGAAAGAACAGGCATCGCTAGACAGGGCTATAAAGGACGAGGCAGCTATTGCACAGCAAGAATACTCCATCCTCCAGGAGGGCGTCAACGAGGCCGGCGCCGTGGTCAGCGAGATTGAGAAGACTGTCGAGGCAGCCCGTCCCACGGCCACAAAGCCGGATGGTGTACTTTGCCAACGCGCGGCGGAGGACTGCGTCGGAATGCAACAAGGGGAACGTGCCCCTACCGCAGAGACGGCCGACGGGGGCGAGCTGGTAGCGATGGCCGAGCAGAAATCCAAGGAAAACTTCAACCGTCTCTTGGAGGAGTTTGACTATGGCCAACTAGTACAACACCCCCAGCTATACGACAAGCTACGTGTCAAGCTTGAAGAGTTTCGCCCGCTGCCACGAGCCGAGAGAATTGCTCGCTTGGCGCCTCACAATGTGGAGGGTGTGCTGGGGGTCGGCGGCCTTGCACTCTATGGTAAAGATGTAGCGGATGTATTCTGGGAAGACACCAGCGTCCTCGATAAGGTGGCGAGGATCACGTCCATCATACCCATCATCGGCTGTGCCGTTCAGCTTGCAGATGATGTACAGAAGGAATACGTCAACGCTGTCCATACTGCGTTGTGCTTCGCTGAAGATGCCCTCACCTTGTCTGGGTTATGGGAAATAGCGCTGGCAATGCAGTTATCAGAGCAGTTTGTTGGCTGGATAACGGACGGAAACGAACAGAACAAGGAACTCGACACGGCGATGCTCAGGAACAGGCTCATAGGGGGGTGGCAGATCAACTTTAGCACTGTGATGGACCATCTCATGTCCGAGGAGTTTGCGGCAAATGTGACGATCAAACTCTCGTCGTATAACATCCTCACTTTGTACCAGGCGGCGCAGCTCGCAGGCGATGTACACGCTTCTCATCACGCCGTGTCGCGAAAAGCCAAGACCGCCAATGTGAGACCACAGCAGGGAGATATCGCGGCGCATGTGCAGCCCGAATTTCGACGGCAAATCTGCGCGACGATAGCACAGAGAAAATACCAGTTGCAGAAGGAGCTTGAGGACAAAACTCTCAGACAGGTTGCGGAACTAGCCGAGGACTACAAGCAACGGTTTTTGGATGATTTCCGGGAGGCAGCGACCAGAACTGATTTCATGCTCGGTGCTTTGGTCTCCGTTGGGGACGACGGTATCGACCAAGCCATCGCTGAGGTGGCAAAGACTCGCCTGCCCCTATACGAGTCCAGGATCGAGGGGGCCATCCGAGCGGTCGTCGAGCGGCTCGGAACGTCGGCGCCTTGCACATGTCTGCAGGGCCGCAGGAAGCGTCCCTGCGAGTTTGCACACTGCAAGCAGGCAGTGCCTCGTATGGGTACCATGGATGCAGCAGGGAGAGTGTATATTAGCAGGGTGCGGTCCATGTCCCATGGCAAGACTATTGGCGTATCCGAGGATTGCTTGTCCCTCTTCACAACCTGTCGGGGTCGTCGGTCGACCCATGAGATCGGCAGGCCGCTATGGTGTACGGCGCAATGAGCTGCGTAGATGGCTTCTCTGAGAGCTTGGGGAACGATTGTTCTTGCAGGCGTGGTAGGACTCCGTAGTCGTTACTGTCCGCCATGTCCTTACGCAAGAGGCAAGGGAGGGAGGTAGACGAGTACTGGCGATTCGACAATGGATCCGATCTTGTAGAGATACCGACAGCTGTTTGGAAAAGGTCTCAACGTGTCGTCTTGGGGTCTGCCGAATCACGGCGTCGGCTCCGGGATGGATCCTGGGGGAGGGAGGAGCTTCAAGACGGAGGTGTCAGTGTCAGTGACTGTCTTTGTTTGCTTTGAAAGCCATGACTGGAATGTATACCTCTGTCTGCGTTGCGGTCGCAGACACATGCATCGTCATGCAGAAGAAAAACATGAAGACATGAAATTGAATCAACTGCCCAAAAGAGCAACTGCCTCGCTTCGCTTTCAGATTAGGGCAAGGCGTCGCCGCAACGGCATGTGACTGGCCGCCGCCGTGACCATTGACTTTGACGTCGGCATCCCCTCAAACGCCGATCAAAACATTTCGTGACCGCAAGTTTGCCGCGGCCGCAACGGGTGGCACTACTGCTGCTACTGAGAGAGCAGTTTCAGATGCAGCACATGATTCCAAAACCTTTGTGTCACGCTGGAATTGTGACGCGACGTCAACTAAACACGCATGCATATAGGGTTTTCCTTGCACCACGCATACGCGATGAGCTAACCTTCATCAGAAGCGGTGTTGACTTGTTTACAGGCCTACCGAATTTGATTCTTGATGAGTGCGACGCATGCATACTCAAGCACGTTAGTACACATGTTTTGTGCTGAGCCTCTGGTCTTGGCTGCATTTGCGTTTCGTATAACGTTGATTCGTTGCACGGATGGAAACTTTTACGTAAGCAGGCCTTGAACAACGATCAAAACTCGGGTGGAACCGACAAGTTGAGCCTGACCCTAACCCTAGAGTCCACGTGACGCGACTCGTGAGGCCGTTTCTGCACGCTTTGTTCTTTTTGGACAGCTTCTGGGAATAACTCGGGCCGAGTGAGACGAGGTGTCACCAGAGTGCTTCATGAGTCATGCGTCATGCGAAATGCGTCATGCGTCGTTGACGGCTGGAGGACAAAGAATGCGGGCGGTGAAAGGTTGGCCGTGGACGACTTTCTCGCCGAGATGCGATGCGATGCGATGCGATGCGATGCGACTGGGTGACGGTTCAGACAAAATTCAGATGCAACCGCCAGCCGCCCACGGATCTTCGTCTCCCTCGCACGAGACCAGCCAGCGCACTCAACTGACCCCCATCATCGGCGCCGCCCGCCTGCTTTGTCATGGCCGTGCGCCTTCCTTTTCCCTCCAAGCTCAGCTCGGACTGTGGAGCGACGGGTTATCTGTCGCCAATCTCGCCGCAGACACGGCGACAACGCCCAACTCGCTAAAGACTCCAAGGTTCTGTCGAGACCCGCCAGCAGACGCTATTGCTACCACCTTGATTTTAACCTTGGTCTGGTGTTCTGGTGTCAAAGGTCGTATCAAACGACCCCGAGTGCCTGCGATGCAGCCGTCGCCACCTCGATCCAGACGACTCGACTCGCTCTCGACTTGGCGCAAACAGGCAGGCGGAAACACCTCTAGCTCGCGCCCATCAAGGTCTCCCGGCAGCCTGGCTGCTGTTTGTTGGACGTCTCTTGTCGATTTCGCTGACCAGCTGCCTCGTCGGGGTAGGGCCGTGAAGCCAGCCAAGCCTCTCGCTCCAGCAACGCTGCGACAAGACGAGTGCGATAGGACTTTTCCCCCGCCCGATGCCGTGAGCTACGGTCCCTATTGACAGGTCCATTGTCGACGGATGATCTGGTTTCTCTGCTGTATCGTGCTGTACGTTGGCTTGGCGTGGATCGGGAACCGACACGTCCGGCCTCGATGACTCGGCATAGACTGGGGGCTCTGGTCCATCGCGACGGACGTGATTCAAGTGTCGTGCTTGGCCTTTTTGTTCCCGGGCCCCGTGGCGACGGTCCGCGGCAAGTCAAGGCCAGACTCTTTGAATCTTGAATCACCAGCCGGCTTCATCGGTGTCAGTCTCAGTCCGGCCCTCCTTTTCCCTTTCCAAGATGTTGAGCAATGAAACATATCCGGCACGCGGACCTCTTCTTGTGGAGTGGAAGCTGCGCAAGTGGCACAAGGGAATGGCATTCCACTTTTTCCATATCTTGCCCTTGGGCGCGAAGATGCAAACCCCCCGTTGCAACCTTCCTGGATAGTGCAAACTTCAGAGGCCGAGGCTTGAGTCTTGTTTCGCCGGTTGGTTTATCAATCCCTCTCTGCAGGCCCTTGCAATCCGTCCACGAACTTTTGTCGGCCGCAAAAGTGTCAAGCGTGGAATACGGATACAAGCCGGGGAGTCCTGGCGGAAGTGCGTTCAGGTTGGAGTTGGACTTGACGGAACCGCACCGGGCTCAAGCACTGGGAGAAGCAAGTATAAAGAGTCTGTTGCTAACTCGTCAAGAGTAGCGACAATTCCTCCTCACGTCGTGCCCAAACATCCTCGCCCAGTCTAGTCTGTTCTTCGTCTCTCCCTTGCAAGAGTCAAGCGGCACTGGCATAGGCGTTTTCATCATGATTGCATCCGCAAGGTCCGTCCTCGTTGCCATGCTGGCCAGCACCGGCGCCAGCATGGCAGGGCGTTTGATTGCTCCCGACCCCGACAGCCTGGCGGCTCTTGACTCTCCGCTGGCTGTTTCGATGGAGGAGTTGCAGGGCATGAAGATTTCCGAGAGGCAGCAGGACATTGCAGACGGTGTGTTTGACGAGGGCCGCTACGCCCTCCAGGGCGCGACGGCCTGCTCCAACGGCAAAGCCGGGGAGTACTCGTGCAGAAATGTCGACCTGAAGGGGTTTCTGCGTCACGAGGACCTGGGAAGCCGGACGCGCGAAGGCAATGACGTTTGGGGTACGTTGTCAAGTTGCTCACGCGGTTGGTTCGCGTTTACATCATGACGAGTCCATCGCCGCGGCCTCCAACCCCAGCTCCCAAGGCTTGTATCGCCCGCCGTCGGCTTTTTCTGGTTTCTGACCCGCTCGTTTCCATCACAGGTTGGACCTCGTCCACCGGAAGGGAGTTTGGCATTGTTGGCCAAAGCGACGGTTCTGCCTTTGTCGAGATCTTGAAGGACGGCAGCCTCGTCGGCATGGGCCGGCTTCCCACGCAAACCAGGAGCTCTCCATGGCGCGACATGAAGGTCATCGGCAACCACGTCTACATCGGCTCCGAGGCACCCGACCATGGCCTCCAAGTGTTTGACCTGACCAAGCTGCTGACGGTCGACCCCAGCCGCCCGCCGACGTTCGACGTCAACAGGGACTTGGCCGCCCACTTCGACGGCTTCGGCAGCAGCCACAACATCGTTGCCCACGAAAAGAACAACATCATCTACGCCGTCGGCACCGCCCGCAATGGCAGGTGCTCAGCAGGCCTGTGGATGGTCGACGTGTCCGATCCCGGGAACCCGCGGGACGTGGGCTGCGCCGGTGCCGACGGCTACGTCCACGACGCCCAGTGCCTGACGTACAACGGCCCAGACGCGGCACACAGGGGCAAGGAGATTTGCTTCGGCTACAACGAGGACAGCCTCACCATCTACGACCTCTCGACGCGCTCGGCCCCCAGGATCCTGTCCCGCACGCCGTACCAGGGCGCCACGTACACCCACCAGGGCTGGACCACGGGGCCTGACCACCGATACCTGCTGCTCGACGACGAGCTCGACGAGCAGAAGCAGAACGGCGCCGCCGCCGACGGCCACACGACCACGTACATTGTCGACGTTGCCAACCTGTCCAAGCCCGTCTTCACCGGCTACTACAAGAGCCCCGTCAAGTCCATCGACCACAACCAGTACATCGTCGACGGGCTGTCCTACATGTCCAACTACGCATCGGGCCTCCGCGTCGTCAACGTGACCTCTGTTGGGCGCGACAACACGGGCGCCGGCTTCAAGGAGGTTGCCTTCTTCGACGTCCGCCCCGAGGATGACGCCGTCGGCGGCGAGACCGTCTTCAAGGGCGCCTGGTCTGTCTACCCGTACTTCCAGAGCGGCCACGTCCTCGTCAACAGCATCGAGCGGGGCATCTTTTCCGTCAAGCTCACCCTGTAAAGACGAACTATACTAGGCTAGACTAGACGAGAAAAGAAGAGGAGAAAAAGGCCCTCATTTGCTCCGATTCGACGCAGACACACCCTGCTGACCATGACCACATGTATTCCCGTGCCCGGGGGAGGGATCATCCTCGAGCCCGCCCTCGATTCCCACGTAGTCAGTCGCCCGGATTCCCCTCGCCAGCGCGTGGACCTAATACACATGGACGAAATTAGGGTTCTGCTTGTCCGTGATGTCCTGAAACGCCGTTTCATCAGGCGTCTCCAGCACCCTCGCCGTGTCCCGGGTCTTCTCCTTGCGGCGATTCTCCCGAACAAAGGCGCGTCTCAGGAGCAGGAGGAGCGCGAGTTCTACACAGTCGGCCACGAGGAGGGAGCCAACACCCAGCCGGTACGACGGCGCCTGGTCAGGCCTGTAGAAGAAGGGGCCGGCAATGTTGCCAACGCAGGCGCCGAGCCAAATCATGCCCGAGACAATCATCTTCTTGGACTGGCCGCCCGTGTTTGATGTGACGGGGGAGAGGGAAAGGACAAAGGACGCCTGGTACGAGCCGGTCAGGTAGCTGGGCGAGAATTGGTCCATGGTGCCGCGGGCAACGGGGACGGACGGGAGGGAGGGAGGGGGTGAGCCCCAGCCAGAGAGCTGGAGGGACCACGGACAAGCAAAGGAGCCGCGCGATGTAGGCATCCGCCGGGGCGAGCAGGGAGCCCAGCGCGCCGGCGATGGTGGGCAGCATAGAGGCCGCGCAGATCGTCGTCCTGCTGTTGGCGGGCATGTGCTCGTCTGCCAGGGCGCCGAGGCCGATCCAGACGACGACCAGGGCTCCTTGCGGGATGCCCAAGAGGGCGGTCTGGAGCGTGTCGAACCCCAGGGCCTCGATGACGAGCGTCGAGAAGTTGGAAATGCCGCCGTTGGGAACATTCGCCACGACGCCGAGGAGCGTGAACAGCCACGTCTTGTAGTCGAGGGTAGGCCTCCTTGACCTGGTCCCAGTTCACGCTGGCATGTTGGATGCCCGTCTGGTTGCGTCTGACGCGCGCAATCTTGAGGAGTCTCTCGTCGTGGGAGAAGCCCGGGATGGTGCAGAGGCAGTTGGGCAGCGTGAGGCCGACGACGACGGCCCAGGAGGCACAGAGCGCGCCGGTGACGATGAGTGCGTAGCCTAGATGCCTTTTGTCAGTTGCGCCTCTCCAACGGAGCCGGTCAAGCGGCAGCTTGGTGTGGTTTTCTGCATGTCGTGCGTACCGAGCAGGCCGCCACCAGCCACGCCGATGCCGTTACATGTGTATATAGCCATGTTCGTATATATATGCACACAGGGGCTTGAGCACGCACGTAGAAAAAGTAGCAGATGCCCAACAAGGGCAGGATCCTCATGTCCAGCTTGCGGACGAGGCGCCTCTCGACAGCCGCGTTGATGCAATCATTGTCGGGATGCCGTTCCAGAGCCTCCTTGTACAAGCCCGTCTGAGGGCGACGAACGGATTCCATCTCGGGAATCTTGACTCCGTGCTGGCTGTGGTCGGCGTCCTCATCTACGCGCCTGTCAGGGTCACATGTTTTGAAATCCATCCTCTGGGCACAGCAGCAGCGGTGTTGCCAGGTCACCCCTGATGTGCTGTGCTGGACAATGGGAAAAGCCAATGCTATGAGCATGTGCCGTGTCTCAAATCGAGAAAGGCGACGGGGCCGAGGTGACATCTAAATTCCCGGCAATGTTGCCGCGCTTGTTCCCGGAGCATGCAGGATCTGCACAGTTTCCGGGCCATTGGTTGTGTCATTCTTTTTTTAAATCCCGGAAAGGCGCCCAGGCTGGTGGTGTCCGTCTGAGACTCGCAGACTGCGGCGGCACCATGACATCAGACGACGATACCTTGCTCTCTCCGCAAGCGGCTTCCGCGCTTCGTCTCGGCCCAGGTACGGAGAGTGGATGATGTGAGATTATTACGTTACCCGTGCTCGGTTGTTTGAGCGCCACCATGCGGTGCGCCGGCACGTCGCAAACGCGTGGTTGTGCGTCCTGCCCTTTGGGGAAGCTGTTCCGCGCACACCATCGACGCCTTGGATACAGGCCCTAAACAGCAGAGAGTTGACGTTGTGGAACAGGGCAACGCGGCCATGGCCATGGCGCCGTACGGCTTGTATGTACTCTGAAGCCGTCTGCACTCCGTACTCCGTACGCGGAGTAGCATTCGGCTGGAGGGAGCCCTGAGAACCCACGGCCACGGCCCAGAGACGGGGAAGCAGGGAGACGAGGTGGACACGTCCGGGCTGGCTTTGACTCGAAAACCAGTTCGTATCATGACTCATGACTTATGATGGAGCCAAGGGGTTGATGGCAGCAGTACGTACGTATGTGACAACGCCAAAGACACATGTCTCGTCAATCTCGATGGCTTCCGTCAGCCTTTCTTTGTCATACTTCCGCGGACAAGGGAGCCGGCAGCCCTGAGAGCCGTGACGGCGGAATTTGGTGGGTTGGTTGGTCGCTCGAGTTCCCAAAAAGGAAAATCCGCCCGAGCTGGAGGCTCGAGGAGCCGAGAGACGAGCGTCGAGTCGAGTCCCCAGGTCCTGACGACTTCTCGACCATGGTCCGTGACGAACAAAAAGGCCGGCTGGCCCGCCACGGCTCCAACGTGCCCACGTAGACAGCTTGTTGAAGGGCTTCCCCAATGGCCGTGGTGGCAGCAGTCCAACAACCAGGTCCTGTGCCGCACAGCACTTCGACCTCGCCCGACGACGCAGACAAGGCAGATCCGGCTTCAATCCGCGACAAGGAGGGTGTTGGCGAGCGCCGCGTTTCCGTCCCCGGCGCAGGCAGCCTGGCTCTTGACGATGTGGCCGCCGTGCAAGTCCGGATCCGAGACCTGTCCGTGTCGGTGAACACGGCGCCGTCGTGGCTCGACCCGTCCACCTATCCCGACCTCCTCGCCGCCAGGTTCGACACCGGGCCGCGTGTCAGGAACCTCCTCGAGTCTGTTGCCGCCGACTTCCAGCCGGGAACGCTGACTGCCGTCCTCGGCGGGAGTGGTTCTGGGAAGACGACGCTCCTCAACACCATGGCCGAGCGCATCACCAGCCCGAGACTGTCCCGGAAGGGCCACGTGGTGTTCAACGGCCAGACGGGCGTCCATCACGTCCGCCACGCCTACGTCATGCAGCACGACTCCCTGCTGCCGACCTTGACGGTGCGCGAGACGCTCCATTACTCGGCGGCGCTGAGACTGCCCGCGACCACGTCGGCCGAGCACCGGCGTGGTGTTGTCGAGGACGTCATCCGCGAGCTGGGCCTCAAGGAATGCGCAGACACCAGGATTGGCAACAGCCGGCACCGTGGATGCTCGGGGGGGGAGAAGAGACGGGTCAGCATCGGCGTGCAGCTCCTCGCCAATCCCTCCGTCTTGTTCCTGGATGAGCCGACGACCGGGCTCGATGCCATGAGTGCCTTCCAGCTCGTGCGAACCCTCAAAGCCCTGGCCCGCAAAGGCCGGACCGTCATCACGACCATCCACCAGCCTCGCTCCGAGATCTGGAACCTGTTCGACAACCTGGTGGTCTTGTCCCGGGGCGGCCCGGCATACGCAGGTCCCATCGCCGACTGTCTTCCCTGGTTCGGCCGCCAAGGGTTTGCCCTGCCGCCCTTTTTCAACCCGGCCGAGTTCGTCGTCGACATCACCGCGGTCGATACCCGCACTCCCGAGCTCGAGGCCGACACCGGTGCCAGGGTTGGCGGCCTCAAGTCAGCCTGGGCGGAGGAGAGCGTCAGGCGATACCCGCCGCTCCTCCACGTCGTCGACGGCAGAGAGCGGAAGCAGAGGCAGAGGCAGAGCCGTCTCGTCGAGGCCCATGCCGGCTTCCGGCGCCAACTGCAGGTCTTGACCGGCCGCACGCTCAAGGTGACGTGTCGTGACCCCCTGGGCATGGCCGCGGCAATCATCGAAGCGGTCCTCATGGGCCTCGTTACCGGCTACATCTTCTTCCACCTCGGCCGCGACCAGGCCGGAATTCGATCCAGGGAGGGGGGCCTCTATACTGCCGCCGGTCTGCAGGGATACTTGATCCTGCTCTTCGAGGTGTACCGCATGACCCTGGACATGCCCATATTCGACAGAGAGTCCTCGGATAATTGCGTCGACGCCCTGCCTTTTGTCCTCTCAAGGCGGCTGGCCAGGCTGCCCACCGAGGATCTTGCCGTGCCCTTCCTCTTTTCCGTCTTGATCTACTTCATGGCTGGCTTCGACCGCACAGTGAGAAAGTTCCTCACGTTCTTCGCCATCACTCTCGCCAACCACTACGTGTCTGTCTGCTGTGCCATGACATGCGTCGTCGCCGTCAGGCACTTTGCCGGCGCCAGTCTCATTGCCAATCTGGCCTATACGATCCAAAGCATTGCCTGTGGAATGTTTGTCCAGGTCAACACCATACCCGTCTATGTCAGATGGATCAAGTGGATAGCCTACAATGTGAGTCTCGGGCGTCTTGACCTGCACACACACCGCGAGTCCGTGACTGCGCGACTTCCCGACTCCCTGAGCCTGCTGGAACCTACGTCTGCTAACTGCTGCTGCTGCTTGCAGTTCTACGCCTTCAGCGCATACGTCGGCAACGAATTCGAGGGCAACTTCTACGACTGCCCCCTTGCGGGCGGTTCGTCGAATCCAGGCTGTAACCAGTACAGTGGCGACTATGTCATGGCATCCCTTGGTTTTCCTAGCAACTGGGTGGCTCGCCCCATCATCGTCCTCGCGGCCTTTGTCGTCTTCTTCCTCGGCCTATCCGTCTTTGGGCTACGCTACTTAAAGCCCGACATGACGATTGCCCGCGCCCGTTCAGCAGATACAGACCTGTCCGCCGGCAAAGAGAAGATGACGGCGCAGTCCATCCCGGAAGTCCGAGCCATCGACCTTGGACTCGACGGCTTCGCCCTGGGCCTGGACAAGAGAAACGTGTACGGCAAGAAACTGGCCCGCAAGACAATCCTGAATCCCGTCACAACCACGTTTCAAGCCGGCATGCTGAACGTCATCATGGGTCCCTCCGGGAGCGGCAAGACGTCGCTTCTCAACGCCATGGCACTGCGACTGCGGAACTCGGTCGGCACCAAATACCGGCCGTCAGGGAGGTTGACCTTCAATGGCGCTGTGCCGTCCGACTCGGTAACCCGGTCCGTCTGCTCCTACGTCTGTCAGGACGACGACGCTCTACTCCCGTCTCTGACTGTACGCGAGACGCTGCGGTTTGCTGCCGGGCTCCGACTGCCCTCCTTCATGAGCAGCGAGGAAAAGTACCGCCGCGCCGAAGACGTGCTCATGAAGATGGGCCTGAAGGACTGCGCCAACCACTTGATTGGCAGCGACACGGTCAAGGGCATTTCCGGGGGGGAGAAGCGCCGTGTTTCCATTGCCGTTCAGGTTCTTACGGATCCTCGAATCCTGCTTCTCGACGAGCCAACTTCTGGCCTAGACGCGTTTACCGCCAACTCCATCATGGAGGTGCTGCAAGGGCTGGCCAACGAGGGGCGGACGCTCATCTTGACCATACACCAAGCCCGGTCGGATCTGTTCAAGCACTTTGGACATGTGCTCCTCCTTGCGAGGGGAGGGTTCCCGGTCTACGCGGGCGCCGCGAAGCAAATGCTGGGATACTTTGGCCGGCGTGGATACGATTGTCCGCAGCACACGAACCCGGCAGACTTTGCGTTGGACATGATTACCATAGACCTACAACAGGATCACCGCGAGGCAGAGAGTCGTGCCAGAGTGCAGAAGCTGATACAGCACTGGAGCAGCAGGCGTGGACCGGACGAACTGGACAACAAGGTGAACCGTCGGCTGTCCGGAATCCAAGAAGCCGACGAGCCAAGTGAGAAGAAGCTGCGCGGGGCGTCAGCTGACGAGGACGTCAAGGAGGAGGAGAAAGGGTCGAGAACAACAGCCAACATTGCTGCCGCGGAGGAGGGCAGAGCATCAAACGGCTCACAACTCAACAGGGCCAATGTATCTACACCCGCGGAGCTGGGAGCCCTCGTGCGTAGACGGGCATCGATGCTCACGGCTCTGCCACTCCTCCTCCAGCGAGCAATCATCAACAATCGCAGGCAGCCTCAGCTCATCATGGCACGTACCATGCAGGTCGTCGGGCTCGCAGCCGTCTTCACGCTCTTCTTCGCCCCCGTGGGCAACGACTACTACGCCATCCAGAACCGCATGGGCTTCGTCCAGCAAATCGGAGCATTCTACTTTGTAGGCATGCTGCAAAACGTGGCTGTGTATCCGAATGAGCGAGACGTCTTCTACCGCGAAGACGACGACGGCGTCTACAGCGTCGAGTCCTTCCTCGCCTCGTACACTCTGCTCGAAGTCCCGTTCGAAATCATCAGCTGTCTGCTGTTTGGTGTCCTGGGCGTCTTTGCAGTTGGACTTCCAAGAACAGCCACCATGTACTTTGTCTCTGTCTTTGCCTGCTTCGGCGTCGTGTCTTGCGGAGAGAGTCTGGGGATCATGTTCAATACCCTCTTCGGACACACGGGCTTCGCCGTCAACATCATGGGCATCTTGCTTTCCGTGGCAAACTCCATGGCCGGCGTGCTCTCCATCGACATGCCGGATCTGTTCAAGGCGGTGAATTATGTCTCTCCCATCCGATACGCGACGCGATCCGTGGCTCCGTACTCACTGCGCGGCATCAGCTTCACCTGCAATAGTGCGCAGCGGCTACCGGGGGGGAGCTGTCCCATCCAGACCGGCGAGCAGGTGTTGGATCTTTACAACTTCAACGTCGACCCGGTCGTCAATGTTGCGTGCATGGCGGCGTGTGTTGTGGCTTATAGGCTCATAGCGTGGGCATTGTTGAGACTTATGAGGGCACGCTGGGCTGATGGGAAGAGGCGGCACCAGCGTTGAGGTTGAGAGCACAAAGTCCGGTACATGCAAGTCTCGACGTGGTGAAGTCTCGGGATGCTGCAACTTGGAGGAAATCATAGTCGTGGTGTCGACATGATTAGATCCAGGCTTGGATTGGGGAAGCCTGCGGAAGGCGAGTTTGTCGTCATGAACTCACCCAGTACGGAGTACCCAAAGCATGACTGCCATCAATCAAGTCAAGTGCCCGGAGGCGCCTTCCTCCATGCTGGTTGGGCAGAAGTCGAGCTGCGGCTCCCAAGTACCTTAAGTAGGTACATACATCTAAGTAACTTACATGCTCCTCCTATCGACTTTGGCTTCCCGCTTCGGAGGGGAGAAGAAACATACTTGAAGAATTTCGCATTTCCAGCATATATTACATCATCATGAGCCAATACCATGAGACAATCGACCTCTACGGCGACGTCGTCGTTGCCCTGACACCTGCGACGCATCCACTTGCACCCTGGGATCAAGACTTGGAAGAGATCCAACGTGTACTTGCAGAAGATCAGTCACGAGAGTATCAACCACCAGACGAGCAGAGCCCATCTCCTGCCAGCGATGCGCTACAACCTGAATCCGGGCCTGTGGGAAACGACCCCGCCCAGGGTGTGCATGTACATGTCGAGCCCAAAAACGAGGCAGGTCAAAACCACCATCGCGACACGTCTTGTGCCCCGGCCAGTCTGACAATCCACCCCCCCGACAGCTGCGATACCTAGTCTCCTCAAAACACCTCGCGGTGGCGTCGGTCGTGTTCCATAAGTCATTCAGCGGTCCCTGGAGGGAGGGAAACCACGTCCACCCCGACGGACTCCGCCACGTGCGCCTCGTCGACTTTGACCCCAAGGCGCTGTCCATCGTGTTGAACGTTTTCCACCTCAAACACCACCGAGTCCCCAAGCACATCGACGCCGACACCATGTGCAAGATAGCCCTCCTGGTGGACTACCTAGACTGCCACGAAGCAGTAGCGTCGGCCGCTGCGAGCTGGATGCCGCGGCAGAAGACGGTCTACAGGGACCGCAGAGAGGTGGTGATCTGGGTCTTCATATCTTCCGTCTTTGGCCATAAAGCAATCTTCAGAGAGTCGACTCGGGCGGCGGTCGTTGACGGTACTGGACCCTTTCGGACTCTGGGACTCCCCATACAGCAGACCATTGTGGGTGCGTCTTTCTGGCCGTCGTGGGCTTTCCAAGCATCCCCTCCAGTGCTAACCAGCCTTTCCAGAACGGATAGATGCGGCACGAATCCAGCTGCTCAACACGTGTCTGGCTTCTCTCGACAGGCTGATTGCCGCCCTGAGAGATGATTTTCAGAGGTGTTCGTTTCTGTGCGACTCCATCATGCTAGGCGCGCTGATAAAAAACATGAATGCTCACCGGCTCCTTCGCCCACGATCCGAGGCCATCCTCGCGGATCTCAGCGTCTCCAAACTGAAACGTATTGTAGAGACCTTCAAGACGCCGTTCTAGCAGTCGGCCGAAGCCATCGAAGATTGGGCTACTCCTCATTCAAGGAAACGCAGGCCACCGCGCTTAAAGGGATCCCCTGCGGCTTCGCCAGGAGTGAGGCATGTTGGCGAAACTCCAGTCACCAAGGATTTGCGCGACATAGTTTTTGACAATGCCCGCCTATTTGCGCACGACTGCGGCATGACCCGCTTGAACCTGACGGTACTTGAAAAGATTTCTAGTTTCCGCGGACTGGAGCTGTGAAACGGAACTTGGAATTCAGGCTGAAAATGGCAATCAGCTTGATTGACCAGGAGCGCCTGTCTCGAGAATGTGCAGTCAACGCAGCGCACGCATTTGGACGCCCCCCCTCGCGATGCGGAAGAATTCATCGCGAAGCGGTCAAACTGTACATGATGAAACCCCAGCTCTCTGGTGTTTATAAGTCACCAAGAAGATAGCGCTTGTCAAACGTCTCACCCTACTTCCGTCCAGCAACCCTGATAACTTCCAGCCTCACCCCACCGCATCCCATCCAGTGCATCTCCAGACTCGTTTGGCTACGCTTGTAGGGTCATCTCAAGTTGGCTCCCCACATTCTGCTTGATGTCGAGTGAATGACCAGCCGTCAACGCGGGCAAACGATTCATCCGGTGCGATTTGCTTAGACAATTACCACATTCACCATCCAGCGCTTGGCACAACTTGAAAATCTGTGCCTGTCTGTATGCCAATGCCGCCTTCCTCAAAGCACATTTGCGGGAGTATTCACGATGAATAAATGTCCAATTGTTTTCCTATTCCAGTACTTCCAATACAACCCGCTGCCAGTTCTCACAAGACTGAGAGAAGAAAAAAAATAATATATCCTGGTGTCTCCGCACCTAAACTTCGTAAGCGCTGTTACGCTGTATCCGTATCGTGACTCAATGTTGTATGTACAAAACCAGTGCTGCGACATGCAGCACGTCTTATCTCATCTGGAGGCGCTCCCGAAGACTATGGTGTGACCCGACTTCTCCAACGGCAGATTAGAGTCGTGTGTGATCAACACTGAATGTGGTCAATACACGCGGCAAAGTCCCACTGTCGTATCGAAGCACGTATTCAACATCCTCCGCTGGCCTCCGCCTTGAAACAATTTGTGCAAATCCATGCCTATGCAATCATCGGTATATTCATCCGTTTCGCAGTCAGTACTACCCTTGAGACTGTCATCTTCGTCTGATGCCGTAATTTTCGTCTTTAAAAGAACAACGCCGTCCTGGTATCTTGGAAAACATGCCTATATGCAATTTCCTCCTCGCATGGGAAACAGGGTGATTCGATTTTGTTTTGTGAGGGGCGAAGGTATACATGATACACTTCGTCGCATTCTGTGTCGTCTAAAGTGTCCAAAAAGGAAAGAATTATTCACGTCTAGGGAAAGGCAGCGTGCTGGGCCCAGTGCAGCACCGCATTTCATTACCACTCTCTATTCGGGATCGGGATTTGTAGTTCTCAAGACTTTCGGTTGCTGAATTCTCCTTGAGTAGTCATGGTCATCTCGAAGTGTGTTGACACTCTCGCGGCTGCCGTTGCGGGCGTACAGACTCTGCTGGAAAGGATCCATTCGAGGATCAACTTGCAAGGTGCTGCTCCTGTTGCCGGTACTACCCGGGGAGCCTGGGGCACGCGACATTTCCGGACGGCCAGAGCCCAGCATGCCTGAGGAGCTGCCGCGGATGCTTGGGTCGTCTTGATAGTCGTTTTCCTGCTGTTGCTTCTTTCGTCGCAAGTAGAAGAATATCAGGAAACCAGCCAGGGCTAAAATTCCCCCGACAAGTCCAACGACGATTCCAACGATGCCACCAGTCTTCAAGCCGCTGTCCTGGGTCGAGGCATTCTGGCCAGCGCCAAAGTTCTGGCCAGTTGCTGAAGGTACTATTGTGACAGTCTTGACTGTACCGTCCGCCGTAAATTTAGATACAGCCGAAGTCGGCTTGGACGTCGTGTCAGTCGACTGGGACGGAGTCAGTGTCAGCGATTGCGTCGTGGAAGTTCTTGATGAGCTCGAGGTCTAGGGGATATGTCGTTAGGGTTAGATTCATGGCGGGTAGGATTCACGGCGGGTAAGGACGGGGTGATTGGGCTTGTGACCAGGGCCATCCGGTTTGAATGGGGGAAGAGAGGGATTGGGGCCATACAGTGGAAGTGCCGCTGCTGCCGCTGCTGTCGCGGCTGCTACTACTGCTGCTACTACTAACACTACTGCTCGACGTCATGGGCGAAGAGCTAGGCATGGAAGTAGAAGACGGTTTGCCCTGCCCTGTCTCAGTCACCAACACCATCATCGCGGTCTGAAACAGACACATATGCAGATTGCCTTGCCAGAAACGCCAACTGCAATATAACGAAGTTTGCAAAGACATGAAAGGACAACAACCAACGCTGGGTCAATAGCGCAAGGGACTGGTGGCAAAAGGGACAAGGGGTTGCGCAACCGTTGACCACCAAAGGATAATGGACGCAGTCATAGACAGGGATTGACTGGAAAATATGGCAGAGGGTATAGAAAGAGAGACATGAAGAATTCAGAACAAGACGGCGGCAACGACAAGAGACATGCATGCATGCAAGGCAATGAAATGATACTGGAGAACTCACCTCGGTTGTAGAAGTAGATTCTGCTCCCTTGGTGCCGGAAGGCTGACCAATGTTGAGGAACAGATAGCCGTACAAACCGACACCACCACACTTTTCATCTGGGTAGCCAGGGCAGGAGCCGCTGCACTTGGAACTGTCTACCTGGTCAAGCTTTGCGGGCGTGTAGTTGGAGCACCAGCAGCTGTTGGATTGTGTGATAGCATAGACGTAGCCCTGTGGTGTGCAGAAATCGTGACAAAGACCATTTGACTGGTACACGCTGAGGTCTAGAGTGTGTCAGTTTTGCTGTGCAGGCTTCGTGGCGAATGGGTCAATTAAACTAAACGTACTCCTCTTCATATCGGCGGTGTTGATGTTTGCACAGATGTCAACATTGATCGCATGGACGAGGCCAATCAAGGAGGCAGCCAAGAAGAGCAGGCTGCCTACGCCCCGAGGGTCTATCAAGCCAAGGGACGGCATTGTAAGACGGATTTGCGACTAGATAACGATTCAACGCAACTTCCGAAATTAGCGTCCAAAGCCTGTATATACGAGCAAGTCAGTAAAAAAAAAAACGCCGGCATACTCTTGGTCTTTCGACTTTGAGCACTCACTTTCGGGACAGGTACAGATATCACAAGCGAGACAAAGATGTGATGACAGTATCACCACATAGTACGCCAAACGCTAGGATTCTGTTCAGTAAATAGCGGCCATAACAAGACCAGAGAAAGATTGAAACTCGAATCTGGTGTCAGTTGGCCGCCAGAACTCGGAGTAGTTGATTCAATGACTCCAACCTCGACTGGTGCGGCCGCGTTTGTCCAAACAGGCCGAGAGGAATTAGAAATCGGTTGATGCAAAATGCCCAGGTGATGATGGACTTTGGAAGCACGAGCGCGTTGCCCAACGACCGCCTTGGCTGAGCAACGACGTCAACCGTACTATGTTCTCGTTCGAGGGGGCTCAAGGCGTTTGCGGAGTGTTGTGGCCAAGACGAGGTGCAATGAAAGAATCCGTGACAATGCGTTGGATGTATTTGGCCAAGGAGGGGGAGAACGCGAACGAAGTAGCTGAGAGCGAGAGTAACAGAAGAGCCGGAGCGACCGAAAGGCAAGCAAGAGTAGAGCAGCGACAACGCGGGAACGCAGACAACAAGGCTCGACAACCACGACGATGGTATTCGAAGGTACTAGTTCTGAGTCGAGGTCATGCGCGTGTATCTGACTTGTTGAAGTCGTCCTTGTCTTGGACGGAAGCGTGCAGCTGGTCTAGTTTAGTTGTGCACAAAGACGACAGATGTTGATGGAGCGACTGAATTGGTGTGTGGTCTCGTTGAAGTGTCCGGTCGCGGTGGACGACAGGAATGCTGAATGTCGCAAACAGGCTGGGGGGGAGGGGGGAGTGGCTCAGGTGTTGACGGATGGACACGACAATGAAAGCGAGGGCAATTACAATCCAGGGTCCCGACCAGCCCGATGCAATTGGAAGCAAGTAATGCAACCTGGCGATGCAGAGGGGAAGAGGTTTGAAAAGACGCAGGAAGACTTATGGGCATATCGAGGCAGGTACTCCGTACGGAGTAACGTGCTCTGTAGAAGGAAGTGCCAGTGGAGTGAGGCGACGTGGAAAGAAAACCGCAGTGCAGTGCACGAGTGCACGCACATCGGCACAGTCAGTCGAGCATGGGCCAGCAGAGAGGGTGCACGGGAGGTCCATCCATGTCTGTGGAAAGACGATGGCCACGATCAGGCAAGGCGCGCGGACACCCTCCAACCAGTAAGACGCTGTGCTGCGTGCCCCGTCCGTACGGAATAATATGGGCGGCAACGGCTACCGAATCAAGTGGGGGCGTGTGTCTAGCAATCCTGCAGTCCGGCAACTGTGCATGTCACTTGAACCAATTTGCCTGTACGAGCGCGTGCTGAGACGTGAGACGAGACGCCGAGAAGCAAACCTCCCGTCTCTCGGGACGAGCATGACAAGCGTGACGACGGCGACGACGGATGCACAGGCCGAAGGACCACGTACGGAGTACGGAGCAGTCGACAAGTCAGTCACCAAAGCACACTGCGGGGACGAAACGCCGGGCCAGGGACTGGGGCTGGGACTGGGACTGGGACTCGACTCGACTCGACCAGGCAAAAGCGAACCCAAGTCAAGCACTGATTGTGCAATCTTAGTGCAATCTTCTCCTGGCCGTTGGAGGTGCGTCATGAGAGAAAAGTTGCATGGCTAATTGAGCAGCATGGGCAGTGTTTCCTGACTGACCCGACTGCTTGCTTGTGCCTAGATGCGACGAATGCGTATCCGAGCGTGGCTTGCAGTACGATTCTCAGCAAAAATCCAACAGGCTGAAAATTCCCCCGACACGGGATAGTCTATCTATCACGGGCCTGCAATCTCAACCCATTAAAGTTTTTGCCTGACAAATATTCGGGCACCTGGGCCACGCCTTGACAACGCCTCCGCATCTGTTCCCGGGAACACGAAGTCGCCCCCAAGATCCAAGTGTTATTAGACACACCAGCTGAGCGCCCTCGCCATTCTTTGCAAAGCTTACCACAAGAGTGCGCTTGCTGCCCAGTACCCATAAGTGGACAGAGAGCGACAAGGCGAGCCAGGATGCCTGCAGGCGGCCTGTATCATACCTATCCCAGTGTTGTGTTTGTCACGGAGTATGTACTTATAGGCAGTCTGCTTTGCCTCATGTCTTGTCTGCATCTTCATTGCTCTACTGCCTGCTTATAAGCCTGAATTTTGCCAGCCGTGGCAGCACCTTGCATTTTCATCGACATCTCGGAACCTACCAGCCACCAGGCCTTACTTAGATGGCATCAACGAAAAAAAAAAAAAAAAAAAAAAATTCACGCCTCTACAGTACTGGCGTGCTAGGCTCCGGCATTGTCGCGGCCGACTTAGGTTCGTTCCCACCCCAACTGCTCCTCGGCCAACTCGAAAACGGCATGGATGGGTGGTAGTAGCCCCAGGCGCCGTGGGTGCGAAACTTGGAAACCGTGGACCAGCCAGCAAACAAAGGACTCCAGCCAGACATTGGGCCGGCAACTTGGCAAGGCAATGCCCCGCCAGACTAGTACTGTAGCGAAGCTGGTGGTTTGGTTTGGCTGGCGAGAATTGGCGATGGCGATTCCAGTACTCCCTGGCTTGTGTCAACTTGGGAGTCTGGGACGCACGATGCGGACCCCTGACGGCTGAAGGTGAAGAGAGTGGAGGCATTGCGTCACCAGCAAGCGGCAAAGATGAGGCAGAAACAGAAACAGAAACAGAGACGAACAAAACAAAATGGGAGGTACGGAGCAGCGGAGGGAGTGTGAATTGTCTTCATCACCACCACCCTTGTTATCCCTCACTCAATTTTTTGAGCAAAACCGCAACAAACTCGGCTGACGAGTACCCACGGAGCCGTAGGGAATTTTCTCATGTGGTACATTGCGGACTGCGGAATCGACGTTGGCCGAGTCACAGATGGAAGTGCAGAATGCAGCATGCATGCAATACAATACATATATGGAACATGTACGGAGTAACTGGCAGGTGATCACAGCACAGCCGGCGGGCGCTGATTCATTGATCGTGGCCATTATCCTGCAACCGCCGATCTTGGGTGCCTCTCGGTCAAGCATGCGACAGAGCGAAATTCACATCAGCAAACGAGTGAGAGTGTCGTGTACAAGCAATTGACTCTTGTCACATGTGGGTGCCATCTACCTAAGCTAGGTAACTACCTGGTAGTTATCTGATTTGACTGGACAATTCGATTCTCTGATTTCCCGTTGCGTTCATCTGCCACAATCTCCCTATGCAGCTTTCTGCATCAATTCCCTGGTCCTCACTTGCACGTCGGCGCCTTGATGAATGACTGACCGATGACTTCATATGCACGTGCTTGAACTTTGTTCCACACACCAAAACCACAAGGTTACACCGTCCAAGACTCCAAGGTCGCAGGGGCAGCTCGTCGGACTCTCCATTCTCCTGCCAGTCGAAGCCCAACGTGTGGCAGAGACATGGCCGAACCCTAAAACGAGGATGCTATCAAGGTAGTATGTATACGGAGTACATGGAGGTGCCTTGGCCTTGTCTCTGAATCTTGCAAGCTGAGCAAATTCCAGTAATCCTGCCAGAAGCGCGAGCAAAGAACAGGAAACGGAAACTCCCAAACACTCTCAGAATTCGGAAGCGTTGCCATCCTTCATACCAATCGGCACACCCTATTAATAAAAACGAAATAAACTTTCCCCCCCTTTCCGCCCCAATTTGTTTTGTAACGTTATTTTCTATCGACGTCACAGACGGCGTTGGTGCCGTTAGTACCGTACCATACTGTACGTTTGGAGTACGTGCGCGTGCTTGTCCTTGAGCACTACTGTGCCATGGGCTTTGTGCGGCTGGACGCTGGACCCTTTGGCCGCCTTCGTGGCGCTCAGATGCGGTTGTCTTGTTCCTGGTTTAGAACAGCATTCCAATGCCGGGGCCTGAGAGCGGTAATTATCGCGGGAAACTGGGCCGGCCAAGCTATGTACGTAGTAGTAGTACTACGGAGAGCTTCCACTCCATCCGCAGAGCCATGCATGTCCATGTACAAGACGACATAGTTTAAGAGTAGCACTAAACTATATTGACGCGTTTGCAATTTCTGTCGACGTCGTATTTGGACTTGATACTTGTGCTGTGGCTGTCGGTGGGAGTGCGGATGGTGTCAACCTTAAGGAGGTCAGGCTGCAGGAATACGAGACTCGATATCTTTCTTTCTTTTTTTTTTTTTTGAGGGCAGCAAGCATCAGGCAGGCCGAGATGTTTAAATGTTGGGTGACTGTTGAGTTTTCAGAGTCCTCCCAGATCTATCGACGACATACATACATTATGATAGTAGTAGTACGTAAGTTACTACTCCGTACCAAATTACTAGTTACAGGGATTACCCTGCGTGCTGGACGGTGCTTTGCTGATTCTTCTTTTTTTTTTTCATTTATAGAAGAGCAACAGCAGCAGCAGCAGCAACGACAGACCCGACGTCTTGAATATATGTACAGCATGTCAAGCCCGCCCCCCCCCCGATTCGCTCCCTCTGCTCATGTGGCTGGTCAACATCAGGGCCTTGGGCCAACAGTATCTATCTAGTGTTTACTACTCCGTACCTGATGTCGCCAGGGAGCACATGGTAGCGGCCCGTCTCGAGTCACGAGTCGAGTCAACCAAAACGCCCATACCATACCCATCCATCCATGTTGGCAAAGATGGACGGACAGGGGGCAGCCAGGCCCTGTCCAGCTGGCTCCGTGCCAAGGGGTTCCCGTCTCCAACGTGTTTGCTCCCATGCCGCCAACAAGCTTCCGTGCGGAGTGCTCCGTACGTATAGTTATATGTACTAGTATGTGTACTCTGTGCGAGTATGATTGGTTTCCGTGCGCCCTCTCCAGGGTTCATCCCCGTCCGTCCTGTTCAGAGTTCATGTGTACGTACTAGCATTCATATACGTACATACCACTCCGTAGTCCGTCGTGGGTGACATGTTGGCTTTTGGGCACGGCCGGAAAAGCCAAAAGGCTTCAATCAGAGGAACCGAACCGTTCCGTCTTTTGGCCAGAGGCCCAGCAACGTTGCGCCATGTCCGTTTGTTTGCCAGGGTCCTTCCTGACTCTTGGCCCCTGGGGCTGGGGGCTGCTTGTCGTTTCGCTGCGGGTTTGGTCCAGGCAGGCCGCGAGAAGAGGGATTTCCAGTCCGCACGGCGTGAAACACGAGTGTCAACAATGCGGAATCTTGATGTCGCGTGTTCTGTTCTGCATACTCCGTGTGCGAATTGGCAATGCTCCGTGCAGAGCAGAGTCTCAAGGATGATGCACCAGACGGACGCACGTCACGGGGATACTGGGGCACAAAGACGCACTCCACAGCGTGCCCCATGCAGTGTTTATTCTTTCGGAGTGTCGGCAGGCAGATGTAGGGTACGGAGTACGGAGTACGGAGTATGGACAGATGAATTGAGGCGCGGCGAGACAGGCATGACGGGTTGCAACTCGCAGGCAGGGCTTTGTTCGTTGGACAGCCTCGGCCAAGAACGAGTTCGCTCTGGAGCGCGGAGTAGTCTGTGCAAGCTCGGGAAGCGTCGTGCGAACTGCCGTCGTGCGGGAGTTTTGTCTGGCGGACAATGATTGCCATGGCCCGTGGAGTTGAAGGCCTGCTTTCCTGCCGTGCCACGCACAGGCCGCAGGGTGTGTGGGAGCTTCGACGACGACGACGACAGCAACAGCAACAGCAACAGCAACAGCAACGACAAAGCCGGCATCATACGGCCATACAGAGTGCGGCGTACTCGTGTAGAGCAAGGGTGGCTGCTGGCTGGTGTGTCATCAATCATCCTTAATAAATGCCCTTTGTTATGATACGACCCAACCCTTGCTTTTGATGTCTCGAGTCATCCTGGACGGAGAGCGGCAGGCAGAGACTTTTCCTCAATGATGTGACGTGCAGGCCTTGCCATTTGCACCACCTCTCTCTGTGTGATCTGCCACAAGAGTCGATTGACTCGAATCTACTCCGTACCTTGTGCCCTTGTGCACGACGATGCCCACCACCACGTTCAACTTCCGACCCACCACGAGCAACCTCACGTCTGCATCGTCGCCGCCCTCAACCTCCAACCTCCAACCTCCAACCTCCAACCTCCAACCTCCAACCTTGGACCTCCGACACCAGCGCCCGCCCGAAACCATGAAGGTCATCCTCCACTCTCACTTCCCAGCCGGCCACACCTACCCCATGCAAGCCGTCGCCCAGGCTCTCGTCTCCCACGGCCACACCGTCCTCTGGCTAACCAGCTCAGACAACGACGCCCGCGTTCTCGCGACCGGCGCCCACTTCGCACCAACCACCGCCACCGCCGTCCTCGACTCCCCTCTCGTCAAAGCCCACAAGACGGGCCTCTTCGACTTAGCCGAGGGCCGCCTCAACCGCCGTCTCCTCGCGCAGGTAGCAGATTACCGCGCCGCCCTGGCCGTCTTGGACGCAGACGTGCTGCTGGTCGATGTCCTCCCCCACGGAGCCCGGGCGCTCCACGACCTCGGCGAGATACCCGTCTACGCAACGCTGGGCGTGATCCCCCTCTACACATCGAGACTGGATGCGCCCTTGGCAGCTTCCGGCGCCGCGCCGCCGGCTTCGTGGGCCGGCCGCCTCCTCAACGCGGCGAGACAAGTCGTCGCCCGCTGCCTGGAAACGCCCTTGTTCCTGCGCCCTGCCATGAGCCGGCAGAGGAGGGCGCTTGGGCTGCGCAGTCTTCCCCTCGGCGAGCCCATGGAGGCGTCGACATACAGCCCGCATCTACACATCCAGGCCTCATGTCCAAGGCTCGAGTTCAACCAGCTGCCAGGCACACCTCGTCACCGGAAACACACCGTCTTCGTGGGACCGCTCGTCGCCCAGGCAAGCCATGACCTGTCCAAGCTGCCGCCTTGGTGGCCCGACTTGCCCAGCCAAACGAAGACGGTCGTCGGCATCACGCAGGGAACCCTGGCCACGGACCCGACTTCACTTATAATCCCGTCCATCAGTGCGCTCCAAGACGACCCTGACCTCGTCCTCGTCGTGGTTTCGCCTCACGGGCCGGAAATTCAGTCAAGCACGAGACGCACCGGCAACGTCTACCACGCGGCGTGGCTGCCGTATCATCTGCTCCTCCCCCGGCTGGCGCTGCTCATCACCAACGGTGGGTACGGCAGTATTAAGCAGGCGCTGTCTCACGGGGTGCCGCTGCTGTGTGCCGGCCAGTCCGAGGACAAAAGGGACACCGGGGCGAGAGTGGCGTATTCGAGGCTCGGCATTGACCTCAAGACCGACAGCCCCGACGTGGCGAGTGTGAGGCGGGCTGCGTATGCTATACTGGGCGACGACGGCTACAGAGCCCGGGCAAGGGAGATGGGGGATGAACTCAACAGGCTTGGGGGCGCGGGTGCGGCAGTCGAGGCGCTGGAAGAGCTGGTTCGAAATACTGTGCCGTGAATCATGACTGGCGCCAGGAGGGAGCTGGCACCGGCCATGTCCTGATGGGGGTACGCGATCGCACCACAGAAAAGCCACCGCCTGCTCCGGCCACGATCATGGAGATGGCCATGCCGGCTGTGTAACTTGTTGCGCGGCGGCCGTCAAGCAGGATGCCCACGTCGACGGTAATGTGACAAAACCAAAGGGCTGAGGAACTGGCAGCGGCATGCCCGGCGCGAGATGAGGCCAGCCACGGCGCCGAACATGCTGCAGGGGCCCAAGGTGAGCACCGGCACGTAGGAGGACCTCCCAGCGCAGAGCACGCATTTAGCCGGCCGCTACGTGATGCGCAGTCAGCAGAGCAGAAGCGGTGGGCGCAGACGTAGCGTACACATGTAGAAGCTGTCCATGACGGCCATCGGCAAGGGTCTTGCCAGCTCGATCCCACACACGTAGAAGTAGAGCCCCCAACCACCGCCGTAGCATGCATGAGGGGATTCGCCATCCACACCTGGGCACCTCCGGTGACAATGGCAGCAGAGACAAGGAGACTCCGAACACGGGGGGAGTCGGAGCCAAAGGCGCCCCGTTTCATGACACAAACTTTGTAGGTCGAGAGCGTGTGACCCCGGACCTCGGAGGGCGTCGTGACACGCCAGCATCCGCGTGGACGTTTGGCATTGATGCAAAACACGCGTTACAACTGGGACGGTATATTGCTGTATCTACTTGCGGGTCGAGGACTGCTTCAGCGCCGCCACCCGATCCTTTTGTTCGCGAGTCTCCTCCATCTCGCTCCCGTCTTCGTGGAACAACATTTCCTGCGCTGCAGCACGTCGTCAGCATGGACATGGACATTCTCGACTCGAGGGCACGTTGGGTTTGCGTGACTCACCACTCCACAGCTCCGAGTACACTCCTGCCCGGTCAATCAGCTCCCTGTGCGTTCCCATCTCGGCCACCTTGCCATCCTCGAGGACAATGATCAGATCCGAGTCAAAGATGGTGCGCAGCCGGTGGGCCACGAAGACGCTCGTGCGGCCCTTCTCCTTGAGGATGCCGTTGATGTTGATCATGAGCGCCTGCTCCGTGTGCGTGTCGAGCGCACTCGTGGCCTCGTCGAAGAAGAGAAGCGGCGGGTCCTTGAGGAGCAGCCGGCTCACGGCTAGGCGCTGCTTCTCGCCGCCCGATATCATCATGCCTCGCTCGCCGACCTTGGTGCCGTAGCCGTCTGGGAACTTTTCGATGATGTCGTGGATGCGTGCCCGTCTGGCGGCCGCGACCACCTCTTGGTGCGAGGCGCCGATGGAGCCGTAGCGGATGTTGTGCTCGACGGTGTCGTTGAACAGGGGCGTGTCCTGGGGCACGACACCGATCGACCTGCGGAGAGAGTCGAGCTTCACGTCGCGGATGTCCTGGCCGTCGATGAGGATCCGACCGTCCTGGACGTCGTAGGAGCGGAAGAGGAGGCGGAGGAGGGTGGATTTGCCGCAGCCGCTTGGTCCGACGACGGCCACCTTTTTGCCCGCGGGGATCGTGACGGACAGGTTCTTGAGGATGGGGCGGTCGGGGTGGTATCCAAAGGTCACGTCCTGGAACTTGATTTCTCCCCCACGCGCCAGGACGAGGTCCTTGGCGCCGGGTCTCTCGGCAATGTTGACGTTGACCTTTTGGAGGTTGAACAGGGTCTCCATGTCGAGCAGCGACTGGCGCAGCTCTCTGTACACGGAGCCCAGAAAGTTGAGCGGCACGGAGAGCTGAAAGACGAGCTGGTTCACCATTACCAGATCGCCCACCGTCAACGAACCGCTGGCCACGCCATCCGCGGCAAGGTACATCATGGCCGTCAAGGCCGACGAGAAGATGATGTTCTGCCCGCTGTTCAGGAAGGCCAGCGACGTGGCCACCTTGATGGAGCTCTTCTCGTACTCCCGGAGGGCCTTGTCATAGCGCGCCACCTCGAACTTCTCATTGTTGAAATACTTGACGGCCTCGTAGTTGATCAACGAGTCCACGGCCACGGTCGAGGCTCTGTTGTCCGCGGCGTTCGCCTGCCTTCGGAACTTTGTCCTCCAAGCCGTGGTCCAGATCGTAAAGGCCGTGTAGCCCACCATGGTCAATGCCGTAATGGCAGCAAACTTTGCCCCGTACTGCCATGTGAGAATGCCGCAAACGAGGCTGATTTCCAACGCGGTGGGTATCAGGTGAAACACCATGCTCGTCAGCAAGAAGCTGATGCCCTTGGTGCCCCTGTCAATGGCGCGCGTTAGACCGCCTGTTTGTTTGGACAGGTGGAAGCTCAGATCCAGCCGGAGCAAATGCTCAAAGACATTGCGCGCAACGCTCCGGATGGCCTTTTGCGCAACAGACGCAAACACGGCATTCCTGAGCTCCTGGAAGACGGTGGCCCCGATTCTCGCGGCGCCGTAGGCGACAATCATGCTTCCTGCGACGGCGGCAGCGGTGCCGCCAGCGGCCGCGAAGTCAATGTTCATAGAGTCCACGATGCTCTTGAAATAAAAGGGCACTTGGACGTTTAACAACTTGGCTCCTACGAGGAGCGACACGGCCAACCCCACGCGCATCTTGGTGCCGTAGCTATCCTTGGGCCAGAGGTAGCGTGACATTTCCTTCATGATGGCCCAGTCAGCCTTGCGCTGCTCCGTCGCCGACTTGTCGGCCATAGCAAGGGGGTCATTGTTTTTCGGCGTCGCTTTCGCAGCTGTTGTCGTCTTTTGTAGGATCGCAGACGGCTTGGCCACGGGCTCCTTCTTGGATTGCTCACCGCGGGTGGCCGACGTCCCGAGGGGTCGTGAAGAGGTGATTTGTCGTTGTGGGAGCCATGCCGGACGAGTCTGGGCATGGGGAAAGCTGCATCGGGGGCAGAGCAACGAGGACCGATGTAATAGTCGCGCTATCATTTTCACCTGCTTAGGTGGCCGCAATCATTGTGCATATACGGGGAGGGAACCTTTGGGATGCGGCTCGAAATGGCGGGGTTGATAAATGGATCGTCTCGGCAGGACGGGTTTGGGTTTCGCAGCAGCAAAGAAGAACAAAAGGAGACCGACACGAAAGAAGATGGTACAGAAGTTACCGTGAGTCCGTGACGCAGTTGAAATTGGACCAAAAGCTGTCAAGGTGAGCGAATGCGGTGAATGAACCCTGGTGCGCCAGCATTGGAAGAAGCTATGGCGTCAGAATTCCAGCCTCAGGCATGACAAGCCGCTTCAATGCGACTTCAACGTGAATTAAGTTAGTAGTAACTTGTAAGAGAACAGTTCACCTCCCCATTTGGCCCGTGGTCAATGATATCCGTGTACTATTCATCCAGACGTGACAGCGCGTTACTTTGCAAACATTGTGACAACCTTTACCCGTGGCGCGCCTGCTTGTCGACTGATTTCCGCCCGATCCCCTGGCAGTGCCGGTATGCAACGTTCACGTGTACCCTAGACACGGCGCAATATCCCACCTATGATCTATGGTCCAATCTCTTCCTTGGCAGCCTCATGACTTTACATCTCTCCTCTTGATCCACACCTTGATGGGTTTCGTCGGATGTTTCGTGACGGCGCGTTTAGACAGCCCCGGCTCTTCCCATCTCTGCCCCTCTGGAGGAACCATGTCGTAAAAGGAGACTATCATGGCCGTATAAAAGAGCATTTCGCGGAGCGCGATGGCGCGCCCCTTGCACATGGTTGGACCGGCGCCTAGTCTTCATTAGCCAGTGCTTCCATCAGCAAGGCAAATTGTCACGACTCCAACCGGCTCACTTACCAAAGGGCCTCAGGGTACCCATCTCCACGACTTGTACGTTGCGACCAGCAGTGTCCTTGGCGTCTTTCAGGAACCTATCGTGATGCCACTCCTTGGGGTTAGGGAAGTATTTTGGATCGAACTGATGCATCTCGTGAGCTATGTGAGCCATGTGTCCCTTCTGGAGAAAATACGATTCTCTACTTTTGCCCCTTGGCTCCACGACCACATCTTCGCCCAGCCATTTGACAATCCAGACGCTAGTGTATACGCGCATGGTTTCAATGTAAGCGGCCTTGAGGTGAGGACACTCGTTGATCAGACCGTTCATGTCAAGCTTCTCGAGCTCGGGCGCGATCCATACCCCCGAACCAAACTCGTTCTGAGGCTGGACAATCTTGACAAAAGGGGCGATCTCTTCGCGTACTGTTTCAAGAAGAACAGGGTCTCTGTAGAGTTCGAAGAGCAACCACGACGTCAACTGGTTTGCATTCGCGTTCATTGCCCAGGCCAGGGCGACGTCACAAGTAGCTCGCGCTTGTACAGACAGGCCACCTTTTCGAAATACGCCGATGCGTGATTTAACAAATGTGCTGACATTATCCATATCTTGCCATTTGCTTCCTGGGTCCTCTCCATCCAAGTACTTGTCCATGGCCTCTTCGAACTCACGACCTCTCGCAATCAACTTTCGTCTGGCGACTTTTGCACGCTGCATCTTGGGCCAGGGTACCCATGCCGGCACCCCTGTGGCAAGAGAAAGGAACCCATCGTCCAGCATCCACAGCAGATCCCAAAATTCGGGAAAGTTCTCGACAAAGTCGGTTCCAAAGAGCGCAGGATTTGCAGTCTTGGCGACAAAATTGCGCACCAACGACATCAAATCAGCTTCGACAAACGCCTCGCCTTTCGAGTTTTGCACCACGTCAACCCTTGCGGACCTCTCCCAATCACTCTGGTCGGCCACGGATGAGTTGAAGGTAACGAATTCGGCTATGTGAGCCTTGACGCCATCGACGATGCCATCGACGAATTCGCTCAGGCCAGGCTCGGATAACATGTGTTTGAACAGATCCGGTGTCTCGTATGCAAGGTTGCTGTAGGTGATCTGATCTTGCTTGCGGAGACCGAAGCTTTTTGTCAGGGCGCGGGCGGCAGTCCACTTCTCCCCCGACGAGCAGCTCGGCCGATTCCAAAAGTTGATCATGATGGAGGGATCATGAATGACGTGGTGTCTTTTGCCCAACATGGTGACGGAAAAGATGCCTTCGGGGTATCGCTTCTTGAGTTTTGCCGTGAATCCATCCTTGTTGAAAAAGAATTGGAAGGCGTGTGCGAAAAAGGGAAGCCAGTAAGCTGGCATGGACGGGGGTGAGGTGATGCCGTGTTTGTGATTTGAGGCGGGCCCGCCAAATAGCAAGATTATGGAAATTATGAGTATTGAAGTAGTTGCTAGACCGGCCACGGCTGGATTTGCTTGTACCAGGTTGAGAACGACATGGGTGCTGGCGCTCATGGTGAGATTGTGAGGCTCCATGGTGGGAGCCGGCGCTGGTGAATCAATTCTCAGCCAAGACGATGTGTGAGCATGTTGCAAACCATGTGTCCCGGGCCAAGAGGAAAACGACGGAATCTCTGGAGACAATCAGCGGGAGAAAAGACGGGCAAGCAATGTACATGGATGTTCCAAGCAGCCCGGGCAGAAAATATCATATATGGCACCAAAGCTGCCAGTCGGACGCTGAAGCCGGAGGGGGGGTTTCGGAGAAGCCAAGGGTCTCTAGCCTGGGTCCCGATGCAAAGTGGCCCCGATGCGCTTGTCCGCTTGCTGTATGCCGTATGCTGTACTCCGTATGCCGTATGCTTGGCAAAAGCTGCTCCTCTCGTCATGGGAGCAGACCAGTCAGGGGTTGGGAAGGATTGGCGATGAGGCGGGAAGCGACATGCACAAGTATGAACTTGAAGAGGCCGGGCCGAGTGCCAGCAGAAAGAGCAGAACCGTGTTGCACACACAGTCGCCAGTCGCGCCTGCCCGCATTTGGCCGCATTTGGCCGCAGCGTGCTTGCCTCACGGATGTGGTGGCGGCATGGCATGGCATGGTCAGGGGTTTCGGGGTGGCGCACATGCACAAAATGAGAGCAAGTCACTTGCTGGTCCTTCGGCCGGACGCCCGACCTCCTCAGACAGCCACACAACGGAACACCGACTAGTAAGTACGGAGTAAAGCCCGGGACATCTCATCTATCTGCAGAGACTCCAGACCTCGGGTTGCCTTGCAGCACTATTATTCTCCCAACCACTCGGCACATTTGCCTACATCCCCGACTCATACGTTCTGTCTGAATGACTCAGCTGTGACTTGTAAGCATACATACTATTGACATGCAACTGCGTAATTCCTTTGCTCCAAAAAAAAGGGGGGTGCAAGGCAATAATAACATCAAGGCAATGGCAATGGCCGCCCAAAAATTTTGTTCGTCATAATTACAATTATCCAGAAGCCTCCTCTTGAGTTTACCCAGCTACCCGCTCAGGCGACAGCAACCCGCGCAGGAAGGTCCTCCATATCATCCATAACGCTGTCAGCTTCGTCTGCGGGTGGTGAAGAGTGCTGCACAGCCCTCTTGTTGCGGGGGGACTTGAACTTGCTTGGCGTCTTCTTCTTGCGGAACTGTTCGACGTCAATGTATGAGTCGTGCTCTTCTGTCTGTTGTGGTTCTTGTGATTCCTCCCAAGTGTCTTCGATGGAATCCTCTACAGCAGCAGCGGCCTCGCCAGGTTTCCAGCCACGTTTTCGCCATGCTGCAGTTTTGCCCGAGGTCGGCTTGGCAGGAGTTGACATCATTGACGGCTGGCCGGCCTCAGCTAAAGCAGGATCGATCTCCATATTCACATCTTGGGGTGCTTGCTCTTCTGGTTGGTCTTCTTCATGCTCCTCTTCCTCCTCCTCCTCCTCCTCCTCCTCCTCCTCCCCCTCTTCTTCTTCTTCTTCTCCTCCACCTTCTCCTTCTTCCAGCTGAGCCGTCTCCCCATTGGCCTCCGCATGATTTGCTTCGGCATCGGAATCTGTAATAAACTCTGCGCTGACTTGACCTCGCTCGTCGTCCTGCGTACCGGATATGGAAGAAATCGGAGTAATAGCCTCCATGTACCGCATTTCGTCTGCATCATCAAAGAGTTCGTCCGGCACTTCGGCAAGATCGCCCGTTTGGTTATACTGGTCAATGAGATATTGCGCACAGTCTCGCACGCTAGTAGTTTCCCAATTGGGCACAGTCTGCTTCAAACGTCGCCAGAGAAGCATCTGAGTATACCTGTGCCACTGGTTCCTGAACGGCTTGTCCACCAGCCTTTGCCAGGGGATCTTGACATCCGTACCAGCTGCGGTGGCACTGACCGCCATGACAAGTCGGTATCGTTCCTCAACGGGCATGGCGGCAATCTGCCGTCGAGCCTTTTCGAGCCTGAACGAGATTTGAGAATCAGGTTGGCTTGAAACAAGTTGATCTCTGCCGTGGGTCCGAATGTTCAGCGACTTCCACTTTGTAATGCATTGCAATCGACTTCGGGTACGACCCATCAGCTCACTAATATTTTGCCAGTCTATCAGTTCTTCATAACTCTTCTGTAATAGGGCTCTCGTCGGGTGGTTGGCTCGCAATTCATCAATCACCATCATAGACTCAATGATGTGCTGGGTAAGACGAGCTTCTTCGTTTTCATCCCAAGCATCCTTCCGCTGGTTCGGACCGCAGACGATGTAGTTGCGATAACGGTCTCGAAGATCTTCAGGGTGCCGGTTGATAAGACCTGCTATATATGACCATTTCGTGCCATGCTGTTGAATGAGTTCCGCCAATTCAGTGTCTTGATCTGGAGTCCACGTTCCACGAGCAACAAAGTTATGAAATTTCTTGCGAGTGATATTGATGACTTTTTGTCGATGACGGTCGGGGCATTCAGCAAAGATACGAGACCAGAGTTGGGCATGAGTTTCTCCGGCCGTGGTTCCACCAGGAGCATGTATGAGCTGGGCCATCAGTTAGCAGTAGTCACCAATACAAATAAGCATATAAGGGACATAGCGATTACTCACTTCATTCACTTCCTGTTGTGTCATGTCACGGTCGGTCCGGTAGCTCTCTACGGCTCGAGCTATGCGCGCAAGTTCAGCGTCGGTGAATCGACCTTGCGTGAAACCAGTCAGTCGGTTCCGTGGCTGGCCGGAACCCCTTCCGGGCGCCCCATCTGCATCTGCCGAACCACCACGCATGGACTGAGATAGTTTTTCCCTCTTCGGCTTGCGGCCACGGGATTCTTTCTTGGCGGCGCGCTTCGCTCTTCGAGCCTTTGGCGCTGCGGCAGACGGCGAAGGCAGCTCGCCCAAACCATTCCTGTTGCCCTCGTCCTCACTCAAAAGATTCGGGATGGGATCCTGCTCATAATAGGTTGGCTTAGCCTTCTTTCGAGTAGTTCGGGACTTTTTCGACTTGGCACTTGATGGCTCGGCCTGGCCCTCAACCATGCCCTCCAGGCTAGCATTCAACGGCTCCTGGGGGTATTGGTTCGACATTTCTGGATCCTGGCCTACGTTTTGCCTTTCCTCTAACGCTTGCTGCCCAATACGGTGCTCATTCCAGGCCTCACGAGCCAGACGCTCAACTTCGCCATCGGTATCAGCCAGTGCGGCCTCAGCAGTCTGCGTACGGTCCTCAGTCCCAAGATCGACGTCCATTTGGCTCTCGTTGGCAGCGCTATTCTCTCTAGAGCGAGCTTCTCGTGATTGGCTCCGTCGACGTAGGTGCGCGATGGTCGGCGATTTTTGCGGGTCGGACTCTGGCTCGTTATCCTCATGTATGGCTTTCCCCGGAAGCCCGCGCCTCTCTTTTCTCTTGCGGAGGAACGGGGAAGCGCCTGCCTCACCATCTTGACCCTCGGGCTCCTGATCATGGGATCGTCTTTTCTTTCGGCCTTTGCCATCGACAGTGTCCGGTAGCTTGCGCTTCTTTTTCGCTTGCAGTAATGCAGTCGCTTCCTCTTCTTGCAACTGGCCCCAAGGTGTATCTGCAGAGCGACTAGTTGGGTTATCCTCAGTTGGTTGTGTGTCGTCAATTTCCACATCATTGTTCGACTTTCTCTTTGACTTTCTCTGCTTCCTCGACGAGTCCTCTTCTTCGGGAACAGGCGGGGAAGCGGCGTCTCCTTGGGACAATTTTCGCTTCTTGTCTCGTTTGTCCTTTTTATCTCGTTTCGATTTTCTTGTTGGTGTTTCCACGGGAGCGTGCTCTGACATGACGGCGACTGGAGCCTGTGAGGAGAAGGTCTCAGGCGCGGCATTGCTATCAAACATTTGTATTGCTCCAAAGTCCTCATCCGCCACAGGAAGCTCGCCGATATCTGCGGCGGTTTCTGAGCCAGCAATAGAGTAATCGTCGACGTCGGCCATTGCTGCGCGAGGTTCGCTGCGATGAGAATTGTTTGAGTCGTCCTTCAGGGTTGGATCTAGCTCCTCTTTGTCTTCTTCTCGTCCGGATTGGCGGAAAGATCTCGTCGTAGCCTCGTCAGGCTGCGATCCCATCAACGATCGCAAAGTGGATGCAAGACGAAAGTCGTGCCATTTGTTGTTGGAAGACATCAGTGCAGATGGCGAGGCTGGGTTTGCGCCTGCAGACAAGTTTGGCTGTGGGGCGCTGAAAACTGGAGTCGCGCGTCAACATTTGGACTTTGGGGCGTTGATCCGCCAATCGTTGTTGCCTGAGATATCAGGCCTTCACATGAATTACATATTCCATTGTTGCCTTCAATCGAAGTGAGTGACAAACAATGTGCACAGTCAAAAAAACATCGTACTTTTCTATCTTCTCAATCCAGCTGTTTCAATGGGAGGAAATTATTGCTAATTTAACACACATTTCATCGCAAGTTTTATCTCAACATTGGGTATGTCCATTCATATACAAGTACAGCGTGACAGGAGGAAAAGGTGCCGCGATGGCGGCGCCGATGCGTCTTCTGTCGCTGGCGGCCTCCATGCAATTAACTGTCCTTATTCTCTTCCTCAGGCATCTTCAGCCTCACCGTAGACTTGGTGCGCTCGTGCTGAATGTCGTATTGCCCGCCGAGAACCAAGTCTTTAGCCACGAGTTCTCTGGTTCGACCCAAGCTCTCAATGGCGGCAATTCTCTCAATAGTATTATCCAGATGCTCCTTGAAGCCTGGTTGCTGACAAATCTCCCTGAATGCCCGATGCATCGGCACGCTGCTAGCTCGTACGTCTGCCTGATTCGTAATCGTAAACAAATTCAGGCTGTCCAAGTCTCTGATGAAGTCGCATCGCGTCATGATCTCTTGAGCGATATGGAAAGGATATGTCGGTAGGATGTGGCCGACAACAGGGTCATATGTACTGGCCATGCTATCTTCCTTCTCGACAAGGGCATGTGCTAAAACCATGGCAGCAGCCTACGGTTCCTGTCAGTACTATTGTCTCCTCATCACCTGCATCGAGGAGAAGAAACGCCGAAAACTCACCGCCCATTTCTGCTGGTCCATGACGTCGTCATCCATTTCAGTCCCCATAATCCAGCATTGATTGAGAAACCATTTCTTCTCTATGTCCGTGATCCTTTCGCACGTGGCCAACATATCATGACTCTTTGCCACACGGTTCAGAAAACTGAGGCGTCCTCCAACACGATCATATACATCGTCAAGCTGTTTTTGACTCATTCGTTCTCCGAAATAGCGCATGCGATATCTTTGCAAGGCTTGGATGGCTTGCTTCTTCGGCAAATCTGTCACAGGTAGTACCTCCATTCTGGTGGACAGTTGCTTCAGCCGCTCGTAGACCCAGTAATCATCCGAGTTGAACACCATGGTCACCAACCCTGCGGCTGCCCACTGTTCAGCGCGTTGCTGCAGAAGCTCGATTAGATTTCGACCAACATCGTCATTTCGTAAAAGGTGCATCTGATTGACGATGACGACCAGAGGCCTCCTCCTTTTACGGAAAAGCTTCACAGCCACTTTCTCCAACTTATTCAGTGCACGCTCAATATCCAGTAGAGCCCCCATGTCACGCGGCCCTTTCTCACTAAAATATCCGCCGATGTAGTCCTCGTGAAATTCATAGTCGAGCGCTTTTCCCAGTCGTATTCTCACAATCTCCGGGTCTGCATGGGCCTCGAACATGGCGACACCGTCGCCATCAATCTTGCGCATTGCTTCGATGAGCATGCTGCTCTTTCCCGTTCCCTTTTCACCCAAGATCAAGTAGTAATGGCCGACCTCTTCACCACTGATGATGCGGTCGACATGTTCTTGTTCTGGGCGACGCACCCAATATTCCTCGCCGGGCGGGTGGCTATGAGGAACGTCTTTGCCCACAGCGGCTAGCTCTAATACAGGATCTCCAGGTTCGAAAGCTCGTGTCATCTTCTTGAGAACGAGCATTTTGTAGGATTTATGGTAGAGATACCCCGCTCCTGCGAACCCTACTCCCAAGACGAAGATGGACGCGAATGTGGTGGCTGCCGCTTCGGCCATCTTGGAGAAGATGGACGACTCGTCCGATTCAGCATTTCTGCTATGTTCATTTTCTTTTTGCGACGAATCTTGAGCTAAGAAGTATCAATTAGCGCATGGAATCCATATAGGTCTGTAAATATGGCAGCTGCCCGTTGTTGAGGATGAGATACGGTGCTCGGGAATGAGGGGATTGCCTACCGCCTTTTCTGGGTCCATACGTCGAAAATAGCCGCGAGTATGCAGAGGTTCCAGATCGACGGTACCCAGCAGCACTCAACTTGGAGAGCGACGACCGCGTTGCACGGAGACTGGACCGTATTGCCTGCATTGTGACGGTCCAATCGCGACAAATCAGCGCCTGGTCAGCAAGTGTGCAGGCCACAGTGTCCAATTTCGTGTCGTAAGCGAGGCGTTTGTCCCTTGAATCATGAGACGTTTGAGGTGATCAAGATCAAGCTGTCTCTGGACCAATGCATGTTTGGACTATGTATGTTGCTCCCTCGTGGCTCTTGCAAGCTGGTCAAAGGGACCCAAGGCCTCATTCCGCAACACAAAGTTTACCAGACCCAGCTATTTCGTTGGTGACGGTCTGTGACATTGTTGGCACCAATCCTATCGGCGGCCTCGCAACGGTGGAGACGAAGCAAGGGTTGGTCACTGGGCCTCATTCTTGTCGTCCTTGTGGGCTCGAACACGTTCTGGGCAGTGAGTGTCCACAGCGTTGGATTGGAGTTTCAGCCGTTCAAGAATCTCAAAGCTTGGGCTGTCGCGGGATGACGTCGTCGGACCTAAAACAAGTTGAGTCAAAGGCGATACAGACTAGGAGTGTGCAGCGTCGCAGAGCATAGAACTTTCTTTGACGGTTTTTCTACGAGAGAGACTCGGTACGGAGCAGGAGCAGGAGCAGATGGATTGCCAACGACTGTACCAGACACGTGACAATCAGATTAGGGTTGCCCGTTTCCTTCCCTTGGTTTACCTTTGACCCCTTTGCAACCAAAGTATACAGAAACGATGAGCTTTGCGTACAAATGCAATCCAAACCCAGCGCACAAAAAGCTACTTTTTTTTACCATTGATTCATCTACGAGTTTCTTTCAAGATGCTTTCAGTAAATCACTCCGCTCCCCTGCGGCCGATGGTCACGCAACGTCCCGAAAAGTCAGAGGCTGTGGCTTCGCCCCGCTTAGCCGAAAAGGATCCATGATGCAAACTGAGCTTGATGTGAATAAGAAGTGAGGATTTTCCCGTAGAACACAAGATGATTTGACACGTGATGCAGTCCTTCGATTATTCTTCTTCACGTGTCCAAGTTTGCTTTTATCGACTTGATCATGTACAGTCAGAAATGTGTGTGAAACCTCGACGTTGCTACTTTTTATACACACCAACACACCATCGTTCAAATTCCTGATCAAAGCCCAAATGCACTCACCCGTTGGCATTTTTCAAACTTGCAATGCGTCCATCGATAGTAGATTTGGAAAAATGGTGCTCCGGGTCCAAGGACCTAGTCGACCTCGTCGATAGTCTGAGTCTCGGTCCACGGGAAGTCGATTTGCTCGAAGCCGTCCGGCGCAAACTTCGCGATTTAGATGGACACACCAACATTAGCACCCGGATCCAAGAGGATATCTCAAAACAAGCCCCATCATCTAGAATGACTAGCCCTCGTCGAAAGCTCCAGGAGGTTGCAAGGACAGTATTTGGGCCATCGGAACATGGAGGAATGGATTATCGTCAGGCACTGGAAGGCCTGGCCATGCTTGAACAGGTCGAAAAACACCGCGTACTTCTTGTCAGGGATGCAAAACTGGCAGTGAAACCAGGATTCTCGGAGGGCAAGGACGCAAAGTTGCTCGAGCTGCTGGATGGCACGGCGACAAAACACTATGCAGTGCTTCAATGGGGTTTTCGCGCACATGTTAGTCCCTCTCCATCTTACTTACGAACCATAATACTATTACTAACACATATGTCATTGAAGTGTGTTAGAAACTTTCCACCACAAGGCGACATGGAGAATCCCGATGAAACACGCATCATGGCCCAATTGAATGCGTTGTCCCCTCCAAATTTTATACCTTCTGTTGTAGATGAAGCCAACTCTCCGCATTATACAGAAAGTTTGCAAGATGGAATACGACTTCGTATTTACGAGCATCTCACAAAGCCAAATACGACGCCGCAGGCGGATGACCAGTCTGTTTACGTCAAGTCATCATGTAGCGTTCCTGGCTACAGGGTTTTCCGGGACGTTATGCTCAAGTATTCCCAAGAATTCAAGAAGTTGGAGGTTCTGTGCCTCCATATTCTCGACCAGAAAGAAAAGCGACGTGCTACGGCATCGGGTGATCAAGTTCTTCCGAGGCTGTTGCATAATGCTGCGTCAGAGGGATCAAAGATTCCTGAAATCGTTCAAGCGCTATCAGCTGATGATATTATTCCGAGGCTGTTGCTTAAAGCTGCATTAGAGGGATCAAATATTCCTGAAGTCATTCAAGCACTATCAGCCGATCAAGTTCTTTCGGGGCTGTTAGGAAACGTTTCATCAGATGCATTGGAGACCCCTCAAATTATTCCAGCAGAATCTCGTTCTTTGGATGCAAGGCTTCGCGTACATCCACTTGCCATTGGTATGGATTTAAAGGAATCTGAAATGGTCCAACAACACCTCATAATTCTCACCATCTCTCCCAAGGGGCGTCCAAGCCGAACTTTCTAGTACGATCTCGATAGTGACGACAACCATGTGGATGATTTTCAAAATCAGGTGGAACCCGTTAGGCTTGCTGAGAAGCAGCTAGGATTTTCGAAACGAAAAGGTAAACTGAGCAATGACATGATCCATGTGTCCTCATTACCTTCCATTCCCGAGACTTCCAACCAAATTATTGCTCCTGGACGTGTCGGGAAGCTCTTTAATCCTACATGGACCGGAAGCGAAGGGGGAAGCGCCGCAGAGCCTCCGTCAATTACCAGAAAATCCGAATATGACACAATATTGCGACGGTTGCGTAGTCGGAGAAGAGCATTTCTCAAATCACAAATACTGGATTCGAAGCTCAGCCATGTTGGAACTTTGCCTTCGGAATTATCTGAGCAGGATACAGATGAAAGTAGACATTCGAGAAATGGTAGCGTTTGCTCATACGCGGGCTTTAGGATCGAACGCCCGCAGATGTCGCCTGCGCGGATGTACCGGGTCGACGAAGTGCCAGACAAACAGCAGACTCGAAGTTCTGAGCTCCCATATCCGATCAAGAAGTCGCTTTGCATGTCTAGCCGGGAAAAGCCCCCTTCTTTACCCAAGGTTCCATCGGGAACCAGGTGGGTTGGGCTAGAACGCGTGCCATCCGATGTCACATCTGATGAAAGTGGCTCTGCTACGCGAACAATTCCCAATCTTTCGCCAGCTGCTGTCTCCCCTCGCCAGCTCCCTCAGCCTCAATGCATGAGAACTCTGCAGCTATCCAGAGGTTCAGGTCGTGCAGTCTCGCAGCTCGGGCACACCAAGGACTCTCGCACGGAACCCCGGTCATATTCTCAAAACTATACAGAGAAAGGGATATCTTTTACATCTCAAGCAGGTCATGAACCAATAAAAAAGCTCTCTACAATTACTGAACGATTAAGCTGCCTTGACATGGATATGTCACCTCGGCAAGATGCAAACTCGCCCTCAAACGAAAGCCCCGTACTCACGCCGGGCTCTCTTCCAATTTTGTTGCCCAAGACTTACCAACCTCCGGCCCTTGACCACCCAAACAAAGCAATCTCCCCAACTCATATACCAGTCACGCCTCAGCCTAGTTCCTCATTGTGTGCTGATATTTCATATTCGCATCCCAATTTATTACCAATATCACTGCTGGTATCAACGGGCAGAGCACAGCCTTTTCTGATGGGCGACATGACACCTGGAAGGGTCCAGTCCATGTCCGCCTCAATCATTGGTAACGGCACTACTGAAAGCATCTTACTGGAGGCAAATGAGGCGCCTGGTCCCGGGATCTTGTTTGGTCTACGACTCCCCCTCCCGGGGTTTGTTATGCGACGCCTACGGACAAATTGCCCCAACTGGAAGCGATATGCAAGTCCCCGGCGTCACTCATTTGATGCTAAAATCGCAGTGCCCTTTCACTCGCGTACCGTTGGTTCTGGTTCAAAGAATCAGCATACAAGGGATAGTCTCATATCCCCGGCCCTGCACGCACGATACCTTGAAAACGATCCCTCCACAAGCGGCCACAACGCTTCGCCAACATCTCAGGAGGCGCCGACTTCGCCCACTGCCGTCCCCGATTCGCCGACCTTGGGTCATGAAAATGAGGGATTGGAATTCATTGTGGAAGGTAGAGATGCAATTCACGAGCAGCAGTCTTTTGATCTCCTCAAGACATACATGAGGAGCAGACGGAATCGCACACCACATCCCAGGGACAGAATAGCTCCATGTACCAGCGCCCATCGATCCGCAGCCAAGGCGTTGGATTTTGAACATCCCAAGGTGCACTGGTACAGCTCCAGCTTCGCTTTGAACAAAGCCAAGAGTCACGAGGCGTTCACGTTACTTCCCCAGCCGTCTTCGACCTGCAATCACGTCATTCACACCGACTCTCAACCATATATTGGCACACTGCCTCCAAATTTCATGTCTAGAAAACCTGCAAGAGGACGCAGCATGTCGGAGAAATCTACGGCACTAGCATTGCAAATATTCGACACAACGTCAAGGCTCGCGTCAGTGACAAACAGACGTGACTCTATCATCTCCATCACTCCCCCGCCAAACCGATCAGATGACGGGCAAACGCAGTCCTCTACTCCTAAGCCCTCCAGACTTGGTCATCTATTCTCGCGTCACATTCGAAGCGGTTCATCCGCCAGCAGCACTGCGGAGATATAGGCTCCCATCGCAAGTGCATCTACAATCGAGACGGCGCTTGGAGGACCCAGAAACACTCAGAATGAAAGTGCCAGTATTTATAGACAACCATCGACTTCAGAAAGCCTAGTTCAGGAACAGGATGTGAGGGTGGTTTCGGGGAGCAACTGTTGCAACTCTAGCAGCAATAGCCTTGTCGCGCCTAGATACAAGTTCAAGCTGGACATGGAGTCGTCTCAGGTGAAACAACATTCAAGCCCGTGACTGATTGACAAAGGGCAGAAAAAGAGACACCGTTAGTATGGAGTATCAATGTGCACAGTGGTAAGATACGGACCCTCGGAACCCCCCACAGAGAATCGACAGCACAGGAATGTGAGGAATCTGAAGAGCGTGGAGGGGGACGGCGCACGAAACTGCATGATATCATTTTCTGGATTGCCATTGTGTTCAACTGCAAGTTATGTACATGGCTCTGGCAATCTACAGCGCCACCTGTAGACCCTAGGAGGTGCTGATATCATGACCCAAAAGCGAAAGGAACAACACTATTGACCTGGCAATACCAGGTTAAAGATTAGAACGTATGTACAGAGTACAGAGTACGGACGCTTGTATGGTTTCGAATGCTTGGAGGAACTGATGGTGAGCCAGGCCATTGAAGACACGGATAGAAGGGGACTTTGCATAGTTGACAGTGGAGAAACACATACATCGTCACATCTGTCACTTCGTACTTGCGGCCCGTTTAGATTCACCCACAGAGTCAAGGGTAGCTTATTAGCCTGCTTGTTGGGCCTCGATGCGGAGTAACATATACAATATAACTGCGTCAGGAACAACACTCAATGGAACCGCGAAACGGCGCCTGGTCCTGGCCAGTCGACAGAGTCTCGACGACAAAGCATAATGACTCGCCAGCTCCCCTTTCCTCGGCCGCAGAGATGGGTTCCAACATGCAGCTGGGCCACGAGAAACAAAACGCAGCTTCTTCGGCGTCTCGTGGCTTGGCGGCGAGGCAGAAACAATTGAATGCTAATTACTTCGCACTAGTGCTTCGCTCTCGGCGCAGTACAAGGCTTTTCATTTCCCCCTGGTTGGTTGTCTAAGCACGTCGCCGACCATATGGACCAGTCGTGTTGTCGCTAGGTGACATTTGAGGCCAAACTGGCCGGGGCTTTTTCTCGAACTGGCATCCCGGAAGAAACATACGCACTAGCATGTGTGGTTCACCCCTGTTCGGATATCAGACAGTGGTGTGCTCGGCCCATCGTCGCAGCGGTACTGCCCGGCCATGAGATCAAGCTCTGGAGTATTGAAGACCCTGGTAATACGGAGTACAGCGCTCGTCTATCGTTTTGTCACGGCGTTGGAGTCGCCAGGAAAGCCAGAGTGACAGAGTCAAGGAATGGACACTTACACAAAACAAAGGTTGGTCCCCGATCTTGTCCGGCTGCAGCGAGATGATCACGCAGGCGATTCCAGTTGCGACCACTGTCAGGTGTGGGAGGAGCTTCTACGGACTAATAGTTTGCAAGTGGTGTCCCATCACAGGCCGTCTCCATCGCGGAAGGATTAAGCGTTCCGTTCTCCGGTCGTATTGTACGCAAGTCAGGTAAATCGCCGCCGCCGCGGCGACAACAGCAGAGAGAACATTGCCTGTCCGCACGGACGGTTGTTCCAGTCGCCCCAGGCGCCACCACCTTCAGCCAGGCTAGCTTTAATTTGCGTACAGAGTATACGTGCTAGTAAACTCCTTTAGGGCCGACCCGGAACTAGCCTGCCATAGATCTCCAACGGCGGCAAGAGGGTGGACGCTCAACACCCACCCGATTCTGGTATGGACCACGCTGCTCGGTAATCGTCCGTACAGAGAGAGAGACGGTGTAAACGGGGTTCTGGCCTGTTCGACATGACCGGTACAAGCTGGCGGGGCGGCATGTTTCAGATAAAGGAGAAAGGGGAAACAACAAGTTAAAAGCTGATTCACGCTGTCTCCAATCTTGTCCAAATTGCCCTCAAACGTCTCAAATAGTGACGTGTTGGCTGGCAGCCGTGACCAGGCGGTCTGGGATCGCAGGTCGAGTTTAGTCGCGAACATAAACGTGCCAACCGCCCCGTTGAGATGGTACCCATGGCTTCGAAGAGTGTTGGTGTCCTCAAAGAAAAGGACGTGTGCCTCCGACTGGGTCGAATTGTATGCTGTAGAGTTGAGATGAACCTGAATTCTGCGGTATCTCTGTCATGACACCAAGGAAGGCTACACGTTACTCTGGCCGCTGCCCGTGGTGCTCTGGTCGCCAATGGAGGCTGTTGGCTTCTCACATATGTCTAATTAACTCTGTCGTAACTCTGTCGTCGTGGGAATGTCCACGTTGACAGTAGCAGCTTGGTACCGACGGCGCCGGATCGCTAGCCTTCCTAGCGTCCAAGAGTCAAAATGCTTTCGGGTCGCGGTGTACCAATAGAGAGGGAGTAACGATCTGGCCATCTCAATATATGTCGTCACAAATTCGAATGATAGGCCATCTTACCAACGCATGTGACGCTAACTTTTGCCCAGCATTCTCATAACCCACGACGCCACACTTCACCGCACTTTCAGGTGCCAGCACTAGGGGGCCGCTCGTTCACTCCCGACGGTAGCCCGTGCGTCCATGGCCAAGGTACAGCACACCATCAAACACTGGTACCCGGCTTTCTTGGGCTATCTGTCGAGACTGTTCAACCCGTGACCGGAGGGCTGTGCCAAACAAACGGTGTTGCGAGGGCGGCAGTGGCTTGATTATTAGTCCAGGATACTGTCCCACCACCGGCTCTTATCAGAGGCTACCGTAGGGCTTTTTAGATGGATACTTTGGAAATTGTGCATCCATAATGACATCAAGCGTGCTCTGCAGTGGCTCATCTCGCTCCACCCAAGCTCTTTTGCATTCAAACTCGTGGTTGGTGCAGTCGAATGCTTGACACGAGCTGCAGGGAACTGAAAAGGTGCAATTTGCATCATCTTAATCCCTGGCTGTGCAGCATTCTCCGACAAACCACATGCACCTGCCGGGGCCGGCAATCTTGCTGAAGCCGATCATATGTAAGTGAAGCGCCATTCAAGGTCGTGTCAGGGCCAGGCCGCTGGAATCCGCATTGACTGGACTCAATGCGAGGCTGGTATCCGTCGAATATCCTACCGCCGTCGACAAACCAAGCAGGCCAGGTACGGAGCTGTCTGCGCTTTTGCGAGGAGACGACCCCCGAGGGACAATGGCGCGGGCTCGACGCGGGACGGCACGACGGGGCAATACTAGTTCGCGGGCAGCTTGAGTTGAGCCTCGTCCGAGGTCTTGAACTTGACCACCGACTTCTCCCGCATGTTGTCAGTTGCCAAGTAGTTAGTTAGCATACACAGCCCGGTGGTCGATCCAGGCACATCGAGGACACCCGTGCTCCGTATTGCTCCAATGTCAAACTGAGGTGGTAGGACATGCACTTTGTCGTTTTGGCTTGTGCAGAACAGCGAATTATTGGCCCAGTCGTGCTCGTTGGTTAAGAGCATGTGTGTGTGAACTTGGCCAACCTTTGTTTGATAGGTGCCTGGCTCCGTGCACTAATGAGAAGTCGGTAGGCAATATCTGCGGTCTTGCGCTAGGGCGGAAAATTACAGCTGACAGGCTGACAACTCAACGCAGCCATGTCCGAAACTGAGTCGTCGCGGTCTTCGTGATGTTTTCTGGTTACGTCGGTTGCGAGGCGCGCCACCGTGGAGGAAGGAAACCTCTAGGCGGGTAGCTTCGCACCGACGATGAACTTGTCGTGCTTTACTTTATTACTGTAGATGACCAGACTGCCAGAACAGATACGCCAGCGCCTCAAGTATCTCCAAGTGCCCATCGTCTGTCACCTTTCCCTCCCCAGCCTGGCCTCAGCATCCTGGAGCGCTAAGCCCAGAGTGGCTTGGGGGCGGGATTGCGCTATGTATTGGCATTTGAAATTGGCGGGGTTCCGTCGTGGTTCTGGTTTCTGGCGTCGAGTTTGGCTCGGGCGAGTGTTGCCGCAATGCCATGAGCCAGGAATTGTTCACATCGCCTCAGGCAATGCTCTGTAGGGAATCTGCAGGGTATTTCAGACGCAGCCCTGTTTTTATCTCTGTCGGTCCAAGTCCAGGTACTCGGCACACACAAAGGTATGTGATTGATTCCGAAAAGCCCGTGGTGAGTTGTAATAGCAGTCGCCCAGCGCTTGGCGGCTGTCTGGGGAATTCATCTTCTCCTCGAGGGCGTGTCGATGCCTTATTGTATACAGGCAGCCGGCTACGTGTGTATTTGCATGGGTGTGTTCGCACAGACGAGCGCGGGTGTTGTAACTGCTGCACATCAAATCTCGGGGGCATTTATTTACCTCGCATACTCGGTCTCGAAGCCCAGCCGTGAGGGGTCAAGTCTGTTGGCATCACGTAGCAAGTGAGGCGCTATTGCCAGAAGAGGAAACCCGATGTCAGTGTGTCTGGTAGCACGACAGACGACAGACTGGTTGTTCACACGGAAGCTGGGATCAAGCCTCCGCACCCAGCATGTCTCGCTCTGAGCACTGGCGTACATGGGTAAACTGATGGATCTCCAGCCGCGGCACCACCAACTGCCCATAATAACACACGCAAGCAGTGGCTTCCAATAGCTCTGTGCTTTTGTTTTTCAGAGTCAACTGTTGCCTGTTCGCCTACGAGTCGGCCGAGTCCGTAGTATCCAGCTGTGATCGGGGCCGAGCTGCTGTCGATACCATGCCACGCCATGCCATGTCGTCGCCGACGCCGACGCCGACGCCGTCGCAGTCAGAGTCGCAGGTGCAGTCGCAGGTGCAGTCGCAGTCGCAGGCGCAAGTCGTAGGCAGGGTCTGGCCCTCGTAGTTTTTGGTGGGGGGTTGCAATGAGCTGCTGAGCTGTGTGGCTGAGAAGTTATCTGGCGTGCATACAGGGGTGGTAGTGACTTGTCGAGCCAGTGATCCGGATTCCTTTGTACCTCAGATTGCCG